AGCTCTGGCCGTTGCGGCCATCTGGGGAGTGAACCAGCAGATGGAAAACCTCTCTCTCTCTCTCTCTCTCTCTCTCTCTCTCTCCCTCTGCTTCTCTGTAATTCTACCTTTCAAATAAATAAATAAATCTTAAAATAATAATAGTTTTAGAGTTCTTGTGAATTCAGAGAGAAAACTTAAAGGGACTCTCACAAACATACTAGTTGAAATGAGACATTTTGAAGATGCTGAATGTATGGAAATGAAGTAAAAGCTAGGCAGAAAGTAGCAGGATAGGGGAAACCCATGGCTGTGAGGAGTTTCAACAGGAACAGGAAGCAGCATATGGGCTCTAATCAAACAAGAATATGCTTCTCCAAAAAGTCTAGCAACCTGAAGAGTTAATGTTAGAAATATAACAAGTGGCCGGCGCCACGGCTCAATAGGCTAATCCTCCACCTAGTGGCGCCGGCACACCTGGTTCTAGTCCCAGTCGGGGTGCCAGATTCTGTCCTGGTTGCCCCTCTTCCAGGCCAGCTCTCTGCTGTGGCCAGGGAGGGCAGTGGAGGATGGCCCAAGTGCTTGGGCCCTGCACCCCATGGGAGACCAGGAGAAGCACCTGGCTCCTGCCATTGGATCATCATGGTGCGCCGGCCACAGCGTGCCGGCCGCGGTGGCCACTGGAGGGTGAACCAACAGCAAAAGGAAGACCTTTCTCTCTGTCTCTCTCTCTCACTGTCCACTCTGCCTGTCAAAAAATAAATGAATAATAAAAAAAAGAGAAATATAACAAGTGATACGAAGGGGAACAAAGCAAAGAGTTTGTGAGTTGGATTTGTGCCACTAAAATTGAAAACTTATTTGTAGCTGGTGTGTATCCTGAAGACATCATACGATGAACAATATGTTTCTAGATGAATTTATGTGGTAGGAGAAGGAAGGCCAGATTCCATGAGTGTGATATTTGTAGAAAAAATGAGAATCCTCCTTGATATGGAGGATGTCAGCATAAACATCAAGCCAGGACATATGCCTCTGCTGTATAATGCAGTGATTGCCAAGAATAAAACTATATTGTATATCTGTTAAAAAAAACTATAATAAATATGACTGCAGAATGTAATTTTGTGTCTCTGGTATAACAGAGGATATGAAGGATCATGCCACATTTCAGATCATTATAAATATTAATTATCTTGACATATAATAGAAGGAAATTACAATTATTTGTGCTTTCCATTTTTAAAGTTCTGTAACTTTAGTGGTGACTTCATTTTATCTCATAGTTGATATCAGAATCCTGATTCACAGGGCCTTCAAAAAATACTTAGAAATTTTAAGTTTTAAAATTTAACTCAGGGGCCAGCGCTGTGGCTCAGTGGGTTAAGGCCCTGGCCTGAAGCACCAGCATCCTTTATGGGAGCCAGTTTGAGTCCTGGCCACTCCTCTTCTGATCCAGCTCTCTGCTGTGGCCTGGGATAGCAGTAGAAGATGGCCCAAGTCCTTGGGCCCCTGCACCCACGTGGGAGACCTGAAGGAATCTCCTGGCTCCTGGCTTCGGATTGGTGCAGCTCCAGCTGTTGCAGCCAACTGAGGAGTGAACCCAATGGAAGGAAGACCTCTCTCTCTGTCTCTACCTCTTTCTGTAACTCTTTCAAATAAATTTTTTAAAAAAAAAAATTGTTTAAAAAATTTAACTCATTTATTTAAATTATTTATTTACATGAGAGGTTGAGCACTCCCATCCATTAGTTCACTCCTCATATACCCTCAATGGCATTTCAAAGGCTGGGACCAGGAGCCAGGAACCCAGTCCAGGTCTCCCACATGGGTGGTAGGAATCCACCTTCTTGAGCCATCATTGCTGCTACCCAGGGTCTACATTAGCAGGAAGCCAAACCCAGGAGCTACAGCCAGGAAACAAACCCAGATACTCTGATATGGGACAAGGGCATCTTACTCAACTAAAGACTTGCTTCTCAAATAGAACTGAGAGTCCAGAAATAAACTCCAACATCCAGGTCCTTTCAGTTTAACAGTAGGTCACATTAGTACAATGGGCAGAGAATATTCATCAAATGGTGATGGGATATGGAATTTTCAGATATAAGAAACTTTATTTTGCTTCACCAAATACACAGAAAGTAATGTAGATTGTAGGAATAGAAATAGCACTGAAAATTGCAAAAACTCTTAGAAGAAATATGAGAGTAAACCTTTTTGACTAGGCAGCAATTTTAAAATATAGCATGAAAATCACAAGTGATAAAAGAGAAGTTTGATTACTTGCACATCATCAAAATTAAAAACCTTTGTTCCAGGGCCTGTGCTGTGGCCTAGTAGGCTAAGCTTCTGCCTGCAGCACTGGCATCCCATATGGGCACTGGTTCAAGTCCCAGCTGCTCCTGTTCCGATCTAGCTCTCTGCCATGGCCTGGTAAAGCAGTAGAAAAGGCCCCAAGTGGGCCGGCGCCGTGGCTCACTAGGCTAATCCTCCGCCTTGCGGTGCCGGCACACCGGGTTCTGTCCCGGTTGCCCCTCTTCCAGGCCAGCTCTCTGCTGTGGCCCGGGAGTGCAGTGGAGGATGGCCCAGGTGCTTGGGCCCTGCACCCCATGGGAGACCAGGAAAAAGCACCTGGCTCCTGGCTCCTGCCATCGGATCAGCGCGGTGTGCCGGCCGCAGCGCGCCGGCCGCGGCGGCCATTGGAGGGTGAACCAACGGCAAAGGAAGACCTTTCTCTCTGTCTCTCTCTCTCACTGTCCACTCTGCCTGTTAAAAAAATAAAAATAAAAAAAAAAAGAAAAGGCCCCAAGTGGTTGAGTCCCCACACCCATGTGGGAGACCAGAAGCTCCCGGTTCCTGGCTTCAGATCAGCTCAGTTCCAACCACTGCAACCATTTGGGGAGTGAACCAGAGGATGGAAGACCTTTCTCTCCATTTCTTCCTCTGTCTCTAACTCTACCTCTCAAAGAAATAAAATCTTTTACAACAACAACAACAACAACAACAAAAACCTCTTGTGCCTCAGGGGATACTATCAAGAAAGTGAAAAGGGTCTGGTGTTACGGCACAGCAGGTTACATTGCCACTGGGTGATACCCACATCCCATATCAGAGTGCTAGTTTGAGTTCCAGCTGCTCTGCTTCTGATCCAGCGTCTGCTAATGAGCCTGGGAAACAGCAAATGGGTGTTGCAGACCCAAATGGGTGCTGCAGATTGAACCAGGGGACAGATGAATAGTTTTTATTATTACTCTGTTAATTTTTTTAAAAAATTCTACCTTGTAAGCAAATTTTAACACTATCCAGAACAAAGTATTTACATTTATGAGAGAAAAATATTCTTTTTCACACCTTCAGAAATTACTACTTCAAATTAACAGTTCCTTATCTGAAACCTTTTTGGCTAGACACTTTTAGGAATTCAGAACCTGACATCCCATTTGAGCACTGGTTTGAGTCCTGGCTACTCCACTTCTTATCCAGTTTCCTACTAATGTGCCTAAGTGCTTGGGGCCCTGCCACCCACAGGGGAGACCTAGATGGAATTTCAGGCTCCTTGTTCGCACCTGACCCAATCCAGGCCATTGGCAGTCTTTGGGGGAATAAACCAGTAGATGAAAGATTCATGTCTCTCTCTGTAATTCTGCCTTTCAAATAAATAAACCTTTAAAATACATACAATCCCCTAATCCTACAGCTGGATCAATTCCCCCACAAGTGCTAAGATTAAAAAAGAAAAATCAGAACTTTTCTTAGTAAGGCATGTCTGCTGTATATTATGCAATATCTCCAGCAAGCTGCACTGTGATTAAACACATCAATACTTCTGCAGAAAACTCATGAATATTCACACCAGGTGCGCATTCAGCTTCACCCAGCCTTGGTGCTGTTCAGGTCAGACAACTACTAAAGGGGTTAGGAAAGACAGAGGGGTTGGGGCCTATGAGGCTAATTTGAAATCCAGTTCTCTAGAGAGTATTTGCTACCTAGTTCAAAGCCAAAGAAAACTTTTGGTTTTCCCCTCCCACAGATTAAAAAAAAAGAAAGAAACAGTGTATTTCATGTTAAGAATGAAACTTAGTATACCTTACCGCAGAAGGCAATCACAAAATGTATTAACCCGGGAAACGAAATTAACCAAGTGACCGTCCTCTGCACTCGTGAAAACCCCGTTTCTCGGCACGATTGTAAGAGACAGCACATCACCAGGTTTGATGTCCGGGGCAGAGTGAAACCAGAGGAAAGGCGGAAGGTGGGAGACACGCGAGGCACGCGGACAAGTCAGAAACCCACACCCTGGGCTGTAAAGCCGATCTGTACTTGGCGCAATTAGACCTTGCGAATTTGTTACTTTTTAAAAAAATTTAACAAAAATGTAAATTAAACATCCTCTTTTTTTGGTGACTCCCATCAGCGCCAGCCGGCCCCGTGCGCGACGCGGGGTGTTCCGCGGCCCCGGCGGCAGCCGCCCCGCCGGAGAGCGGGAGTCCGGCGGGCAGAGGCCATCTTGGGCCTCGGGGAGCACGGGACGAAGCCCAGCCGGGCTCTGGGGGCCGCTGTGCCAGGACCCGGGGACAAGGCGACTCCTCGAGAAGGCGCGGGCGAGCGCTCCCGCGGGGCGGACGCAAGAGGCGGCGCGGCCGGGGGAGCCAGCGCGCGGCGTCCGGCCGAAGCTGAGGGACGCTGGTTCGGACGAGGCAGCCGGCCGCGCCGCCGCCATCCCAGCGGGCTGGGCACCAGCGCGCCGCGCCCCGCGCCCGCACACACCGTGCCTCGCGAACCGCAGAACCCCGCAGCCGGCGGCTCCGTCCCGACGCAGGGATCGGCCCCCAGCCTCAATCACGGGGTGGGACCCTCGAGGCTCCTGTCCAACCCCGGTCCCCGGCGAGCGCGGGGCGGGACCCTCGCGGTCTCCTGTCCAATCCCATTCCTCAGGAGAGCGCGGGGCGGGAATTTCGCGCCTTCTGTCCAATCCGGCTTCTCGGCCAGCTCGGGGCGGGACTCTCGCGGCGTCCGTGCTACTCCGCCCCGCAGCGGCCCGAAGGGAGTCGGCCGCGGCGGCTGTCCGAAGCGGTGAGGACCGACGGGCCGGCGGGGGCAGCGCTCCCTCCGCTGACCGTGCAGCTCGGGGGCCGGGGCGAAGTCAAGTCGCCAAGGGCAGAGTTAAGTCGTGTTGGGGCGCAGGGGTGCCCGGGGCCGGCGGGGCTGCGCTGTCCTGGCGCGGGCATCTCGCCTGCGGGGTCTGAGCTGCCGTGAGGCTGGGCCGCCGGGCCGGGCTGGTTGCGGTGGTCTCGTTGGGGTTTGCTCCCGTGGGGGCCTCTCGAGTGTGCAGCGCCGCCGCTGGGCGGGCGCGGAGGAGCCCTGGTTCTCGGCTGCGCCGCAGGTGCCCGGGCGCCCCGCGGACCAGTCCCGGGGAGGTGCGGTCGCCTGGAAGCCGGGCGACCCGGTGGTCGTTCACCTCCGTTCTCCCGCAGCCTGGGCCTTGGCCTGTGCCGCCAGCGACTGACAGCAGTCCGAGTGCTGGGGCCTCCGAGCTGCTGGGCTTTCTGCCTTCCACCATCTTTCACCAGCCTTTGTTATTTCTTTTTTCTTCCTCCCCACAGTCGCCAGGCTGATTCAGCTCCCTGTGAGATTCCGCAGAGCAGAGCTGTTCCTGCAGGCTCCTGGCGGTCCTGAACAGCCCATCTCAGCGGGCCGGTATGTGACAGCCTCTCCCCGTGCTTACTGCTCCGGTTGTCTCCCACCTCTTACTGCCGCAGGACCCCACGCTGAGTCCAGCGCCATCACCTTCTGAAGTCTTTTGCAATTGTATTACTTAAACTTTGTGGTTGGGACTTCATGACAACTCGTCCAGAATGATTCTGGAAAATTCGTCATCTTCAGATGTGCCTGCTGCGGACTTAGGCACTGTAGTGGGTTTGAAATTCCTCCTCTTGTTCCCAGTTTCCTACAGTCTGTTGAGTGGCAGGGAGTTAAATAGAACTTATTATCTGGGCGTGTGTGTGTGTGTGTGTGTTTTCCTGTCGCTGCATAGAAATCAGCCACGAAGTTAACATCAACAGTATTTATTATCTCCCTGCTTCTGTAGGTCTGCCGGCTGGGTGAGGTGAGCTGAAAGCAAGGTTTCCGTAGTAGGTCTGGGTTCTTTGCTGGAGCCTCTTGTTACGGAGGAGAATTCACTTCTAGGCTTGTAGAATTCAGTTCCAGTGCACTTGCAGGAGTGAGGGTCCTGTTCCCTTACTGTAGCAGCCTTGCCTCCCTCAGTTCTTTAAGGCCACACTTGCATGTTCAAAGTCAGCACCAGGAATCTTTATCTTGCTTTAAATCTCTTACATGTCTTCCACTCTAGTTCTCTGCCCTGAAAAACTCCTACTTCTAGATGTATTCAAAACAAAAGTTGATGTTATTCATGCCATTATATTTTGGGCTTTCCTTGTTATGGAGAAGAGCTTAGTCTTTACCTGCTGGTGTGGGGAGATGGTCCAAAAATGAGGTGTAACAGTGGTCTTGTAGTTCCATGGCTTCTTCCTATACAATGATGTTCCATTTCTTTTTTCTTTTTTCTTTTTTTTTCTGACAGGCAGAGTGGACAGTGAGAGAGAGAGACAGAGAGAAAGGTCTTCCTTTGCTGTTGGTTCACCCTCCAATGGCCGCCACGGCCGGCGCACCACGCTGATCCGATGGCAGGAGCCAGGAGCCAGGTGCTTCTCCTGGTCCCATGGGGTGCAGGGCCCAAGCACTTGGGCCATCCTCCACTGCACTCCCGGGCCACAGCAGAGAGCTGGCCTGGAAGAGGGGCAACCGGGACAGAATCCGGCGCCCCGACCGGGACTAGAACCCGGTGTGCCAGCGCCGCTAGGCGGAGGATTAGCCTAGTGAGCCGCGGCGCCGGCCTGTTCCATTTCAACCACCTGTAAACTTGGACCCAATGGAAATGCAGATCTCAGTCCAAATACAGACATGACCACTTTCAGCTACGTGCCCTAGTCAGCTAACTTTAACTGAATTTCCTTGTCTTTCAGTGGATAATCATATAATGAGTTAGAGTCCTTTGATTTTTTAAAAAGATAGATTTATTTATTTGAAAGAGTTTCAGAGCTAGAGAGAGACACACACACACATACACGGGGGAGGAGAGAGAGAGAGAGAGAGAGAGAGAGAGAGAGAGATATCTTCCATCTACTGGTTCACTCCACAGATGGCCGCAACTGCTGGGGCTGCACAAGGCTAATGCCAGGAGCTTCATCCCTGTCTCCCATGTGGTAGCAGAAGCACAAGCACTTGGGCCATCTTCCGCTGCTTTTCCAGGCCATTAGCAGAGAGCTGGACCAGAATTGGAGCAGCCGGGACTCAAATCGGTGACTGTATGGGATGCCAGCGTTGCAGGCAGTGGTTTTATTGGTTACGTCACAATGCCGGCCCTAGTTCTCAGATTTTTGTTTTTTTCAAGTACCTGTCAAAGGACAATATAAAGAAAATAATCCAGCTTGAAACAAAAATATTATGGTAGGCAGAATTTTTTGAGTGGCCTTATACACACCTTAGAAACATTTCGGGTTGAGTTCTCTAAAATGAATACATGTATGGAAACAAGGTTGCTATGGGGTACGTGAAATCACTTTGCTTATACCAGCTTTCTGCATAATTAAGTTAACATGTGTCTTTGTCATGTGCCTTACATGTTCTGTAATACTGCATAACTATAGCTAGGCAAGCCTTACACATCTTTTCATACACCCTTGAAGTTGTGTCTTAGCCCATCATCCTTTTATACAAATAGAATCCTACATGTTCTTCAAGATCTGCCGCAGGTTGCCTCACTTCTATGTTGCTGCCTTGGTTTAGGGGAAAGATATAATCTAACAAATTTGGCTGTGGCCTTAAACAAGTTACTCAGTCTCTTGAGTTTTGCTTTACTAGTATATAGAATGACAGTGTGACCTTTCAGAGGTAATATGAAGGTCAGAACTAACAATGTATGTAACATATACTATAGTACTTGGTAAATGGTACGTGTTCAATAAAAGATCCCATGCAAGTCTAGCACATTGAGTCTATACCCCCCACCTTTTTTTTTTTTTCTTAAGTTTGTTTTTCTATGTGACAAGTTTGTAAATTCCATGAGAACTGGGACCAAGTCCTGGATACACTGTGGTCCCTAAATACTGGCTTAGTGAACAGGACCTAGCATATATAAAAGTATGTATGAGCTTGAGTTGTGAGGGCTGTCTCTTTTCTTTAGTTTTCTTCTTGTGATTGTCATGGAAAATCAACTGGCTAAATCAACAGAAGAAAGAACGTTTCAGTACCAGGATTCTCTTCCATCACTGCCCGTTCCTCCACTTGAAGAATCACTAAAAAAATACCTTGAATCAGGTATGATTGCAATCTTTTAGTATACAGTGATCTTGCTAGCAGCTTAGATAACTATAATGCTGTTAGAAGTTGAGAATCTAACTGCTTCTTTGTTCTAGGCTCAGAATAAAATATCCTTAAGATATCCAAAACCTTTCTTTTTATGTTAATTTTTAATTTATGCTAATTTCCCCATAGTTTGAGAAGCCAGAAAGTGTAATAATGAAAAGTACAATGCTCTGCCCATCTCCTGACCCTCTCTGCTTGCAAATCATATTCTCCAGCAAGATTTTAAAATCTTTTACCTGTTTTTTTGTATTGTTTATCTCCATATTTAAATGGACATTCTTTTATTACTGTTTCTTGAGTACTTTAGTTGTAGATCTTATAAATTCATGAAAAGGTGTGGATTTAGCTCTCTTATGTTCTTGGTCCCTTCCTGCCCCATTATTTGTACAATTCAACACCCGCTCAGTATCCTCATGCTCTCAAGATAGAGATGACGAAGGCACCAACTGAGACCTCACAGATGTGAATCTATTTACCTGATTTACATCACCTGGCCATCACTGGTTTCGTCATGCAATTATCATTCACAAGTGGACCAGGGCTTTTACTTTGATTACCTTTTCACTGCAATTTCTTGTTTTTACTCCTTTTTTATTTGCTTTGCATTCATAAATTGTTAGACACTTCAGTACACTGACAGTCCCTTAATACATTCAGAAACTTAGCTGTTCAGTCGGTTTCGTTCTTTCTTGGAGACATCCCTCCTGGAGCCCTCTCCACCTGCTCCGATCGCCATTAACTTTTCTTGCTGGACAGCTGATCTTGGCCTTCCCTTTTTTGGGACTGTGATGATTCTCTTCACCTGTCTCTCCTGTTTTGGCATCTGTTTATTAGTTTACTTCCCTATTTTGTGGAATCATCAGTATCTACCTAAGAAAGGATATTTGGGAGAAAAAGTTCTAGGACCTGACATTTACTTGATGTTTGCTTGAGTTTAAACTCTGGGTTAGAAATAAATTTTTTAAGAGTTTTGAAGACATTGTTTGTTTCTCTTGAAAAGTGTAATGTTATCCTAAGTTTTCATCATATGTATACATATGATATGTATGTATATGACCTATTATTTTTTACTCACTGCATGCATTTTCTCAGATGTGTCCCTTGATAGCCTTTTCATTCATTTCTCTGGGTAGTCATTGGGTTCTTTAAAAAATTACATTTTTCAGTTCCAGGGAATTTTTAATGTAATTTTTCTGAAAAGAATAGTTTTCTCCTCATTTCTTTCTCCTTTTGGGGTTGAGTTCTTTTGGATGAAGTTTTTTGTTTTGTTTGTGGAGTCAGGGAGTGAGGGAGCTCCTGTCTTGTGGTTCACTTCCCAAATAACTGGAACAGCTGGGGTTAGGCCAGGCCCATGCGTGGAACTAAACCTCGGTCTTCCACAAGGGTGTCAGGGACCCAGCCACTTGAGCCACTGCCTGCTACCTCCCAGGGTGAGCGTTAATAGAAACTCTACCCCAATTTCTCATCACTTTCCACTTCCTAGGCCTTAGAAGGTAGAGCCAGAATTTGAACCCAGGTACTCTGATATGAGGTGTGGGTATTGCAAACATGGTTCTTAAAATATTTTTTTCTGGGGACCGGTCACTGTGGTATAGCAGGCAAAGCCACCATCTGTGGTGCCGGCATCCCATATGGGCTCAGGTTCGAGTCCCAGCTGCTCCACTTCCGATCCAACTCTCTGCTATGGCCTGGGAAAGCAGTGGAAGATGGCTCATGTGGTTGGGCCCCTGCACCCATGTGGGAGACCCAGAAGAAGCTCCTGGCTCCTGGCTTCAGACTGGCCCAGCTCCAGCCATTACGGCCATCTGGGGAGTGAACCAGAAGATGGAAAATCTCCCCCCACCCCCACCTCTACCTCTGCCTCTCTATAACTCTGCCTTTCAAGTAAATAAATAAATCCCTAAAATTTTTTTTCCTCTTTAATTGTTAATGCCTTTCCTTTTTTAAAAGGTCTATTTACTGTTAGATATCACCAGTCCTTTTTGTTTATTTTGCTATTTGACTATCATGTGAGAAGCGCTTCTCAGCTATCTGGCATGAGTGAGACTCTAAAAAGCTTACTGGGAACTCTGTGTGCATGGTAGTAGTGGACCTTATTCTTGGATAGAGATGTAGTGATTCATTAGGACATACCAGAATACCAGCACCCCTTTCTGTTGTGATCAGTTTTCCAAAAGAGGAATCCTTTAATTTTTTTTTTGACAGGCAGAGTTAGACAGTGAGAGAGAGAGACAAAGAGAAAGGTCTTCCTTCCGTTGGTTCACCCCCCAAATTGCTGCTACGGCCGGCGCGCTGTGCCGATCTGAAATCAGGAGCCAGGTCCTTCCTCCTGGTCTCCCATGCGGGTGCAGGGCCCAAGCACTTGGGCCATCCTCCACTGCACTCCCGGGCCACAGCAGAGAGCTGGACTGGAAGAGGAGCAACCGGGACAGAATCCGGTGCCCCAACCGGTACTAGAACCCGGTGTGCCGGCGCCGCAGGCAGAGGATTAGCTTAGTGATCCAGGCGCCGGCCACAAATCCTTTAATTTCTGATTTACATCTTAGGTTTCAGAAGTTTTGATTTTCATGGAACATGGACCTGTGTCATTTTTTTGGGGAAGGAAATCATTATTTTCCATGAAGTACCCTAAGCTGCCCTGGATAGGATCCACACTTACGTTTACATACATGCTTCATCTGTGTGCATGATAATCACAGCTCTTATTTGAACACTAATACGAGGATGTTTTATTATTTGTGGTTAGTGGGGTTCACTTTCCTTCTGGTCAATACTCATAGCTAAACAATAGTCCTACCTCATAATCTTAACTACCATCTAGAATGTTTTTAAAATAATTTTTCTGAAAGTTACCAGATTACACAATATTCACTAATTTAGTGTATTATATATTGTTGATTTTCAGCCATTTTCATATTGTAAAGTGTTATAATTTATTATATTGTTGTGATATTTAATAGTGTGTCTTACATACCTGAGTCTTAAGATTTGTATAATAATAATTGAAGTGAGTTGCTGGTACTTGATGTCTAAGCACTTTAATGCATATTTTCCCTTTATAGTAAAGCCTTTTGCAAATGAAGAAGAATATAAGAAAACTGAAGAAATAGTTCAAAAATTTCAAAATGGAATTGGAGCAGAATTGCACCAGAAGTTACTTGAAAGGGCAAAAGGAAAAAGAAATTGGGTATTTATGTTATACTTACCATAGAAAAATTGATATTTAAATGATGAGAAATAAAAATGTAAATAGCTTTCATTTTTAAATTATTGGTGTAAAAGTCCTTGCAGTCTTTATGTTCATCCTACAGAATAAATTAATCACTGAACTCTGGGAAGTTTTGAGTGTTGTGGGTGGGCCCCCTTCTTACGTGTTAAAATGCAGCTTTTCTAGGAGTGGTGATTCTGGATGGGATGTCTGGAATGGGACTCCATGTGGTTCTGACACAGGTGATCTGTAGACCATATTTGAGTATAGCCTGTAAAACTGGCAAACACTAAAATAGGCATGTCACATACGTGGCAGAGAAATATTGAAATAGTATATGGGGAAAAAAGCCCATTACCAAATTGGAGTGGAGCATAGTTACGAACATTATGTTTCAGTTAGATAAATTGGAGAAGTTGGTTCAGTAATTATTGAGGGTCTTGATAATTTTCACAAGGAGTCTGACTTCTTAAGCTCAATCATTTCTTTACTTCTCTAGTATATGAAATAGAGGCTGAATCTTCATAATTAAAAGGCATTGCCTTACTCTACAGGTAATGATTATAACTAACCTTTAGATTCAGAAATGAAAAGCAAGCTTATCTTGTCATGAGCCATTGAGATTTATAATGGAGTAATAAAATTTATACTTCCACATTTCTTTGTTTTCAATTTTGAGGCTTGAGTGATTTTAACTGAAGTGGGGTAAAGGTAAAGAAGTTGTTCTGCCTTTATTTTTTATGCTTCTGTCATTTTCTGAATTACTAAATATAATTTATAACATCAGTTTCTTCCAAAATAACTAATAACTCCAGGTAATTTGATAAGATCTGCTTACTTACGCATGAAATTCAATGGCATATTGTGAAAGAGGGACACTTAGCATGCAGTGCCTATGAAGAATCTAAATTAGTTTCTTTTGAAGATTTATTTTATTTATTTGAAAGAGTTACAGAGAGAGGTAGAGCCAGAGAGAGAGAGGTCTTCCATCCACTGGTTCACTCCCCCCAGATGACCAAAACGGCCAGAGCTGAGCTGATCCAAAGCCAGGAATCAGGAGCTTCTTCCAGGTCTTCCAACACGGGTGCAGGGGCCCAAGGACTTGGGCCATCTTCTACTGCTTTCCCAGGCCACAGCAGAGAGCTGGATCAGAAGTGGAGCAGCCAGGCACTGCAGGCCATAGCTTTAACCTGCTGTACAACAGCACCAGCCCCCTAAATTAGTTTTAAACCTATACAGCAGTAAAAAAAAAAAAGAAAAGAAAAGAAAAAAAAAGAAATCTGGTCATTTGCAACAAAATGGAGGAATCTGGAAAACATCATGCTGAGTGAAATGAGCCAGTCCCAAAGGGACAAATATCATATGTTCTTCCTGATTGGTGACAACTAACTGAGCACCTAAAAGGAAACCTGTGGAAGTGAAATGGACACTATCAGAAACAATGACTTGATCAGCCCTTGTCCTGACTGTTCAGGAACAACTTACTATTTTATTCCTTTTAGTATTTTTTTTTTTTTTTTGTTCTACTTAATACCATTGGTTGAACTCTTCAACACACAATTATTCTTAGGCATTTAAATTTAACTGAAAAGTGATCCCTGTTAAATATAAGAGAGGGAAGAGATGTACAGTTCAGCACATGCTCACTCGGACTTACCCCTAATGGTAGAGCTAGAAACGTGCCCGGGAATTCCAGTTCAGTCCCATCAAGGTGGCAAGTACCAATGACATCTTACTTGTTAAAGTGATCAGTTTAAGTTCATAATTGATCAAAAAGATAGGATTAAGTGTCAAAGGGGTTACATAAATAAGACCAGTGTCTGCAAATAATAATTGATAGAATTAAAAAGGAGAGAATGATCTTACATGGAAAGCAGGATACACAGCAGACTCATAGAATGGCAAATGCCCTAAACAGCACTCTGGCCTCAGAATCAGCCCTTAAGGCATTCTAATCTGGCTAAAAAGCCCATGAGAGTTTCACAGGCATGGAAAGCCAAGACACTTTGGGGGAAAATAAATGACCTAAATGGAAAATCTCTGTGAGAGATCCCAGCTGAAAAAACAGGCCATCAAATAAGGCAGTACCTTTCTCTGAAGGGAGGAGAGAACCTCCACTTTGATTATGGCCTTGTCTAAATAAGGTCGGAGTTGGTGAACTCAAGAGGCTTCCATAGCCTTGGCAGCTCATGACAAGAGCCTTGAGTGATTACTGACATCATAAATAAGAGTGTCAGTTGTTAAATCAACAACGTGAGTCACTGTGCACCTGCTCCCCATGTAGGACCTCTGTCCTTAATGTGTTGTACTATGCGAATTAATGGTAAAACTACTCAAACAGTACTCTATATTTTGTGTGTCTTTGTGGGTGCAGTCTGTTGAAATCTTTACGTAGTATATACTCAGTTGATCTTCTGTATATAAAGATAATTGAAAATGAATCGTGATGAAGAATGGGATGGGAGAGGGAATGGGAGATGGGATGGTTGCAGGTGGGAGGGAGGTTATGGGGGGAAAAGCCACTATAATTCAAAAGTTGTACTTTGTAAATTTATCTTTATTAAATAAAAGTTAAAGGAAGAAAAAAAAGAAAATATGTTTTAAGTTTGAAGATGAGTAAAGAACCAATGTTGCTTGCTCTTTTTTTTTTTTTTTTTTTGCCAGCAGTTATGCATTCACATATTGTGAAGGACATTAGGCTGATGTTAATTTCTTTTAGCTGGAGGAGTGGTGGCTGAATGTGGCCTATCTGGATGTTCGTATACCATCACAACTGAATGTCAACTTCGCGGGTCCTTCGCCCCATTTTGAACACTACTGGCCTCCAAAAGAAGGCACTCATTTAGAAAGAGGAAGTATAATTCTTTGGCATAACTTGAACTACTGGCAGCTATTAAGAAAGTAAGAATACTTAAGTGAATTTGTAATAGGTTTACCTGACGTCTCAGGTGGCAAAATGTTGAGAAGCTTCATTTATTTGGGGTTGAGTACTATAGATGTGACTGGTTGGTTTATAAGTCTAATAATGAGTTCTTAATCATAATCCTGTTTTTAATAGGGAAAAAGTGCCTGTTGACAAAGTTGGGAACACTCCTCTAGATATGAATCAATTCCGAATGCTGTTTTCTACCTGCAAGGTTCCAGGAATTACTAGAGATTCAATTATGAATTATTTTAGGACTGGTAAGTGAAAACATGCAAATGTGTTGGGATTTGGGTAGTTTGATGTAATTTTTACTGAGTCGCCATGGAACATAGTTTTGAAGAATGTTTGCTTGTTGGACTTTGACAAAGACTTTGCATGAATCTTCTATGTTGTTCTATTTTGTTGGGATGTAATGTATGGGAACAGGTTTTCCAAACTGTGTCTGACATGGTCCAGCACAAACCCGTGACTTGTGTTGTATCATCTGAGAGTTTAAACAATTTAGCTGAGAGTAGAATTCTGAATAAGAATACTGAAGAAATCCTGGAGCATATGTTCTGGATGCCTTTCTTTCTACTGTCATCTCTATTATCTGAACTATCCATTCAGGTGTTTGATTGTCTGTGTTCATCATACTCATTTCTCTTTGCAAATATGTTTTCCCTATCTGAGCTGAAAGTCTGGAGGCAAATAGGTTTAGATTGACTCATCAAATTTCTGTTTTTACAGTTCAGTGGCAATTTTTGCTTGATGTCCCCTTCAAATGGAAGAATTTGTTGTAATTGCTGATGTTATTACTTTAGGAATGTTTTTGTTTTTTGAAACTAATGACAGTTTACAATCACTGTAGAGTACAATTTTGAGTGGATAAAGTAAAGGTTTTAAGAGCCAGTTAAGCTCATACAGTGAGCTTAGTTTACTGTTACAGAGAATTCAACTTCTCTTAGTAAGCCCCTATAGACGATTGAGGCGTTCAGTGTCTTTGAGCCCATGTGATTTACCTTAATGTTGCAAGTGAAAGAATTAAAAGAAATTTCAGGGAAACTGGGTTATTCATAGCAAAATTTAGTGTCTAAATGTAAGTGGAAGAGAAAAACAGAAAAGTGATGTAAGAATAGCAGTAATGAAGAGAGGAAAATTGAAAACTGATGTTGCTAAGACCTGGTTTTGAATTTGGTCTTGGTTACTTAGGTATGTCCTTTATAAAGTAACTCCTTCAAGTTAGAGTGTGTAAAACAAGGATTCATTAATAACATTTCTTGTTACAGTGGTATAAACTGTCATAATTGTAATATTCTTAGAGCTATGTGAAGAAGTATATAGGGATAAAGCTGGAGTAATAAGTAAACAAGAAAAAAATTCAGAATTAGTGGTAAGTACTGTGTAGAAAATTTAAATGAATGATATGTGACTGTTTTAGGTTACACTGTAGAGAAGGCTTCTCTGGGGATGTGAATGATATGATGGACCAGTGTAGGTTTTGGCTTTTTTTAGTTTGGTTTAAGTCAGTTTTGTTTTTGTGCTCTGTGTGTGTGTGTGTGTGTGTTGAGGGAAGGATCTCCCCCAGGGAAGAAATAAACTTGGCATGTTCAAAAAGCAATAGGACAGAGCAGAGTAGGCAAGAGGGAGAGGGGTGGATTGAGGAGGTGACTAGAGACCCTGTAGTACTTTGTAAACCAAGAGAATAGGTTTTTGGCTTTTATTTTAATACTAACGGGTTTTGAGAAAAGTAGTAACGTGCAGATTTATGTTCCAAAAGACCATTCTTTCGCTGTAAGCACAGAAGCGGGGAGATGACTTAGGCAGTTGTTAGGATCATCCAAGTGAGCTGATACAGGCATGTGCTAGGGTGGTGAAAAGGTACCAGATTCTAGATATACTTTGGATATGAGGTTAGCAGAATTTTCAGAGTTAAGTTGTGAGATACAAGACAGAAACAGCAATCAGAGATGACTTTAAGATATTTGACTTCAGCAATTAATGGGATATATTAATGTGTAGGTTCATATGGTAAGAAAAATTGGGAGGAGATGTTTTAGGAAGAAAAATCAAGAGGTACCTTGGACTATGTTGAATTTAAGATGCCTTTTAGTAGAAATCTAAGCAGGCAATTGGAGACAAGGTGTAGAATTCTGGGAAAGATTAAGTACTGTAGATAGTGACTTTAGGACTCATCACCAGTAGGCAGAAATGATTTTTAGAGCTGTTAGAGTAGGTTAGGGGCCGGCACTATGACGTAGTGGATAAAGCCACTGCCTGAAGTGCTGGCATCTTATATGGGCGCCAGTTCAAGACTCGGCTGCTCCACTTATGATCCAGCCCTCTGCTGTGGCCTGGAAAAGCAGTGGAAGATGGCCCAAGTCCTTGGGCCCCTGCACCTGTGTGGGAGACCTGGAGGAAGCTCTTGGCTCCTGGCTTCAGATCAGCACAGCTCCAGCTGTTGCATCCAATTAGGGAGTGAACTGGTGGATAGAAGACCTCTCTTTGTCTCTCTGCCTCTCCTCTCTCTGTGTAACTCTGACATTCAAATAAATAAATAATTTTTTTTTAAAAAAAGAGTAGGTTAAATTACTTTTGGCACATATGTAAGTCAGGGTGCTGGGCTTGGGGGAGCAGTACTAATTCTTATCATAACCTAATAGAGGAGGAGGAGCCAGCAAAGGAGACCAAGAGAAGTAGGAAGAAAATGAGCCCAGTGGTCCCCTTGAAGTCAAGAGAAGGAAGTGTTTTATTTATGCTGGTGGAAATGTGACCACTGGGTTTGTCAGCAGAATGGGGACAGATGCTGTCCTGGACCAGAGCGGTTTTAATGCAAGCGGAGGAAAGAAGTTCAGTTTAAAGAGATGAAAGCAAATTGATGAAGTGGTGACAACATTTGGAAATAATACTTGGAAAAAATGTTGGTATGCAGTGGAAGATTTAAAAACTTGTGTTTTAAACGATTGATGATATTACATCTTAGTAATAATAGAGGAGAGAAAAAAATTACCTTGCAAGGGAGGAGATAAGGGGCCAAATCATTGGGAAGAAGAGGGGTGGGAGGTAAAGAGCAGGATGGTAGAGGAGAGGATCTCCCACCAAAGAAAGCAGGGACCAGGAGGGAGTGCATCTGGATGCAGACGAGAGCCACTTCTGCTGCAGGAAGATGAGGAGCTCCTTTGTGTTGCTTGTGTTTTCCTTTGTCAAGCTGAGTTCCTTAGCCGAATTGGAAGATTTGAGGAGAAAAGAGAAGGTTTAAAATAGTCACTGTGGGATATGGGAAGAGGAATTGTGCTGTAGACATGTGAGGTTGCTGAGCCATGTTTAGTGCCCATTTGAGATGTATGTTCATGAATGTAAAGTTATACTGGATGATGTGTGTTTTCTTAAGCAATATGCAGGGGCAAGTGCAGAGGTAAGGATTTTTGCAAGGGAGAAATTGCAGTGTAGGGCTATAGAACCTGTTCTTGATAAGGAGAAAATATAAGAAATTTTATATGTTGAAAGGAGGGCAGAATGTAAGGTGCTGGCCTAGTAAGGAGTCTGTAACCAGAACTAGTTTGCTTTTTAGCCTTCCCCTAAGAGAGCAGGATGAGTCATGGTTTCATCCTTGTTGACTTCATTTGGCTCCAGAAGCTCATGCTTTCCATGTCATCTCTTGTCATCTTTGATCCAAGTTTCCTGCTGCTGTGACTTACCCGACATGTCATCTCTTGTCATCTTTGATCCAAGTTCCCTGCTGCTGTGACTTACCCCACCACTTCCCCAAAGCCTCCTGATCAGCACAATCCACTGCATCCTCAACTTTTACTCTGAAGGATTCCACCACTACTTCTCTTGTAAGCATCTCAGTGGGAGGTTTTTTTAATGTTTATTCTTTAGTTCTGCAGGCTTCATGGGAGGTGTTGGCATCCTGTTTATTTCCCTTTGCCTTTTCCATTTTCTGTTTTTACAGTTTGGACTCTTTGGGCAGAAAAAAAAAGCTGTTAGGTTTTATAACCACTGCTCGTGACATTATAATGACTTTGCTTCTGACCATTCCTTTTCACTCATTGGTTAGCATCAGTCTCACTGTTTTTCTGTTACTACCCCTGGATGGCTTTGAAGATGGAAGAAGGGGTTCCTGAGCCAAGTCGTATGGGCGGCCCTTCAAAAAGCTGGAAGGGGGAAAGAAACAACCTCGCTAGAGCTCCAGAATGACCACAGCCTGCTGACTCCTCCAGTTTAGCCGCACTAAGACACATTTCAGATTTCTGGCCTTCAGATTGGAAGGCAGTAAGTTGTGTTGTTTTGAGTCACTGAGTAAATGGTAATTTGTTAGTGCAGGCTTTGAGAACATCCGGTGTTTTCCCACTCTCTTGCAGTACATTATCACACATTTGTATACTTTGTCTTCCTTCTTCAATAATAGATGTCATGTTCTGACTCCTAAGGTCAACTCTCCCAAATGTGTTCTGGACCTCATGTTGTCTCATCAAGGATCTTGCATATGCATTATATGCATTGCCGTCTTTTTCTCTTTGCTAGATGTTCCAATCTGGACTATCTCTCTCTCTCTCTCTCTTTTTTTTTTTTTTAGATTTATCTATTTGAAAGAGTGACAGAGAATGAGTGAGGGACAGACAGAGTCCTTCCATGTGCTGGTTCACCCCTAAAATGGCTGCAATAGCCAGGTCTGGGCCAGGCTGAAGCCAGGAGCCAGAAATTCCATCTGGATCTCCCACCTGGGTGGCAGGGGCCCAAACACTTGAGTCATCCTCCTCTGCCTTCCCAGGTGAATGAACAGGAACCTGGATCAGAAGCAGAGCAGGTAGGGCTCAAACCAGCCCTCTGATACAGGATCCCACCTTGCAGGCGCAGCTTAACCTACAATACCAGCTCGTCCTATAGTAAAAGAAAAATAACTTGTTTCCTTCAAATGTCACCCCCTAGTCAAAGTCACCATCTTCTCTCACTTAGGTCATTTTTACCTGCCTGCTAACTCACCTTGCTGCGTCTTCTCTTCTGGCCATAATCTGTTTTCCATGTAGCAGCTGGAATAACCTTTCTTAAGTGTTGGATTACATTATCACTGTCACTCTTCAGCTTCCTTCCCAGCATACTTCAAATTGAAAGCCCGTTCTGAGGTCAGTATGATGCGGCCGCCGCTCTGTACTTCTCTTTCCTGCTCTGAGTGCACTGACCTCGTTTCCCTCGAAGCGAAGCAGCCACAGTTGTCCTGATGTCTTTTCACTTGCCGTTCCTGTGGAACTGCCATGGTGCACTTTCTCACTTGGTGCAGTGTTCTGCCCAGGCATCTCAGCTTAGGTTCATCCCGAGTTAACACCTCTTGCCATCACCCCCACTTCCAACTGTTTATTGATTAATTGGGCAGCTGATGTATTTTCTTTATTTTCCAGCCCTAAAATTTGGGAAGATGTGGTCAGTAGATGATAGCAATAAAAGGTAGTGGTTGCCAATGTGTAAGGATCTGGAGGAGAAGAGAGACAAAAGGAGTAGCCATTAGGAGCCGGGAAAATACATACTCACCTCCCAGTTCTTGAGAAAATAGGTATAAGACTGGTGTTATCAGTAGTCCTTTTTTATAGGTTCATGAAATAATGTGGGTAAAGAACTCAGCACCACCCAATACATTTCCTTCCAGTGGCAGTGTGTAAGGGTACTTCAGAGAGTTCATGGGAAAATAGAATTAAAAGATCAGTGTATTTTGGTACAAATTCTTTAAAATTTTTATTTTTCTTTTTATTCGAAAGGCAGAGATTAGATCTTTCTTTCTTTCTTTCTACCTATCTATATCTATCTATCTATCTATCTATCTATATCTATCTATCTATCTATCTATCTATCTATCTATCTATCTATCTATCTATCTTCCATTTGCTGATTCACTCTCCAAATGCCCTCAACAAGTAGGGCTGGGCCTGGCTGAAGCCAGTTCAAACCGGGTCTCCCCCATGGGTGGCAGGGACCCAAGGACTTGAGCTGTCACCTGCTGCCTCTGAGGGTGTACACCAACAGGAAGCTGGATTAGAAACAGAAAAACTGAGATTTGAAACAAGCTTTCTTGATACACAGTGCCAGTGGTCAAGTGGCAGCTTCACTGCTGTGCTAAAAGCCCACCCATTCATTGTATGGATTTTCCATGAACCTTTTGAAGGTCCCTCATGCATGTACGTTTCTCTTCCTCTTTTTAATTTTTGCTGTCATGTAGGAAGACCCTTGGCAAAGGAAGTAGTAACTAAAAACTGGGCTAAGTCAGAGTAGTCTGAAATTTACACCAAATAAACAGTTCTTGGGGAATTAATGTGTGCCAAAGGGATCAGAATTCATAGTGATATTCACTATTAGCAGAGCCTTAATTAGAAACAGACTGGGCCAAACTCTTTCCTCTTGTCACTTACGCAAGTGATGTTCATTTCTACTTAAAACATTTTTTTTCTTTGAGGAATTATAGTTTGATATCTTTGCAGTTAAATTCTCTGAAGAACGGTTAACAAAATAATCCCAAAGAGAAGCTCATGAGTTCAAATGATTCTCCTCTCTGGACCCCTTCTACTATTCTCACTTCTTTCCCCAAATAAAACTAGAAGACCTTGTGGCAGTTTGGGATTTGTATGATTCTTAGGGTATATAAATATTTGAAGTTCTCATGGATTTCTAGGTATTGTCTATGGACACATTTAAAGATACATATTTACTTCATAGTAACTGAAATTCTTTTAACTTGCATGTTGTTCATGTTATATATTTGATGAATATATGATGAAAAAAATCACTTTCCTCCAGTTTAAATTTGGGAGATTTGAGTCTTCTGTCTTCTGTTTCTTTTTCCAGAGAGTGAAGGGCATTCCCCAAGTCACCTTGCAGTGCTGTGTCGCGGCCGAGTTTTTGTCTTTGATGTAATACATGAAGGCAGTCTGATCACCCCGCCAGAGTTTCTCAGGTCTTCAAACTACTTTATCTTGAGTCTCACCGCATGTTAAGTTTTTACTTGAGTTAAAAAAGTAAATGTTCAGAAACACCTTTCTGTGAAATGTCGGTAAAATGAAAAACAAAATTTTATACATGCTTACTTTTAAAGAACTTTTCTTTTTAATTTAATTTTTTGAGACACAGGGAGAAGATGCAGAGATTGGAAAAAGATTAGTTCTTAATTTATTATATGTACTTGAATATGTTCTACTTGGAGAAAAGGAAACCATAGATATGTTCCTTTCCCTGCTCCAGATTTTTTTTTTCAAGATTTTATTTACTTGAGAAATAGAGTTATAGACAGTGAGAGGGAGAGACAGAGAGAAAGGTCTTCCTTCCATTGGTTCACTCCCCAAATGACTGCCGCAGCTGGAGCTGGGCCAATTCGAAGCCAGGAGCCAGGAGTTTCTTCTGGGTCTCCCACATGGGTGCATGTATCTAAGGACCTGGACTATCTTCCATTGCTCTTCCAGGCCACATCAGAGAGCTGGATCAGAAGTGGAGCAGCTGGGACTCGAACCAGTATCCATATAGGATACGGGCACTGCAGGCGGTGGCTTTACCCACTATGCCACAGCGCCGGCCCCAATGCATTTTTTTTTTAAAGATGTATTTATTTGTTTGAAAGGCAGAGTTACAGAGGCAGAGGCAGATAGAGAGAAGTCTTCCATCTGCTGGTTCACTCCCCAGATGGCTGCAGTGGCCGGAGCTGGGCCAATCTGAAGTCAGGAGCCAGGAGCTTCTTGTGGGTCTCCCATGTGGGTATAGGGGCCCAAGAACTTGGACCAACTCTGCTTTCCCAGACCATAGCAGAGAGCTGGATCAGAAGTGGAGCAGCTGGGATTTGAACCAGTGCCTAAATGGGACGCCAGCACTGCAGGTGGAGGCTTAGCCCACTACACCACAGCCCCGGCCCAGGGAAATGTATCTTATGTGAAAACTGCATAGATTTCAACATTTTGGTACCCAAATAAATTTATCTTTTGATTCCATTTCCATGAACTTTTTGAAGTATCCTCATAGTTGGGTGTGTTCCATCCTTCCAGACCTGTTGTAATGAATGTATATGTGCAATAGTTTTAAAAAGAGAACATATATATATATATATATGAGTATAGTATATATTATATGTATGTGCATGCATACATACATATAGTAGTGTGTGTATAATATGTATATATGGCATGTATTGTGTGTATATATTTTTAAAGTATGTTATGGAAATTTTGAAACTGTTGAGGGAATTATGTAATGAAGACCTCCATGTATCCATCCACTAGATACAACAGTTATCAACTCCTAGCTTCAGCAGTTATCAACTCCTAGCTTCAGCAGTTATCAACTCCTGGCTTCAGCAGTTATCAACTCCTAGCTACAACAGCTATCAACTCCTAGCTTCAGCAGTTATCAACTCCTGGCTTTACCAGTTATCAACTCATGCTTGGTGTTGGTTGACTCTTGTGCCCTCCTTTTCCCTCTCCATTGGATTGTTTTGAAGAAAATCTCAGAATATCCTTCCACCAAAAATATTTTAGAATGTATCATATTAGTATATATAAGAGGTCTTCCAAAAGTTCATGGAAAATGCATATTATGAAACAAAAAAAAAATTTATTTGCACCAAAATAAACTTACCTTTGAATTCCTCTTTTCATGAACTTTTGCAAGCATCCTTGTATCTTTATAAGCTGTAAGGATTCTTAAAAAACATAGTACCATTGTCACACCTAAGGACTGGCCTCTAATGACAGTAATTCTTTATTATCATTAATACATAATCAACTATTCAAGTTTCCTAGATTATTTTATGAATATTGTGTTGTCTATAATTTAAATGTATTTATTAAATACATATATGTACAAAAGCACACACAGAAATAGTCAGCTAAATATTCATATAAGCACCACCCAAGTCAACGCCAAGGTTTCCGGTCCTCCAGATCTGCCCTCATCCCTCTTCCCAGGCACTGTGCTTCCCCTCCCTCTTAGGGAAACCCCTGCCTCTCAGATAAACTTTTTTTTAATAAAGGTTTTATTTACCTATTTGAAAGGCAGAGTTACTGAGAGGCAGAAGCAGAGATTGATAGAGAAAAAGAGCGCGTGCGAGAGATAGAGAGTTTCCATCCACTGACTGGCTCACTCTCCAAAGGGCTGCAACAGCCAGAGCTGAGCTGATCTGAAGCCAGGAGCCAGGAGCCAGGACCCTCTTCCAGGTCTCCCACCTGCGTGCAGGGGCCCAGGGACTTGGGCCATCTTCTACTGCTTTCCCAGGCCATAGCAGAGAGCTGGATCAGAAGTGGAGCAGCCAGGACTCAAACCGGCACTCATATGGGATGCTGGCACTGCAGGCAGCAGCTTTACCCACTACACCACAGTGCTGGCCCCTCTCAGACAAACTTTTAAAAAATCTGGTGAACTTGCAAGTGAACAGTTATTTTCATTTCATTAAATTTGCATTTCCTTCATTACTAGTTGTCGCTCCCCCTCTTCGTGGAGGAACGACACAGGACCCTGCGCTGTTCTTTTCGTCTGCTCGGCCCTTCCCGGGTTTGCTGCTGGTTCTTCCCGGGTTGGCTACTATCCCTTCCACCTCCGTGGAAGGGCAGTTCCCCCTGGCCACATTCCCCACTTCCGCAGGGGAGCGGCACTCCGCCGGCCGGCTTTCTCGGGGGCTGCACAGGTGTTCCCCTTAGATGTTCCCCCTAGATGTTCCTGGTGCATGCCGTCTCTCTCCTCCTTTATAGTCCTCTTCCACCAATCCCAACTCTGCTACCCACACGCCGAGTACGCTGCTCTCCTCCAATCAGGAGCAGGTCCTACAGTTTCTTGGTTGAACTGGAGGCAGCTGTGTAGAAGCCTCTTTCTTCTCTCCCAGCGCCATATTGTGGGAGAGCAGATGCATAGAATAAGTCTTAATTCCAGTAACAATATAGTCCGAGTTGCTCCCCACAGTGGGAGAGCAGATGCATAGAATAAGTCTTAATTCCAGTAACAGTATAGTCCGAGTTGCTCCCCACAACTAGTGAGGGTCAGCATTTTCATATGTATTTATAGACCATTTCTGTTTTCTGTGAATTGTTTTTGCTTATTTTTCTACTGAGTGTTTTATTAATAGTTATTTTTTTGATCTGGACACTACTTTATTAAATGAGTAAATTTTTTAAGAAATTGTACATTATTAATTTTGATGTAGGCAAATTTATCTTTTAGGTCTTTTGCTTTTGTGATTTGGCTAGTATTTGCTTATGTGCCAGTTATAGTATTTAATCTTGCCCAAATTTGGCATGTAATTATTAGGTCAGGCTTAGTAATTGGATTACTCAAAGCCAGTCTTCCAGAAATTGAATACACGTGATCCATCAATTCAGCCTGTGACCTAATTTTTTTGTTTTTTGAGAACAGAAAATTTGAATCATTGTTTAATAATAAAGAGAGTTCACATAAAAATCTGGATTTCTGATTTCTCTTTAAAATATTACAAGTTCTGACAACACTAGCCTACATTCTGGCCTGGCAATGTGGCCTGGACCTGGGTAGTTTAAAAGGTGCCCATTTCAGACTGTGCTTTGTTTCAGCTTGCTACTGCCCTGGGCACTCCCTACACTAAGGCCAAATGTTCCCTCCATTTTCCTTTCACTGAACACTGGGCTGGTTTGTTCTTTTTGTTTAATAGTAGAGAAATAGTTTTCTATTCCCATACCTCTATTAAAAAAGGATAACAAGAACTTTTTATATGAATATAGTGATGGTAGGCCTAACTTGCCATATATATCTTATTTCTTAGATGCCTATCTGCCTCAGTGGAACCATCACCTACCCATCACCCAAATCTGAACTGATGAAGTGACCCTCGCCATCTCCCTTGTGTCTCATATTAATCAGAAGCAAAGCCCTCCTCATTTCCCTCTTACTGATTTCTTAAATTCTTTGTATCTTCCCTCTCTGCTTTGTTTTTGTTCAGGTTTTTATGATGTCACTGCTAGATTATTAGCTCAAATTCCATGATGATTTTCTTGCCTCCACATATTCTCCATGTCATCTGAGTAATGTGGCTGTAAGAGTCAAATGTGATTTGATCTTACCTTTGCTTAAAATTATTTTTTTAATATATTTGAAAGGCAGAGTTACAGACAGAGAAGGAGAGACACAGAGAGAGATCTTTCATCTGCTGGTTCACTCCCCAAACGGCTGCAACAGCCACGGCTGGGCCAGACTGAAGCCAGGAGCCAGGAGCTTCATTCAGGTCTCCTAAGTGGGTGCAGGAGCCCGAGCACTTGGACCATCTTCCGCTGCTTCTTCAGCCACATTAGCAGGGAGCTGGATCATCAGTGGACAGCCAGTGCTGCAGGCAACAGCTTAACCTGCTAAGTCACAACACTGGCCCTCTGCTTAAAATTCATAAATGTTCCTTAAATTACTCCGCAAGAGTCTGGATTTCACTCTGGCCAACCTCTGTAGCCCATGTGCTGCCCTTCTTCCTGTGTGTCTACATTCCTGCCTTGTATTGCTATCCTGTGCTTTGCTTGCAGTCCTTGTAGCATGTTGGATTATCTGTGGTTTTCACACATACATTTTCTGTTTGGAATGCCCATTCCAGCTTGCTCTAGCTGGCAAATTCTTAAGTTTATGTTTCTGTTCAGGTGTCACCAGGAGGTCAGATATTTCCTAACTTCTTTTTCCATTTCCTCTCCCCAAACCCCAAAGAGTTAACTCCTTTAGACTCTCTGTGTACTGGTCCTTAGCTCTGTTATACTGATTTCAATGTTGAATTGAAATTATTTGTTTCTGTGTTTTCACAGACAGAGCTCTAATAGATTAGTTAGGAGGTCTCCTTTGTTTCCTGTTGCTTAGTACACAGTAGGATTTCATTTTGTGTGTGTGTATGTGTGCGTATATATTGAAATATACAAGTGTGATTGTAAGAATTGAGAGATCAGGCAAGATCTGTGCATAAGGAAATTTTAACTAAAAACATAGGATACAATTAGATGCATAAAATAGATTGCTCAGATTCTGAAAAAATATATTTGGTACCATGTGAAGAAAAAGAGAGGTAGAATTTTTCTATTTTAGCTTTCAGAATTTATGCTAATTCCTGTGCCAGGAACCACAAGCCACAGAAGCTTAATCCTCATCTGGGGCAACATTAGGACTCGGTACAGAGAGGTGGGCAGGCAGAGAGGCAAGGCAAGCTGCCCCTCTCCACCGGAGATTGCCCTTTGTCGTGTGAACCTCACCTGCTCCACAGCACACCATTAATTGCAAATAAGAGTGAGGAATTTTGCAGGGAGGAATTTTTTAACAGTGTCACAAACAAATTTAACAGAGGAAATGAGGAAAATCAGTAAGTTTCTTCCAATTTTTTTTTTTTTTTTTTTTTTTTTTTTTTTTTTTTTGACAGACAGAGTGGACAGTGAGAGAGAGAAACAGAGAGAAAGGTCTTCCTTTGCCGTTGGTTCACCCTCCAATGGCCGCCGCGGCCGGCGCGCTGCGGCCGGCGCACCGCGCTGATCCGATGGCAGGAGCCAGGAGCCAGGTGCTTTTCCTGGTCTCCCATGGGGTGCAGGGCCCAAGCACCTGGGCCATCCTCCACTGCACTCCCTGGCCACAGCAGAGAGCTGGCCTGGAAGAGGGGCAACCGGGACAGAATCCGGCGCCCCGACCGGGACTAGAACCCGGTGTGCCGGCGCCGCTAGGCGGAGGATTAGCCTAGTGAGCCGCGGCGCCGGCCTTCTTCCAATTTTGAATGATGAAGCCACAAAGAAGAAATGGCTATGCATGGTACATTTTTATAGTGACTTACACTCTGTTGACTAACTTTCTGAAGAATTCTAGGAAGCTTTTAAATTGAGGTAATTTCTTAGCATGTGCCGTGGGAAAGTAGGGCTTTAACTGATGAAAATGTATCTCTTGGGGCTGGTGCTGTGGCATAGTGGGCAAAGCCACGGCCTGCAGTGTTGGCATCCCATATGGGTGCTGGTTCAAGTCTTGGCTGCTCTGCTTCCTCCATGGCTCTCTGCTAGTGTGCCTGGGAAAGCAGTGGAAGATGTCCCAAGTGATTGGGCCAGTGTACCCACATGGGAGGCTCAGAGGAACCTCCAGGCTCCTGCCTTGGGATCGGCCCAGCCCCCTCACTTAGGGCTATATAGGGAGTGAACCAGGGGATGGACGAACTTACTCTCTCTCTCTCTCTCTCTCTCTCTCTCTGCCTCTGCCTCTTTGTAACTTTGCCTTTCAAATAAATAAATACGTCTTTAAAAAAAAACTTTATAGAAAAGCTTTTTTACCTGCTGACTATTTAAAGACACCTGAAATTCATCAGACTGATAGCACAGAATGCTAAGGGGAAAATGACTTATCCTCTGCTAGTAGAGGCTTTAAACCATAATGGTCAGAAGTAAAGTAGAGGCTTTAAACCATAATGGTCAGAAGTAAGAAAGTGGCACATGTGAAAACATTGAAAAGTGACTTCTTGGTACCTCTATTTTTTAGGTAAAACACAAATATTAGTTGTGTATGCAGTAACTCCTATGGTTTTACTTGTATCTATATGTAGATAGATACACATAGTAATTTTTAGCTACATAGGATCTATGTGATTTTTTTAAAAGATATATTTATTTATTTGAAAGAGTTATACAGAGAGAGGAGGAGAGAGAGACAGAGAGAGAAAGAAAGAAAGAGAGAAAGAAAGAGAGCTCTTCCATCTGCTGGTTCACTCCCCATTTGGCCACAACAGCCAGAGCTGAGCCGATTTGAAGCGAGGAGCCAGGAACCTCTTCTGGGTCTCCCCTGTGTGTGCAGGGGCCCAAGGGCTTGGGCAATCTTTTACTGCTTTCCCAGGCCATAGCAGAGTAGATTGGAAGTGGAGCAGCAAGGACTCGAACCGGTGCCCATATGGGATGCTGGCACTGCAGGCAGCGTACCCACTGTGCCACAGTGTAGCCCACATATGTGATGTTTCTAAGAGTGATTACCAAAATATTTTTCAAGTTCCCATTGTAAAGGAGATTTTCTTGAACGTTGGAAGTACACCACATTTTCAAAGTATAAATCAGATCAGCCAAATTGAATCCTTTTTGTAGAAATGAAGTTACTTTCAAATATACTTTGGTATTAATGGAACATATAATCACTTTTTAAAAAAAGATGTGCAGGACATGTATTGCTGTGGAGGTCATGTGTCTGTTTTTTTGAGTCGTGTCCTGAAACATTTAAATACTGGTCAACACGATGGCTGTCAGCGGCCGAAGCATCTCTGAATGCTCTTGCCTCCCTCTCCCTCAGACAGCTGACGCACATCCAGGAGAAGTGCCGCAGGGAGCCCGAGGGGCCTGGGATAGCCGCGCTCACCAGTGAGGAGCGGACCCGGTGGGCTAAGGTAGTGAGTGTTGCGTTGCTTAAGGGGCCTTTTCTCTCACAAGCTGCTTCCACATTTCTCTGGATGTATTGTATGTGCATTTTAACAGGGAATCATTCTCTCCTGTCTCTTTAGGCACGAGAATATTTGATTAGTCTCAATCCAGAGAACTTGACTTTGTTAGAAAAAATTCAGAGCAGCTTATTTGTGTATTCCATGGAAGATGGCAGGCCACATGTAACACCGGAAGATTATTCCCAGGTAACTTTCTTCTCCTGCTTTCTGCTTCTTCTGTTGTTAGAGTCAGATTTTCCAGTTGCGGATTCGCTCTCCCGGATGGCTGTAACGTCTGGCGCTGGGCCAGGCTGAAGCCAGGAGCTTGGAACTCCAGCTAGCAGAGGCTCAAGCCCGTGAGCATCTTTTGCTGCTTCCCCGGGCACATGCGCAGGGAGCTGGATAGGAAGTCGAGTAGCCTGCACTTGAACCATCGCTCCTGTAAGGTGTTGGCATCACGGGTGGGGCTTTACCCACCACGCCTCAACGTTGGCCCCGTTTTTCTCACAGATTTTTTTGGAGGACTCATGTATAATGAACATGAGGTTTTCTTTCCTTTTTTTTTTTTTTTTTTTTAAATTCAGGCTCTTAAAACTCTGTTAAGATATAAAGCATACATGTGCCAGATTGAACCTTATATATGAATAAATAGTGCTTTGTAAATCCTTGCTACATTGTTTAGGCCTATTTAGATGTGTTTGGTACTTTGTTTAAAGACCTAGGAGTGCTTTTGGTATATTTTGGGCCAGTGTTTCCCAGCCTTTTTGTTGATCATACAAACAGAATATTACACTGGGGCAAATAAACTTTTCTTGACAAAGGTGACATGAGCACTTGCCTGTAACTCATACCAGTGTGCCTTAACACCTTAGCTGGGAGGGTCTGCCTATGAGCTACATCACCCCTGTAAGTAATCCTGTCTTTGGTTTTGTTGAACACTCTGACTTGAGTGATTTTAAGGGTGAATGTGGCCTTGATTTTTTTCCTCTCCCCTTAAGCAGTATTCTTCCTGGGAAATAAAAGATAGTAATCATATTAGTGGAAACGTCAGAACCTTTTGAAAACACTTAAAATATTTCATAATGCATTCATCAATATTACATGATAGGAAAAAATAATCCAGGATGAAAAAACCTTGTAGCTAGAAAAGGACTTTTCTTTAGCTGCCTTTTTTGTTGTTTGATTTTAAGAAATTCATGAAACTCCTTAAGAATATGTCTTAGGGAGTAGGCATTGGGTGCAGCCATTAAGTTGCTGCTTGGGTCACATACATTGCAAATTGGAGTACCTGGTTCAAGTCTGCTCAGGCTCCTCCATTTTGAATTCAGCTTTTTGCCAAAAGTACCCTAGTAGACATGGATGATGGCTCAAGGACCTTAAGTCCCTGCTACCTATGTAGGAGACCTAGATTAGTTGCCAGCTCCTGGATGTTGTGGGCATTTGGAGTGTGAACCAGGAGATAAAAGATCTCTTACTGTCTCTCAAAAAAATGTAAATAAATAAAAAAATTTTTTTAAATGTTTTAATGCAGTATTTTTCAGACTTTTTGGACTACAGTCTGTACTTACAAATGGATTTAGCCCACTATATTATACACATGTGCATGAATCTGCACAAATGGATCTATAATAGAAGTTTCACAAAACTTTCAAAATTACTTTTACTGTCTGTGATGTACTCTGATATTTCTATTCTATTTTATTGTATTTGTAAGACTATTCATTGTGATAAGCTAAATTGATTTTATGACTAAAAGGTTCAGAAAGCTATAGTTTAAAACATAGATTTAGTGGGATATGAGTTCTTAAAATATTTCTTAGAGTATTTTCCTCCTAACTGAGCTTTAATAACTCAATTTATGAAGGCCAGATACTATTCAAATTACAAAAGCCTTCTATGTTCCAGTGAATGTTCTATAAAAATCCATGATTCTTGTACCACCATCCTATTCTCATAGAATTTTTTAAACTGAGATTTTGAGAAATAGTTAAAATTGGGCTATAATTATCTCTTAGGTTTAACCACATTATTAAATTTAGTTGGACTTAGAACAAGTAAGATGATATATAGGTGTTCAAGATGAAAATACTTACCATTGTTAAAACTATTTTAATTTGGAAAAATTACATTTATTTTAGATAATTTCGATACTGTTTAGTGGAGATCCTACGGTACGCTGGGGTGACAAATCCTATAATTTGATTTCCTTTTCTAATGGAGTATTTGGCTGTAATTGTGATGTAAGTAAACTCTTGAAGTTTCTCCCTCCCTTTTAATATTTAGGTAAATTTAATGGCAGTGAGCAACAGATACTTGCTCTGTGCTGCAGTGTAGTAGAAGTAAACACTTATTTCATTTTAAGACATTATAATAACAGCCTTAGTTATGAATTCCCAGTAACAGTGGAATATATGATAAATTGTTTTCTAGTATAGAAAAGCCAACATTTTGGGATGTAGCTGCAAAATGAAGCTGCATGTAATATTTATATAGTGGCAGCTAACAAAGCTGTTACCTGCTTGTTGAGATTTATAACCTATTTTACGAGATACAATACGATATTATGTATATGTGTGTTCTATGTATAAGAAACTGAATATATTTCTAAGTTCCAAGATTTACTTAGTAATTAGATAAGTATTTTCCTTAAATGACACATAATCTTCTTGACTCTGTTTTGACTATGAATATTAAAATATCTTGCAATTACTACCATTTTTGACCTTCAGAAAAATCCAGGTTGCTTTTATTGTTTCTCTTCGCTTTTTGAAATCTTATTTGCTAGCGATATTTTACAACTCTCTGATAGTCATTCAAAAGTTCTAAAATCAAGAAAATTTTAGAAAACACATAGCACTTTCATGATTGTATTAGTATTTACTGAGTTTTAGGTGATAGAAACCTAAATCAGAGTGGCGTTAGTGTAAGAAATTTATTGATATCAGAGCACACCTAAGTGTGGATAATGCTAACCGTGTTCATATACTTTGATGAGAAATCTCTTCCCCTTTCTTGGCTCTGCTTTCCTTTGTTTGGCTTCATTTTTAGGTAGGCTGCAGTGTAATGGTCACACCTGTGGCCTCACGTCCTCATAGCCCTCAGCCTGGGGACCTCAGTGTAAATAGCTAACTTCTTTTTTCCCAACAGCCTCAGCAAAGTATTAGCAATAATTCTCACTGGTTGGGATCTGCCTGTGAATCAGGTCCACATCCCTGGTACTCACAGGCGCTCTGATTAGCCTGGCCTGGTTCACAAGCCCAGCCTTGGAACCTGGTGGGCAGAATCAGTTTCATTGCAACCACTATGGGGGTGTGGTGGTTGCCTAAATACAGTAAGGCAGCTGTTATTTAAGAAGTAGATGAACTGCAGATTAGCAGGTACAAAACTAGATATGTGTTATAATAGCTTATTAGAGTGACAGTGAAAGGCTGTCATGGGTCATTTTGGTTTAATTTTACTCTTCCTTTGTGTCTACTGTAGACTAATTATTTCTTGTTAATTGCCTCAGATTTATTCTTTTCAGCTCCTTATTTGATTCCCCTTGGCCTTCCTCAGTCTGATTTACATCTTTACTACTCCCTCAAACTAAATTTTTAAGGTAGTTAATTGCCTTCGAAGTTCTTCCCTCAGTTTCTCTTTGCCTTTTCTGCTACAAAGAGTCTAACATCCTTCTGTTCTGCTCTTTCTTTATGTTTCCAGTGAAATAGTTTAAAATAGAGAGTACTGTCTTAAATAACTTGGGAAGGCATTTGGCCTAGCAATTTGGATGCTACATGAGATATACACATCCCATACTGGAGTGCTTGGGTTCGAGTCCCAGCTCTGCTCCCAATTCCAGCCTCCGGCCAGTGCACACCCTAGAATGCAGCAGGTGATGGTGCAGATAACTGCCACCCACAGACTGAGGTCCCAGTTTCTGGTTTCAGCCTGGCTGAAAGTCAAAACAGCTGCTACATATGCAACGCTAAGATGTTCTAGAATTGTAGGAACAGTGTCGAAAAGTAGATGAGGCTGGCAGACTACCTGAAGGCATTTGGGATGAGCATGAACTCCTGTAGGCCACTATGTATGAGAAAGCATAACCATTCTGCACACATATTTACAAGAATGTCCAGATGGGGCAGATATAATTCCTAATGGTTAAGCAAAGTGGTAAAGAGGGGCTTTGTTACAGAGGTGTAGCAGGTTTGACAGCTATATTTAGAGAAAGGAAATGCAGCTGGTGAATTTTCTGGGGGTCAAACTTTTTGTCCTATTTTCTCTATGTTCCTTTGATGACAGTCCCATCAGATAGTTTCTTCTCTGTTACTGTTACCACTTACATTAAGTAGCTATCATTCATGAACTGGATGTGACTAGCCTTGGAGTGAAAGAAGGGGAGGCTTAAGATATGGACCTTAAAGAGGAGGTAAGTCATTATCTTCTATGTCACTGTAACATTACAACTCTGCAGCCCTGTATCAAGGCTAGAAGCACAGTTGACTGTCACCAACTAGGGGACAGCCGGAACATTAGGACAGGCTCTTGAGGGAGTCAGTGCAAGATGGAGGAGCACTTTGTCACAACAAGCACACCTAACAAGACTGACAGGTCACTCGCAAGCCCATTTTTTAGCTACATCACATAGCTGCATAGTGCTTTATAGCTTTAAAAACAATCCTCATAGATGTTATCACATATTATTTAAATTATTTAATTACTTGAAAGGCAGAGAGACAGAGCCAGACAGAGAGATCTCCCATCTCTGGTCCACTCTCCAAGTACCTACAGCAACCAGCGTTGCATATGAAACAGCTGTTTTGACTTTCAGCCCAAATGCCATTTCTCTAGATTGTTCATGTTTCCTTCGTACTCACACACACACATGATCCCAAGAGTCTTAATTAAGTGCTTCCAACTTTAAACATCTGTTCATTTCAAAAAATAAAATACAGCAGTTACTGTACTATAGGACAGCTAGCTAGCTAGCTATATGTTTATCATTAGGAGGTGAGGCGTTTAAGGATTCTTATTCCTTTTTATGTTAAAAATTGAGTTAAAGTAAAGAGAAAATATTGGATCAGGTTTTAAGCTGGCAGAAAATACTCAGCAGCTTCGGTATTTTCATTTCAGCATGCTCCGTATGATGCAATGGTGATGGTGCACATTGCCCATTACGTTGATGAGAAAATTTTAGAGAATGAAGGAAGATGGAAGGTATGTAAGAGCATATCCGTCATTCTTTCCCCCAGTGTTTATACAGAGAAAATATTTTTAAGTCTTCCTTGTTTTTAGGGCTCAGAGAAAGTACGGGATTTACCTTTTCCAGAGGAGCTTGTCTTCACGGTGGATGAGAAAATACTGAATGACATCAGCCAAGCTAAAGCCCAGTATCTTAAGGAGGTAGATGTTCACCTTTCTCTGAAGAGAGTAATGTTCTCTTTTCTATACTATTCATATATAAATGTGGCTGTCCTCTGAGCACGTCATCACAACATAAAACATTAAAGCCTTTATACCCTTAATTTTGTAAATCTGATGATTGATTCAGTTGATAACCGGGTTCTATTTGGGGTATCCTCGTGAGGTGATTTTTCACTGTTCTTCTTTAATTCTTTTTGTTAGGCATCTAATCTGCAGTTTGCAGCATATGCCTTCACATCTTTTGGCAAAAAACTAACCAAGAAGAAGAAGCTTCACCCCGACACATTTATTCAGCTTGCACTTCAGCTGGCCTATTACAGACTTCATGGACGGTGAGGCCCACTAATCTTCCATTTTCAGGATCTTTTCCCCCCATCAAAGATATATTTGTTTATTTGAAAGGCAGAGTTAGAAGGAGAGAGAGGGAGAAATCTTGCATTTGCTGGTTCATTCTCCAGATGGCTGCAATGGCTAGGACTGGGCCAGACCAAAGCCAGGGGCTTAGAACTTCATCCAGTCTCCCACATGGTGGCAGGGGCCCAAGCACTTGGGCCATCCTCCACTACTTTCCCAGGTTAGCAGTGAGTTGGATCAGAAGTAGAGCCACTGGGATATGAATTAGTGCCTACATGGGATTCCAGTGGTTTCAGGTGGCAGCTTAGCCCACAGTGCCACAGTACTGGCCCCCATTTTCAGAATCTTAAAGTCCCAGCATATGTCATTTCCCCACACTCGATTTTCTCACTTTTTTTCCAGTTGTCACTGTGCCCTACTTTGTACTTCATCAGCCGGATTAGAGTGCCAATCTGTGACTGTCTCTAAATTTTTCTTTGATACTTCATCACATTTTTCACTCATAGTTTTGATGTGTCTGCTGCCTTATAAGAGAAACTTTTCTGTTCTTTGGCACTTTAACTTCAGTTTTCAGATGGTTGATGAAAACAAGATTTTTGTAGATTATCCAGCATTTATAGGAGAAACAGTATGTTGCAACTTTTCTATATCTGAAGCAGAAATAGCAGCCCCTTGATTTTGTTTTCTTATCCTGTCTTTAATGTGATGTTTAGATAATTTGCATTTAAGTTAAATTCTCTGTGAAGCTAGTTTATGTCTACCTCCTTGCTGTTCGTTTCCCTTTATCCTGTCTGTTCATTGTTCTCTCTCTTTTTTTAATTTTGCTTTACATTTACACATACACACTTGCAAAGTACTTTTTTTTTTTTTTTTTTTTTTTTTTTTTTTTTTTTTTTGACAGGCAGAGTGGACAGTGAGAGAGAGACAGAGAGAAAGGTCTTCCTTTGCTGTTGGTTCACCCTCCAATGGCCGCCGCAGCTAGTGCGCTGCAGCTGGCACACCGCGCTGATCCGATGGCAGGAGCCAGGTACTTATCCTGGTCTCCCATGGGGTGCAGGGCCCAAGCACTTGGGCCATCCTCCACTGCACTCCCTGGCCACAGCAGAGAACTGGCCTGGAAGAAGGGCAACCGGGACAGAATCCGGTGCCCTGACTGGGACTAGAACCTGGTGTGCTGGTGCCACAAGGCGGAGGATTAGCCTAGTGAGCCGAGGTGCCGGCCTCTGTCCTCAATTTTATCTCCCTTCTGATCTTCATTGTTTTCTTTCATCTGCTAGTTTGGACTTAGTTTTTTCTTTTCTCTTGTTCTTTAAGATAGTTATTTTATTAATCTCAGATCTTTGTTCTTTTAATGTAGCATTTACAACTAGATTGTTCCCTTTCAATACTTCTTTCACTGCATTTCATAAGTTTGGGTATGTTTTCTCATTTTCATTCATCACAAATAAACTTCTAATTTTCCTTGTGAGTTTTTTCTTGGCCAGTTGGTTGTTTCAGAGTATGTTAATTTTTACATATTTGTGAATCTTTCAGTTTCCTTCTGTTATGATTTCTAGCTTCATACCATTGTCATTAAAGAAGATGTTTTGAATGATTTCAGTCTTTTTAATGTTTTGACCTGTTTTGTGGCCTAATAATGCATGAGCTATCCTGGAGAGTGCTTCACATGCACTTGAGAAGAATTTGTCTTCTCTGTTGTGTGGTATGTTCTATGTATGTGTATTAGGTCTAGTTATAGTGTTCTTCAAGTCTTCTATCCCTTACTGATCTTCTCCTTAGACATTCTACGCATCATTGATAGTGATCTTCCATTTAGAGGTTCTATCAGTATTTAAAGTTGTATTTTTTAATTTCTTTCTTTCTTTTTTTTTTTTTTTTTTTTTTTTTTTGGACAGGCAGAGTGGACAGTGAGAGAGAGAGACAGAGAGAAAGGTCTTCCTTTGCCGTTGGTTCACCCTCCAATGGCTGCCATGGCCGGTGTGCTGCAGCCGGCGCACCGCGCTGATCCGATGGCAGGAGCCAGGTACTTATCCTGGTCTCCCATGGGGTGCAGGACCCAAGCACTTGGGCCATCCTCTACTGCACTCCCTGGCCACAGCAGAGAGCTGGCCTGGAAGAAGGGCAACCAGGACAGAATCCGGCACCCCGACCGGGATTAGAACCCGGTGTGCCGGCACCACAAGGCAGAGGATTAGCCTATTGAGCTGTGGTGCCGGCCTGTATTTTTAAATTTCTAACTATTGGCCGGTGCCGCGGCTCAATAGGCTAATCCTCCGCCTTGCAGCGCTGGCACACTGGGTTCTAGTCCCACTCGGGGCACCAGATTCTGTCCTGGTTGCCCCTCTTCCAATTCAGCTCTGCTGTGGTCAGGGAGTGCAGTGGAGGATGGCCCAAGTCCTTGGGCCCTGCACCCGCATGGGAAACCAGGAGAAGCACCTGGCTCCTGGCTTCAGATCAGCGTGGTGTGCTGGCCATAGTGGCCACTTGGGGGTGAACCAACGGAAAAAGGAAGACCTTTCTCTCTGTCTCTCTCTCTCACTGTCCACTCTGCCTGTCAAAAAAAAAAAAAAAATTCTAACTATTGTCATAAATGTGTCTTTTTCTCCCTTCAGTCTGTCAATAAATAATTCAGTACCTGCTTTTTATTTTGAGGCTCTTTTCCTTAGTGCACATTTTTTAAAATTGTTATATATTATTGATTAAATATATCATCAGTATGTATTGTTCTATTTTCTTGTAACCTTTTTTGACTTAAAACCTATTTTGTCCAATAATACACTTCTTTAGTTACTATTTTCACAGAATGTCTTTCCTCCATTCTTTTACTTTTAACTTTGCCATGTCTTTGTATTTGTTTTTTGTAGATAGCATACAGATGAAGCACATTTTATTTTATTTATTTATTTTATTTGACAGATAGAGTTAGACAGTGAGAGAGAGAGACAGAGAAAAGGTCTTCCTTTTTCCGCTGGTTCACTCCCCAAATGGTCACTATGGCCGGAACTACGCCCATCTGAAGCCAGGAGCCAGGTGCTTTCTCCTGGTCTCCCATGTAGGTGCAGGGGCCCAAGCACTTGGGCCATCCTCCACTGCCCTCCCGGGCCACAGCAGAGAGCTGACTGGAAGAGGAGCAGCCGGGACTAGAACCCAGCGCGCATATGGGATGCCGGCACCGCAGGGGGAGGATTAACCAAGTGAGCCACAGCGCATGAACCACATTTTAAAAATCCATTCTGCAAATCCTTGCCTTTGGAGAGTTTAATCTGCATTGTATGCTCATTATGATAAATTTTTAATGACTTTTTTTTTTTTACACATTTAACTTTTAAAAAGGAATTACAAGCCAAAGGTAGAATACTGGCTATTATTTTACCTTTACCAGAGTTCTCTTTTTGTCTTCAGCTTGTCTAATGTTCTTTCATTTGAATTATTTGTCAAGCAGTTCATAGGTCTCCTTTTATGATTTATTTATTTATTTGCAAGGCAGAGTAGGAGAAAGATTTTGCATCTGCTGGTTCACTCCGCAGATGGTCACAATGCCAGGGGTGGCCCAGGCTGAAGGCAGAAGCCCAGAACTGCATCTGGGTCTCCCACGAGGGGCAAAGGCTCATATACTTGGGCCAGCTTCTAGTGCTTTCCCTGGCACATTAGCAATTTCTGGATCAGAAAGGAAGCAGCCAGGACTGAACTAGTGCTCATATGGGATGCCATGTCACACACAGTGGCTTAACCCACTGCAGCACAACACAGCCAAGGGATCTCCATTTTTATTTTTTTCCTCAGGGTTAGTTATTTGAATTTTATTATTTTCCCTTGGTGGTACCATGTTTACCTAATTTTTCATGATCCTTATAACCCTGTGTTCTGTGTATTTAAAGAACAGCCATTTCTGGTCTTTACAGACTGGATTTGGTGGGTAGACTTCCTGCCTGTTCTCTCTGTGGACACGACTGCTTTCGGGACCACAGTTGAGTGGGGGAATGGAGCCAAACCGTGGGATTGCTCCTGTGTCCCCAGTCAGGTCTGAGGTTGCAGGCTTATTTCAGAAGTCTGGCAGGTATGGCTCCTGCCTGGTCCCTGGGTGGAGGAGCCTGCTCGGGCCAGGGCTTAGAGCTCAGTCACAGGGCTGCTTCGGTGTCCACAGTCAGGTCTGCAATGGTGAGTCTGTTGGCTAGGGTACAGGCAGGCCTGGTACCTTTCAAATGCCTGAGCAGACAGGACTTCCTCCAGGACCATGGACAAGTAGCCTAGAGCCAGGTTCTGAAGGGCACAGGGCTATTTCCAGGCCTGAAGTCAAGTCCACACTGGCAGGCCTGCCAGTTTTCTCAAAGTGGCTTTCTTGGTCTGGCTGACCCAGAGTATTACAGCCTGGATCCCAGAGCTCCCCAGGGGCACTGCTCTCCATGCAGGCTTCTGGTGGAGGGCGAGGATGCTCTGTTCAGTGTCTTGCTGATGTTCATTTCTAGGGTCTTCTTTCCACCCCCGTTGGCCTGTCTCCAAAATGCTGTTCTCTTTGATTGAATGCTGAACACTACTGTGGAACAGTGCTGGCTAATTAGAAGAGAATCCAAGCCATATGTAGTATTTTAAACTTCTGTTAGCTATTTAAAAAGAAGTAAAATTTATCTTAATAGTACACTTAAAATGTCAAAATATTTTAACATGTAAGCAATATAAAAGTCATTAGTGAAATATTTTTTGCACTAAGCCTTTAAAATCTGAGGTCTTATTTGATACGGTGAGCTTCAATTTGAGCTAACAACTTAAAGCTGTGTACTCTACTACTTCCTCACTTACTATTGGAAGCCTTGCTCTAACAGGCCTAAGCCCTCTTTTTTTTTTTTTTTTTTTAACCATTGTATGAACCGATTTAATATGACATGGAATGCAAAAGATAAGAACCATTAATAAAGTATCAAATTCTTCAAGAAATAATTAAAATAAATAAAACAGGATAGTGAGAATAACAGTACCATTATAATCACATTAAATGGAAAAGGATCAACCAGTATTTTAAGGGTGTGACAAATGCAGTGCTATACATTTTTCAGTATTCCACTCAATTTTGTGATATTTTTCATAAAAGTGGCACTTGGAAGAGAGGCTTCAGATTACTCATGACAAGATAATCAGGTTAGAAATACTCCAAGATTTGCTAAGTCACTGTACCTTAGATATCCCACTATATTCTGAATTATCTTTAATAATTATATTTCACAGAGAAGAGATGCTACTTTGTCTATACAGAATCTTTACATTTAAATTTTTTTATTTTAAAAGGCTGACCAGGTTGTTTGTATTAGGATCAACAAATGTTAGATGACTATCGTTGTAATTAATTTATCCAACTTCAGGTAGTTAATATGTGGGAAATGATATAACTGACTAAGATGTTTCTTTGAAACAAAAAAATTATATGACTCTAATAAGAAACATCCTTATTCAATGTATGCTTTATATACATATAAATTTGTTTTTAATTCCAGTCTGAACTTTTTAAAGATTTGACAGGCAAAGAGAGGGAAAGAGATATTCTGTTCACTGCCTCTCTCCCCAAATGGCCTCAACAGCAGGTGCTGGGCCAGGCCAAAGTCAGGAGTCAGGCTCTCCATCCTGCTCTCCCACATGGGTGGCAGGGGCCCAGGTACTTAAGACATCTTTCTAGGCACATCAGCGGGAAACTGGATTGGAAGTAGAGCATCCAGGACATTCAGATTAGTGCTCCAAATGGGATGCTGGCATCATGAGCAGTGGCTCAACCCAGTCAACAAGGCCGGCCAGCCCTGATGTATGCCTTTTGAAAAAAAGAGCAGTATAGATAGCAGACATTTAACACCTTACTATCATATTGACTACCAAGAAACAAAGACAAACTAGAGAAATACAATGCAAGAAAAGATTCAAGTTAAAAATATATTCCTTTGGTTAAAAATCTTCCCCTTTATAATATTCATTTGTAAGCTAAACTCAGTATGCCCCACATGCCCAGAGTAATCTTCTAAATGTCATTATACTTGTATTGGGATTTTTTTTCAGTCCAGTATTTATGGAGGTCACTGGGTTGCGGCAACAATATTTTCTCTCTGAAGAGTACAGCCTTGTAGTATTTTTTTCTTAAGAGACTTTTTTACTTCAGAAATCTCTGACACATGTAGTTTTCTTCAGATACTGTATATCCAAACTTTTTACAGAAACCAACATTTTGTGGTAGACATTCAAGGGTAATCTTATAACAGTTTAGTTTCTTGCTTAGCAAAGTAAGGGTTGATGATAACAATTTGCCGAGCTGCTTTCCTCTGCATTCATCACTAACGACCACATCTTCTACTCTTCCTCTCTCAGCACAGGAATGGATGGATTCATGTTCTATTATCAGAGTTGCTGTAGCAACAGTCTGCCCTACAGTCACATCTACAACTGTAACAGAATAATCCCCAGATTTCTTCATATGCTCGGAAGGTTTCATACATTGTTCAGGGTTGATGACTCCAGTCTGTCAGCTGACCAGGACCTTAAAAAAGCCTCTGTTTAAGTCAGCAGTACAAAGAGGCCTCAAAACCAAACCTTTTCCAGGATGTGTTGCAGAAGTGGCTGGAGAAAATGTAGCTGTTTTCCGACTCCAGTCCTCTTTGAGAAGACTAGGGTCAAACACTGGTGTTTCACCGGGTTTCATCTCCGTGGAGGCCCCGCAGTCTGCGATCCCCTCCAGGCGCAGCGGAGTCTCACCCGCCGGAGGACACCGTACCGGATCCGGATGCGGCTTCAGAGCCAGCCCCACTCCTCGCCCTGCACAGCCGGCACCGTGGCCGGCACCCGCGGCCTGACCGTGGCAGCGCCCACGCCTCCACCCGCCCCTGCCTCCTCCCGCAGCGCCGTGCAGGCGGGGCAGGCGAGGCTGAGGCACCGCCCGCTAAGCCCTCTTAATGGCACTTATTGCCACCTTGCTAACAATTGTCTGAAGTACTCATAATTATTTTTCTATTGTACTTTGAGGATAACCCCAGTTCTCAGCTGATTAATACTAATGAAATGACCCACTCCTAATTAACTCAAGCAAAGGCATTGCAGTTGCTAGTATTTGTACCAATTTCCTCATCTCCAACAATATGACTGCAATAGCCATGCCCCAGATAGCCACATCACTTTGCCTACAAGACTGTCGACCCTCACCATAACCATTTTAGGATTCACCACAGCAACAGAACTTAGCCGATTAATATATAATTTAAAATCCAAATTTTCCTCTCACACATTCAAATTCTCTTCCCAGATTTCCCCCAGCAATTAGATAATGGCCTATCACCAAATGTAAATTTCTTAACAAGCCAAAAAACAAAACCCAGCATCATTTCTCTTAGATATAACCTGCCTGGGAAGGTAACCCCAAAACTGTCTCCCACTTCCAAATAACGGCATCAGTAATTTCAAGCCAGAAAGGCTTATTCAAACTGTGTTTCTTCTCTTTCCTAGTTTATTTTTTTAGCCATGTTACTAGTCAATTTTCCTGGGGGATTTCAGTATTAATAAAGATACTAACAAATGACCAACCGGCCACAACCATTAATCAACTTCTTTTACTACATAATGTAGCTGCACATATAGAATCTTAATGAAGACCATCCCCTGTCCCCCTCATCCTCAAAACTCAGTCCTCCACATTCGTGAGACCGGTAACAGTCTCCTCCTCATAACCCTCCTGTTGGTAACCTAATTTCATCTGTGACATCCATTACTTTTGCTGTCTTCCATCTTATAAATCACTAAGTCCAGCTTGCACCTGAAATGAGTGTTTAAACGAGTGGAGATAGCAAGAGGCAGGGTGCTGGGAGCCATCCAGTAACTGCCACACATAAACCCCACAAGCAGCTACACCTGTGAAACTGTCCATGTTCTTAGAGCAGATTTTTTGCTATTTGGTATTAAAATGAATCTCGGGGCCGGTGCCATGGCTCACTTGGTTAATCCTCTGCCTGGGAGGGCAGTGGAGGATGGCTTAAGTGCTTGGGCTCCTGCACCCACATGGGAGACCAGGAGGAAGCACCTGGCTCCTGGCTTCCGATCGGCACAGCTCTGGCTGCAGCGGCCATTTGGGGGTGAACCAATGGAAGGAAGACCTTTCTGTCTCTAACTCTGTCAAATACATAAATAAATAAAAATGAATCTCTATGTTACTGAAAATCTCAGCTCTTACCTATAGTGTAGGGCTTAGTCATGGACTAAGGATAGCTTTATTAGACAACTGTATTGTAATGACACTAGGAGTTTTTTTTTCTTATAATATGATTTTGATGTTTTTTTCCTGTAGCCCTGGTTGCTGTTACGAAACAGCAATGACAAGATACTTTTATCACGGCCGTACAGAGACTTTGCGTCCGTGTACAACAGAAGCAGTCAGATGGTGCCAGTCCATGCAGGATCCTTCTGCCAGTGTGAGTATTAGAGAAAAAAAAAAAAGGTCACAGAATTTAGTGTTGTAAGGAACATGGGCCACTGCATGGGCTTCAACTCCCCTGGATCATTAAAAGATGTTGAGATAACTTGTTCAGAAGTTTCCAAAAGCATTTGCTTACCTGCCAGTAGTGTGTATCTGCTAAGACTAAGACACAGGGAAGACCTGAAAGCAGCCCATTTGTGGCATAAAATCTCTTTATTATTCGGGCTATTTTACTTCTGCTGACTCACTGTTAGAACACAGTGATGCAGATCTCTGCCCAAGTGCCTCTGAAAGCGGGCTTTTCTTGATATGGTTAAATGTGTTTAAAATCAGACGCTCGTTCCTGTTTAAAGTCACCAGAACAGTGGTGATGGCCAACTTCTTACTACTGTTGAGGCATTCAGACAGCAGTCCTTCCTTCCCATTGCTTTAGTTAATGTTTTGTTCCTTTAGATTCCGTGTGATTATGTCTGAGTTACTGTCCTAGAGCTGCGTCACTGTCGTTGAGGTGGTGCCTGAGTTCTGAAGTCCTGGTTTCTCGCGCAAATGCCCCTCCCGTGCTGCTCCCCATCTCCCGTTTTCCTGCTCGAGGAAAGCGACAGCCACGCTGCAGGGCACACAGGAAGGAAAGGCGGTGGAACTCAGGAAAAGGCGCGGAAGCGTGTCCACACACCTCCCTAGAAATCTCCCTCTCCCCGGTTACCCACGTCCTACTTAGAATGAGCGGAGCTGTTTTGTTTAGTTAGGTTTTGTGCAGTTTGTTATGGAAGTCTCTCTTGATTTTTCACACAGCTCCTGGAGCGGCAGCAAAAGATGTTGGAAGCGTTTGCAAAGCATAACAAGATGATGAAGGAGTGCTCTTCTGGAAGAGGTACTAGCTGGGAACTAGCCTGACTTTTTACAGAAGTCTCTCACGCCGGAAACTTGTCTCACTTCAGATGTGGGTTTCCCTCACAGGCTTCGACCGTCACCTTCTAGGTCTCTTACTCACAGCAAGAGAGGAAGGTCTCCCTACTCCAGAGCTCTACACGGACCCACTTTTTTCTCGAAGGTAATATGGTGCTGTGTTTTGTCATGTCCTCACTTTTTCTGAACCTAAGCGGCTCTCAGGAATGATACACACATCTGCGTGCTACTTACAATACCCTTTCTTTGTGCCACACAGTGGAGGTGGTGGAAATTTTGTCCTTTCAACCAGTCTGGTTGGTTATTTACGAATCCAGGGAGTGGTGGTGCCCATGGTTCACAATGGCTATGGATTCTTCTACCACATCCGAGACGACAGGTGAGGCAGCTTGCCCTGATCCTGCCTGTGCTGCCACAGCTGTGGCTTTTCTTATTTGAATGTCTTTCCTACCTGATTCTGTTGCCATCTGTCACCTGCTACATTAGTAACTGTACTGACCACCTAGACATATATATATAAAATATATATGTTCCTACTTCTCTGAGCTGCTTTTGAGACACTTGTGTCAGGCATGTAGGTGTTTCTCTGCTTCAGGTTGACTCTGTGGTTACGTCATCCGGAGGAGTACACTAACCGGCTTGGTCTGGACAAGGTATTTATGGAAAGTTCAGGTACAGTGTGTGAATGTAGTTGGCCCTGCATGGCCAGGCTCCACATCCCCCGTTTCAAGAGGGCAGGCATGGAGGCACTGCAGGTGGAATCTGAAAACCTGGGCCATGTGTTGGGCATGCCCCGTGTCAGTGTCTAATGTGCACGTTTTCCGTAAACAGATAGTCAGTGTTATGTTTCAAACTGGTGTTGTTTGCATCCATGCCGAGTGTGATGTGTGCCTCTCACGTCCTCAGGAGGTACTGGGAACTGCCAGTGTGCCAAGCGTTCTTTCAGGTGCTCAGGACAAGACGGAGAAGAGCCCTTCTCTTTACAGATTTTTTCTACCTGGGGAACTGAGACAGAAGCAAACAAAATGACTGTAAATGGCAGTGACTGCTAAGCGAGGAATAAGCAAGTTGAGTGGTACGGAGATTAACTGGTAGGGGTGAGTGTTGCTCTGCACAGTGTGGTCAGGGACAGGCTCTGAGGAGTGACAGCAAAGCCGAGCTGTGAAAGATGAGGAGTGTATGGCGTGAATAGAAAGCAAAATGGCTCCCCAGATTGGACCACTGCTTACTGGCTCCAGGGCAAGCCCCATCTGTTCCCTCTAAGCTGTTCTTACACATGACAGGTGGTCTTGTTACTGCCTATTCTTCCCTGCAGACCACTCTTCTACACAGAAGGCCTGCTGGTGCTTCTGAAAATCTAACTCCGGTCCTGTCAATGCTATTCAGATTTCTCGTTCCACTCAGAAAACCTGGCCCCCCCACCCCCCACCCCACCCCGGGGCCTTGCATGATCTGGCTCCCAGGCACCTCTCTGACGTGATCACCTACAACTCACCTCTTGCTGTAGCCACGCCGGGCATCTTGTTCCTTGACTGTGCAGACTTCCTTCTCAAGGAATATATGGTTAGGATTCTGTCTACTCCCCTCTTCCTGGCATTATATGCAGGGTTCATTCCCTTACTGCATGCAGACATGTGCTCAAACGTCACCTTCTCTGAGGCCTCCCCTGACCCCTTCTCAGAAAACTGGCCTCCTCCCCACACCTCCTGCCTTTCTTTGTCGTATCACTCATCTGATGTGGGTGTGTATTTGTATAGTATCTGTCTCCCCCTTCCTGAACACAGACTCCACAGAGCAGACTTCTTACTGGTTACAGCCACAGCTGTCTATCACTGTCTCTAAATACATTGCACCCAGTAACTGTTTTCAAATGACTTTGTTATTGAGTGTTCAGGGTATAGGTCCTGGGATAGGAAAGAGACTGACACTTAGAAGCAGCAGAGGCAATCTGATAAACAAGCAATTTATTTCATGGAAAATAGACTTAAAATTTCACTGAACATTTTTAATACACGGAAAATGAGTATTAAGAGAGGGTGGTGGAAGAGGTTGAAAAGGGTTAGGAGCTGGGTCTTGCAGGACAGTACTGGCAGCCCTGAGTGCACAAAACAATCGCTTGGAGACTCTTAAAACATCCTGGAGACCGATGGGGTTGCTGTGGGACCTTGAGCATGGTAAGCAGTTTGGACTTACTCCCAAGAGCATTTTCGGAGTTCTAAGCCTAGAAGTTGTGTTTTGCTTATCTCTTACAAGGACCATTGGCTGCTGGGTGGAGTATAAATTGGATGGACAGTTATAGGGACAAAAATGAGATGAGGAAATGAAAGTTTCTGATTCCACTCCTGTAACGGTGCCTGGGGTGGGGTAGCTGACAGAGAGGCTTATTCTGGCTCAGCCTGGGAAGTGCAGGGTTGGGCACCCACCTGGGTGAGGTCCTCGTGCCTCTTCAGGTGGGAAGCAGCGGGCCAGCGTGGAAGGGACAGACGTGAGGGGCAGCCTCCCTGCTCCTTGGTGAATAATCAGGTCCTTTCGGAGTGCCATAGACTTGTAGCTTTATCCGTGTACCTCACGGAAAACGTGGAGCTAGCAAAAGCCTGATTAGGAGCCCAGTTTCTGCTGAGCTTGTCAGGGCAGGCTGTCGTCGTTCTCACTGGCCAGGCCCTGACCCGTCTCAGAAGGTCTAAAAGGCATGACTGGGTCCCAGGAGAACGTCTCTGCTTCTTCCAGAGGCAGCTTTTCTTTTTTAATCTTTTTTTTGGACTCAAATCTTCAAGTATTTACTCTTCTTTAAAAACGGTTCAAATTTCATTGTAAATAGTAGCGTGACTTCATATTCCAGCTCATTCCAGTAGTACTTCAGGAGGGTTTTTGTTCTGAACTTAAGACCTTGTTCTAGCTTATTTTTGTTCCCTTTTGTCCGTAGGCTCTGCCATGTAGGGTACTGGGTTCTCCCGCATTATGTATGATTGCAGCTCTGCCTTCTGTCCTGCCAGGTGACATCTAGCTGATGTCAAGAATCCACATCTCACGTACAAACAGCCAAATGGAATCAAGCTCCTGGCTCTGCCCCCAGTGTGATTGGCAGCCTTTTGCGTAATCATTTATTATTTATTATTGGTGCTTCACAGGTTTGTCGTGGCCTGTTCAGCCTGGAAATCATGTCCCGAGACAGATGCAGAAAAACTAGTCCAGCTGATTTTTCATGCCTTCCATGATATGATGCAGCTGATGAACACTGCTCATCTTTAGAGACTAGTGCTTGTTAAGCACTCGCCAAAATACATTAAACTAGGTGCTGGGAGTGGGTTGGTGATGAGATGGGAAGGAGTGTTGTGATTTGAGAAAGGAAATGTTAACAGTAGAAATTGATAAAAATCATGCTAAGTGTATTCTGCCATAGAAGTAATGTGTTTAAGCTTCCTCTGATGCAGCAGCAATGCAAATGATGATCTAGTGAATTGAGAACTATGCAATGTTCCAGAAAAGCCACAACAATGCAGATCTACAGATTTTAGCAATGGAAGTCTTAACCTACTTTTAAAATATTTTGTTGGTACTTGTATAGGTTATAAATCCTCTCTGAATGTCCATATTTCAAGCACTTTAACATTTTCTAATTGCCAAAGTGTATGAAATACATGATGGGATGAGAATTCCTCTGAAATCATTGGCTTCCATATTCACCACTGGCTGGCTGGGAGAGACCACTCTGATCTAATCATGATCGAAGAGAGATTATTCAACATAAAGGGTTATTTGCATTTTCTAACAGACAGGAAAAAAATTTAAAAACCCTAACAAAATCAAATGTGATATACTGCTATAATTAATTTTGTCAGTATAGCAAATTTGATTATTAAAGTTAGTGACTTTTAAAGAGTTCAGTGTTGAATCAGATTCTCAGGATTTTAAGCCTGTTTTTTCTTGTTCAGTTTTGTAGTTTCTATTCTCAAAAATAAAACCTTCAAAATCATAAAGTGTTTCGTTTGAATAAATGATTCATTCCTGTTGGCTTCCTTATGATTTCTGGTCTCAGATACGTGCTGCTGGGTGATAAGCATCTTAGAGTTTATGATGAGAGTGCTTCATAGCACTTGGAAAATAGTTAAAAGGTAAGTTTACTTTGGTGCCTGTTTTTAAAATACTCATTTCTGTGAACTTTTGAGGACCACTTTCTCATATGTATTCAGAAATTTTTTGCACCAAAATAAACTTTAAATTGCATTTTCCATGAACTTCTTGAAGTGCCCTCACTGTCATGCCTGAGACTGCAGAGCCCAGGCTGCCTCGGCCACCGTCTCTGCCCGGGATTCTGCCCGCAGACGGTCTCTGGTCACTCAGGAGTCAAAGCTGGGTTCCCATACGTGGCTGAGGAATGTTCTACGACATGAACGTGGAGATGGCAAGGTCTCTGGGGCCTAGGCCATGGCGTCACACAATGTCACTTCTGTGCCTTCTGTTGGTTGTCACAAGTCAATGGAAAGTCAGATTCAAAGAGTGGGGAGAAAAGTCACTTTTAAAATAATGGGCACAGTGGGCATGATTTATTGGGGGCCGTTTTTTGCCTTAGCAACTTACAGTATACTTAGTTACTGGTTGTATATATCCCTCCCTTTTAACATTTACATCTATTCTGAAATCGGTGAGACTGCTCTGTCACCATTGCTTATCATTACGGCTATCAGCATTTAAATCCTTGGCAGGATGCCAGGCCCTAGCCTGAGAAGTACGATTACTGTGAAAGCATCCAGAGCCCACTTGGGTTTCTAGGGCACTGCTGCGTCCTTCCTCGGTGCTGCAGAAGACAAATTCTGAACTGAGGAGATTTTTCCTCACCAGTAGAGTTTGACGGATCCAATCAGGCGTTCAGAGACGTTAGGTGGTTCAGACAACGTCAGACGACAGGGACTACTGGAAGTTGCATCACTTCCTGCAGGAAACCTCTCACTCATGCCTTAACAGTTTCTGTAACTTGCCTCAAGTTTAAAGAAACAAACCCCTGAAGTGCTTTCAGCCACAACCTCCAGGGCCTACTGACTGAGGATCCAGGAGCAGCTGTCTCATGGTCTTTCTCCGACAAGTCTGGGAGTACTCGTACAGAAATAGCTGAGTGTTGCTCACTCGCGGTCTCTGCAGTGATGGGCTCTCCCCTACAGCTTGTCCTCCTCTCAGATTCAGTCCTTAGATGCAGGCTCTCAACTGTAAAGTTCTTTGGTAACATCTGATTCATGACTTGGTTTCAACAGTTTACTGACTAAACACCCTCAGAGAACAGTAAGAACTGATACTGCTGCATAAAACTACGGAGGCACAAGTGGAAAAAACATTTCAGGACAGTGCTTCCGATGGCTGGCCGCAACATTTCTTTTTGCTTTCCATTTTAATAAACCTTTCCTTGTAGGAAAAGTAGGATATTTGTAGAAGAGGCAATGCAGTTATTACAGAAACTCAGTATTTTATCAGTGACATTTCCAGTGTTTCAAATTATACGAGAATGTGCACATTTTAAATCAGTGAGTTCTAGACATTTAAGAACACACTCTGATAGAGCTCTTTCTTGATTTATGGAGTAAGTGTATACTTGCAAAGTTAGCTAGTCTAAGGGCAATTTAGTTTTCTTGGATGACAAATCTGGATATACGTTCATTTAAAAAACTTCAGTTCCAAAACAGAACACTTTAGAAACTTAACAAAGGAAGCGATTAGGCTGCTGTTAGGCTGCTGAGCAGTTTATTTCTGCTTTGTGTTGGGAAACTTCTCAAACCATCCTGTCATCTACCCACCTGTTCAGGACTGTAAGAGTTTTCCCTGCATCTGTCTGTTCTACACCTGTATATACCTGCACTTTTCTTTCTTTGGCTATTTCTTTTTTATTTTTGACAGGCAGAGTGGACAGTGAGAGAGAGAGACAGAGAGAAAGGTCTTCCTTTGCCATTGGTTTACCCTCCAATGGCTGCCGCAGCCGGCGCGCTGCGGCCAGCGCACTGCGCTGATCCAAAGCCAGGAGCCAGGTGCTTCTCCTGGTCTCCCATGGGGTGCAGGGCCCAAGCACCTGGGCCATCCTCCACTGCACTCCCTGGCCACAGCAGAGAGCTGGCCTGGAAGAGGGGCAACCGGGACAGAATCCGGCGCCCTGACCGGGACTAGAACCCGGTGTGCCAGCGCCACAAGGCGGAGGATTAGCCTAGTGAGCCGCGGCGCCGGCCATCTTTGGCTATTTCTAATAACCCAGAGAGATCTAGGCTACTGTTTTTTTTTTTTTTTTAATAATTCATCAAAACAGGTATCACTTCTAACACTCAAATTTCAAATGGTAGAATATCAGAACACCAAATGGGATGTTCTAAATTGATGTGGAATAAAGCACTCCTATATTTTATGATGACTTAAGCCAGAAACTTCTTTAAGCCAGAGAGTAGAATTATGAGTTTATTTGTAGATACATTGTAACCAACAGTCCATCAGTTCTGTGTCCCAGTCTGAATACTGACCATGGAGAAGTAGATGCCTTTCTGTGCCAGCAGCTGGTGGTGAGTGCCGCACTCCTTGACTCTGCCGTTGTGCAACACCACGATCATGTCTGCGTTCTGGATGGTGGACAGGCGGTGTGCGATCACGATGCAGGTGCGGCCCTCCCGGGCCTTGTCCAGGGCTTCTTGGACCACCTGTTGACAAGGCAAACAAAAGCTAATCCTAAAAATTGCATAAAAGGGTTTTAACACTAATGAATTAAAAATTCTGTCCCTCTTAGTAAATCAACTTATAATTTCTCATCTTTTTTAATTTTTGGCCTTATAAGTTGTATTTTACATAACTGATATTATAATCCACATACGGTTATTCTAAGTCATCTTCATGAGTATTTAAACTTTCCAAGTAATCACTTTATCATTTACTTAACTAGTCCCCTGGAGTATTTTGTAACTTGCATTATTATAGCTAATGTACTACAAATAGGACTTAATGTAGTTTCCTTTTAATACTTGTTTTCTTTTAGAAAATTTGTAAGGAAGAAAGAAAACATTCTGGTCATAAAAGTACCACTATCTAAATGTTCGTGCTTTTTTCCATCCGTGTTCATGTACGTTTTCATGGTTGACAGGGGAAAAACGTGGGCTGTAAATATACCAGCACACTGGGTGGGCAGCCACACCTTTTCACTTTCAGTATCCAGAGCTGATGTAGCTTCATCCAGGAGCAGGATCTGAGGTTGTCTGATGAGGGCTCGGGCAATGGCAATCCTCTGTTTCTGACCTCCCGATAGCTGAGTCCCCCTGTCTCCCACTCTGGTTTCGTATTTCTGCAATCAGCCATTGATAAGGTTAATAAAGCTCTATTCTGAAAACATTACTAGTGTCACAATGAATGGAAGTTTACTTAACATCTGACAATTCTGTTCACAAGAAAAACATTTAGAATTTTATAATTTAAAATAAGATTGCTGTTGACAATATTTTTTTCAATTTAATAGAGCATTCTTTTTCAAAATTAAATTAGAAAATGCCTACCTTAAGTATTCAATGATATTCTACAAACAGAAATTTGAGCAACTATTTTTTAATTCCTACCATTATCATAATACTATTTGATGTTACTGGAGTCCTAAAAAGTTTAAATAATACTTTGAAGATGTTTTTTAAACTTGAAATACTCAGTGACCCACATACAGAATAGTTTTTCTCTTTTAAACTCATTAATTAAAATATTTACTGACATTTGCTATGCCTGGAACTGTGGGAAATTAAAATAAATGAATTCAGTTTTGTTTCTGCCCTGAAGGAATTTATAATCCATAGTGGGGGCTGGCACTGTAGCGTAGTGGGTAAAGCCGTCACCTGCAGTGCCGGAATCCCATATGGGTACCAGTTCAAGTCCCAGCTGCTCCACTTCCGATCCAGCTCTCTGCTACGGCCTAGGAAAGCAGAAGATGGCCCAAGGCCTTGTGCCCCTGCACCCCTGTGGGAGACCCAGAAGCAGCTCCTGGCTCCTGGCTTTGGATTGGTCCAGCTCCAGCCATTGCGGCCATTTGGGGAGTGAACCAGTGGAAGGAAGACCTCTCTCCCTCCCTCTCTCTACCTCTCTCTGCCTCTCTGTAACTCTGCCTTCCAAGTAAATAAATAAATCTTTAAAAAAAAATCCATAGAGGGGGAAAAATGCAAATACAGTACTCAATAAGGTCAAGTAAAGTACCACTAGAACATACTACTTTCTAAGAAAAATGAGAAGTAGACAGAAATTGTGGGTACAAGGTAGAAAGGAGACAAATGAAGGCAAAAAATCTTCATAGAGAAGTTTGGGATGCTTAGTGTTGAGGGAACATTCCAGGTTAAAAACAATGCAGTGCAAATTTTTATGAAGTAAAATGTCATTTGTATTAAAAGTTAAAGCCTTCAAAGTTTTTGGCATTTACAGTAAAATCCAATATTGGATTCAAATTGTGCCTGTGTGTGAAAGGTTGGAAAAGCTAATCAAGGAAGATTTTAAAATTTGTCAGTGAGTTCTAATTATAGCATAATATAAAAGCAAAATAATTAAGCTATATTTCAGGTAATCTGAAGTACAGCAGTAAGTGCCTGCATTAAAAAAAAAATAGGAAGTTATCAAATAAACAGCCTAACTATACATCTCAAGCACCTAGGAAAACAAAACAAACCCAAAGTCGTTAGAAGGAAAGAAAGAATAAATATTGGAAATTTTAAAAAAATGAAATGAATTATTCATTGCATTTTCACTCTCACCACTCTTATTCAATTAGTATGAATTTTAGCAGAGTGATTCAACAAGAAAAACCAATAAAACGCATACAAGCAGAAGAGAAAGGCTAACTACGCTTGTTTGCTGCTGACAGGTTTTATGCATGCAGAAACCAGAGGCAGCTCCCAGAGACCACTAGAACTAAAGAATCTGAGATGCTGCAGGACACGAAACCAACAGCCTGAGATACCACAGCTCAGTACCATCTGTATGCACCAATGACGTTCACTGAGAACGAGATTTCAAGAGTAATCAAATTTATAGTAGTCACAAAAAATGCCTTGGAATAAATTTAACCAAAGATATGAAAGACCTCTACAATGAAAATTACAAAACACAATTGAAAGAAATAAGACAAAAATGGAAAGACCTCCATGATCATGAATTGAAAGATTACTATTAAAATGTGCCTATTTATAGATTTAATGCAAAGAAATTTACATATTTAATGCAACCTCCATCAAAATACCAATGTCATTCTTCACAGAACTAAAAAAAAATTATAAAATTAATATGGAGGCAAAAAGACCCTGAGTCAAACAAAATCTTAAGATCTGGAGGTATCATAATGCCGTACTTTTTTAAGATTTATTTTTATTTGAAAGGCAGAGTTACAGAGAGAATGGGAGAGGGAGAGGAAGAACAAGAATGTTTCCATCCACTGTTCACTCCCCAAATGGCCACAATAGCTGGAGTTGGGCCAGATGGAAGCCAGAATCCAGGAACTTCTTCCAAGTCTCCTACGTGGATGCAGGGGTCCAAGCACTTTAGCCCATTCTCTGCTGCCTTCCCAGACACATTAGCAGGGAACTGGATCGGAAGTGGAGCAGCCAGGGCTCAAAATGGTGCCCATATGGGATCCCAGCATCACGGGGAGTGGCTTAACCTGCTATGCCACAGTGCTGGCCCCACAATACCTTATTTCAAGACATACGACAAAGGTATAGCTGGCATGAAAACTGGTAACACAGACTACAGGAGAGAATAAAAAATTAATCCACATGTCTATAGCCTGTTGATTTTTGACAAGGTGCCAACAACACACACTGGAGAAAGGACAGTCTCTTCAATAAATGACACCAGGAGAACTGAACATCAATATGCAAAAGACTGAACACAGCCCTCATCTCCACCCTTCTCACCTTAGACAAAAATCAACTCAAAATGAATCAAAGATCTAAATTAATACCTGAAACTATGAAGTTAATGAGATGAAAACATGGAATGTTGGCAATAATTTTTATGACAAGACCCTAAAGCACAGGTAACTAAAGCCAAAACAGACAAATGAGATTATGTCCAACCAAATAAACTAATGCGCAGCAAAAGGAAACCATCAAAGAGACAACCGAGAGAGTGGGAGCAAATATTGGCAAGCTTTGCATTTGACAAAGGATTAATATCCAGAATATATATGGAACTCAGAAATTAACAAAACTATCTTAAGAAGCAGGGGAGCAGTGAGTTAAGCTTCTGCTCATGACTCCCAGTGCCACACCTGGAGCTCGGGATTCACGTCCCAGCTGCTCTGCTTATGATCTAGCCTCCTGCTAATGTGCCTGGGGGGCAGCAGTTGATGGCTCAAGGGCTCGAGTCCCAGCCACGCATGTGGAGACCTGGATGGAGCTCTGGCTCCTTGCTCTGGCCTGATCTAGCTGTAGCTGCTGGGAAAATTTTCAGAAGTGAAGCGACAGATGGACGAGCTCCTTCTCTCTCCCTTTCTCTCATTCTGTCACTCTATCTTTCAAAGGAACAAATAAATCTAAGGACAAAAAAAGAAATGGGTAAAGGATATGAATAGACAGTTCTCAAAAGGAGAGATACAAATAGTCAACAAGGGCCAGCGCTGTGGCGTAGCAGGTTAAGCCACCGCCTGCAGTGCCAGCAACCCATGTGGGTGCTGGTTCGAGACCTGGCTGCTCCACTTCCGATCCAGCTCTCTGCTATGGCCTGGGAAAGCAGTAGAAGCACCCACACAGGAGACCCAGAGGAAGCTCCTGGCTTCAGATCCGCGCAGCTCCGACCCGTTGCAGCCAACTGGGGAGAGAACAAGCAGATGGAAGACCTCTCTCTCTCTCTGCCTCTCTCTGCCTCTCCTTCTCTCTGTGTAACTCTTTCAAATAAAGAAATGAATCTTTAAAATAAAGAGTCAACAAATACAAGAAGAAATGCTCAATATGCACCAGGGAATTGCAAATCAAACCACAATCAGATATCGTCTCAATTCAGCTTCCGCAGGCATTACCAGAAGGACAAAACCTAACAAATGCTGGGGGCGGTGCTGTGGCGTAGTGGGTTAAACCGCTGTTTGTAGTTCAAGCGTCTCACAGGGGCTCCAGTTTGTGTCCCTGCTGCTCCACTTCTGATCCAGCTCCCTGCTAATGTGCCTGGGAAAGCAGAAGATGGCCCAAGTGTTTGGGCCTCTGCACCCATGTGGGAGACCCAGAAGAAGCTCTGGGCTCCTGGCTTCAGCCCAGCCCAGCCCAGCCCAGTCCAGCCCAGCCCTGGCTGTTGTGGCCATTTAGGGAGTGAACCAGCAGATGGAAGCCCTCGCTCTCACTCTTTCTCCTTCTCTATAAATCTATCCAATAAATAAATCTTTATTAAAAAAAAAAAAAACAGAACAAATGCTATGAGGATGTCGAGATAGGATAACTCTTATACACTGTTGGTGGGAATGCAAATTAGTATAACCATTACTGAGAAATCAAAAACTGAAATCTCAGTGATGTACTGTAACACTCTACCAGAATGACAAAATTAAAAATAGTGCCAACAGTAAATGCAGGCAGAGACTCAGACCGCATCACGCTCACACTGCTAATAGGAGTGGAAAATGGCAGAGCCACTCTAGCAAGCAGTTTACCAGTTGTTTATGAAAGCAAGCATGTGGGGCTGGAGCTGTGGCCCAGCCGGTAGAGCCACCACCTGTAACACCAGCATCCTATATGGCGCTGGTTCCAGTCCTAGCTGTTCCACTTCCAATCCAGCTCCCTGCTTATGTGCCTAGGAGAGCAGTGGAAGATGGCCCATTCACTTGGGCCCCTGCACCCACTTGAGAGCCTTGGATGAAGCTCCTGGCTTTAGTCTGGCCCAGCCCTGGCAGTTGTGTCCATTTGATGAGTGAATCAGTGGATGGAAGATCTCTGTGTCTGCCTCTCCCTCTCTCTCTGCAACTCTACCTTTCAAATCAATGAAATCATTAAAAAAAAAAAGCATGCATGTAATTATCACATAGCCCAGGATGTGCGACTCCTGGTGTCTACGCCAGTGAAATTAAAATTTAAGTTCATACAAGAACCTGTATACTAGTATGTACAGCGGTCTTACAATAGACCAACCCTGCAAACAGCCCAGATCTCCTTCAGCTAGCAAATAAGCCGTCCTACGTGCCTGCCACGGGACACTGTAGCAGTGAAAAGGAATGACCTATAAATACGCAGAACTCCAGGGATGCGTGCAAACCCCGAAAGCTTACACACCACGCATGTTTATATAAAGTCTTAAAATTGAGACCTGCACGGACAGATTTAGTGGGTATCAGCAGGTGCTGGGGGTGAGGCGGGAGGAAGGTGGGAGGAAGGGAGTACGGCTAGGACAGGGTCACATGCGGGATCTTTACGGTGATGGAAACGTTTTGTATCCTAACGGCTCTTGTGAATACATGAACCTACACCTGCAGTGTAACTGCACAGAACTAAATCTGTTTACAAATGAGTACAGGCACAACCAGGGAAGCCTGAATCCCATCACTTTCAACATCAATATCCTGGTTGTGACAGGGTATCAAGTGCAAGCTGTGCAACATGTTACCACTGGGACCGTGAGAGTCCCACGTTCCTTACAACTGCGTGTACATCTACAGTTATCTCAAAACAAAGAATCTGATTGTTAAGAAGTTCCAGAAAGGCTGAACCAAGCATGACATAGCCTAAATGTGGCCCACGACCCTGTCTGCAGCCAGACATACGGTGCTGGGGGCTCAGGGTCACCTCACCGGCTTCCCACTCTGCGTGCAGCAGACATGATGCACTTCCGTTTCCAAGCTGAAGTTGTTGCAAGACTTTGCTTGTACAACTTCGGAAACCATTTTGGGGATAGAAACTGTCTTCAGTCTATTTTGAATCTAGCTAAGAAGCAAGCAGATAACATACATGGGGTAGCGTCTCGATGAAAGGGTGTATGTTGGCGGCCTTGGATGCACGCACAACTTCTTCCTGGGACACTGCCCGGCTGTTGTCCCCATAGGCAATGTTCTCAGCAATACTGCAGTCAAACAAGACGGGCTCCTGGGACACAATTCCAAGTTGAGCTCTGAGCCACTGGACATTGAGTTTCTTTGCTTCTTGACCATCTAGGAGCTGAAAACCAAAGTCCACAAACTATAAGGCGGGTTTAAAAGAAAAGAAAAGCTGAGCAGTAGTTACCAGGCTGTCCGTGTGAGGGCCTGCTGATGTGCGTGGTGAGGCCATCCCTGTCTGTCTGCCGATGTGTATCCATACATATGCCGGCATACATACATATACGTCAAATACAGAGGTCTAAGTGGCAGAACCGTGGCACATTCAATCCCGTCTTTCCACAGTCCTCTTGCTTCTTTTCTGCCCTCCTCCAGGCACCGTGCTGCCCTCTGCCACCCTCCTCAGATCTGCTGCGCCAGGACCCCAGGCCTTCAACTTGACTTTATCCCCTCTCCTCAAGCACACAGGTTCTGAAGGCTGGCTGACTTTGGTCCTGCGCCTCCCTGTCTTTCCCCTAAGAACTGCCAGCCTTGAACTTGCCCCACTTGTGTGTTCTGACAGCACTAGGGACAAGAGTTCAAGGAAAAGGAAAAGCCGCATGGGGCAGTGTCTTCGGCAGCACTGTTTGGATTGGCTGTGGTCTCCGTGGCTTGCAGGGAGCTCCTGGGGGAGCCTTGTGAGCTGGTGACTGAGAATATAGCTTTCTGCAAGGCCGAGGGCACAGTGGAGGAACGGACACAAGCCCAGCCAGTATTGACCTCTCGATACAGAAAAAAATTACCACTGTGCTGGCTTGTCTCCGTTTATATTCTGCAGAGAAGTCGCAATAGTGGAACACGAGATTTCCCAGAAGCAACTAAATGAGATTTGACATTTTGGTGCCTTGAGTGGGAGGCTCCCAGGGCTAGGTCGTGGAAGCCAGCCCAAGATAATGGCAAAAAAACAGGCATTATCAGTTACAGCCAGGAGGCTAGACGCCAGAGGAAAATCAGTAATGAAACCCAAACAGGATAGGGCTGGAGGCTCAAGATCAAAGTCAGAAAGCCTACAGTTCAAGGTTTGAGAGATAAGGCGGAGCAGAGGCTGAGGGTGGGGCCCACAGCAGGCCCCAGCTCACCCTGGGAGGAGTTTGTATTTCACCTGCATTTATAACCCACCGAGCGAGTGCTCGGGGAACCAGCTGGCTCCCAGGGTCTGCCCGAGCAGAGGCTGACTTGATATTTGCCATCTTCTGAGCCAGACTACCTTCCAGAGTCCTGCCCTGTTGCCTCCATACATTCACACTTGTTTGGTAGGGGCGCCAGGCTGGGCCTCACAGAACGCAAGCCACTGTGTCAGACAGGATTACAGGTCCGCACTTGTCTGTCCTCCATCTGTCATCAATGCTTTCGCTAATGGCCTCAAATCCGGTTCCTGGCAGAGGGTGCTCACCACTGTTCCGCTCATGGGGTCGTAGAACCGCTCGAGCAGCTGCACCACGGTGCTCTTCCCGCAGCCGCTGCTGCCCACCAGCGCGAGCGTCTGGCCCTTCTTCACCTCCACGCTCAGCCCCTGCAGCACCGGCACGTTGGGCCGTGTCGGGTAGTTGAACACGACGTCATTGAATGCCACGTTGCCTTCGAACTTACCCTAAAAAATGTTTCAAGTGTTGCTATTGGTCTGATCATTATTGGAAGGAGTAGTAGTATTTCAGCGAAACTTTGCCAAACACCCAACAAGAGAAAGATGAAGTTCATGTTCAGTATAGTGCTGGTATCATTTACTACAGACTGCAAGTTGGCACATAAATGCAGACGGAACATCAAGATACAGACTAATTAGGTTAGGTGAGAGAGCTGTTATCGCAAATTAATTTCTTTTTTTTTTTTTTTTTTTTTTTTTTTTTTTTACAGGCAGAGTGGACAGTGAGAGAGAGAGACAGAGAGAGAAAGGTCTTCCTTTGCCGTTGGTTCACCCTCCAATGGCCGCCGCTGCAGCCGGTGCACCGCGCTGATCCGATGGCAGGAGCCAGGATCCAGGTGCTTTTCCTGGTCTCCCATGGGGTGCAGGGCCCAAGCACCTGGGCCATCCTCCACTGCACTCCCTGGCCATAGCAGAGAGCTGGCCTGGAAGAGGGGCAACCGGGACAGAATCCGGCGCCCCGACCGGGACTAGAACCCGGTGTGCCGGCGCCGCAAGGTGGAGGATTAGCCTATTGAGCCACGGCGCCGGCCGTCGCAAATTAATTTCTGCTTCATTAGGGCAAACATTGATCTTTCCCAACTGCTGATTCAGAGGCTGCAGACAAGCTAGCAGCCAAAGGCTCCAAGGCCTGGGAATTCAGCATCCGCCTACAGTTTACCTGGACAGCACTCGCCGGACCCCTGGCAGCTGCTTTATCTCACTCACTGGACACAGAAACTTTCTCAGAACCTGAATCCCAACAAAGTCCCAGCACGACTCCGAACTCCTCATCTCTGCACTCGCATCTTCCTGTACATTAGAATGTGCAGCTTGTGTGATCCAGACAACACTCAGGTCTGAGTGCGCATAACTTCCCAGATCCCTGTGAACTCTCATTGTGAACTGGTGGCCTTCTAAAATAACTTGGCCATTATAAAATGTGAATAAAGCAAACTGCTAACTACATTACCATGACAGAATTACTAGGTACTTCTTCACATAGAAATGACTACATTTCTGTGTATTCAATTCCAGTACATCTGGTTTTATTTAAATTTTTCTGGATGTGAATTTCAAAATCCCTGGAATCTCCTAGAAAAGTTTTAAAATGTCAGGAAAATAGGCCAAACATTAGTCACATAATCATCAACCAAGCTAAACATGAGGGTACCTCAAAAGCTTGTGGGAAAGTGGAATGGAAAGATGTGTGCTGTGGTGTAAAACAATCTTGGAATCCACGCACAGCTGTTCAGCACTACCCATCTTCACGACCCTCTCAGAGGCCCCCCACACGGGTCAGTGTAACCCTGCAACAGCAAAGCTTTGGGAAAGCAACCATCAGGCATCACGCAGGCAGCAGGGAACTCACAGGCCTCAGCCCCTCCTCGCTGTAGCTGTCGATCAAAGGCTGCCTCTCAAACAGCATGAACAAGTGGGCTGCAGAGAGCTTGGCTTTGGCGTAGTCCGGAGCAAAGGAGCTGGCGTGTCCGAGAGCCACCGCGCCAAACACGATTGCTGAGAACACCCTGGACGCAAGTGGAGGCGTTCGGACGTTAGCTTACGTGATCAGCTTCGTGACGTCGCTACCTAGCCGTGTTTACCGTCTCACTTCCTTCAGCACCCCCTCAGCCACGGCCGTGGAACCCCAGTCAAAAGCATCTAGCAGAGAGCCAGAGTTTGCTTCTCCCCCGACTCGCCCTCCAGTTTCCTAGAGGAGCCCCGACTTCCTCAGGCCAGCGTGGCCTTCCACAGGGAAGTGGCTTCTAACTCCGTCTGACTGGTGAGCTCATCTCAGCGGGCAACTACAGCCTTTGTCAGAGCTGGGAGAACTCGAGCACCGTGGGTCACGGGAGCCTCCGTTCCAGACAAGGACCGGCACTTCCTGGTCAGCGGTGGCTCTCACTTCCCGCTGTGGCTTCTTCTACCCTACCACAAAATGCTATCAATCACTACAGGCATTTTTGCTAGGAAAAATTAGCCCTAACTAGGAAGAATGTCACCGGCTCAATCCTGGGCAACTCTGAAGTTTTCACGGTCACTCATTTCCAAAGATCCTAAAACCACCTGATGTTCTGCCAAGTTGTCTTGCAATCACCAGTCCCCTGGACAGGTCCAGTCCCCACCGTGCACAGATGGATCAGAAGAATATCCAGGGGTCACCCTTTGCCTCACTTCAACGCTCAGATCTCTGCCCCAGGGGGAGCGTGAGCCTCGTTACACAACACACAACCCGCGCCGGTGTGCTGCTAAGCTGTGGCTGCAGGACGTGTACCTATGCCTATGCGCAACCACACGGACTCCCCCTTCTACTCAGTTCCCCTATGCAGAGGGCCACAGTTTAAAATAACAAAGGCACTAGTCTAGGAGGAAAAAAGTTCTCTCAAACTTAAGGTCCTTTTTCTAATTACTTGTTATCAAAATCTTTCCTTTAGGGCCGGCGCTGCGGCTCACTAGGCTAATCCTCTGCCTAAGGCGCTGGCACCCCAGGTTCTAGTCCCGTTCGGGGCGCCAGATTCTGTCCCAGTTGCTTCTCTTCCAGTCCAGCTCTCTGCTGTGGCCCGGGAGGGCAGTGGAGGATGGCCCAAGTGCTTGGGCCCTGCACCCCATGGGAGACCAGGAGGAAGCACCTGGCTCCTGGCTTCGGATAGGCGCAGCGCCGGCCGTGGCGGCCATTTGTGGGGTCAACCAACGGAAAGAAGGCCTTTCTGTCTCTAACTCTGCCTGTAAAAAAAAAAAAAAAAAAAAAAAAAAAAAAAAAATCTTTCCTTTACAGAACTCTTAGGAAGGGCAAAGATCCTGGGATCTGCGTCTCCACGAAGCAGCCTGCTGGGACAGCAGCGCCCCCGGAGAAGGCACACAGGAAAGCTCTAGTACTAATACACGTTTTTTAAAGTTCTTTCTCCCTCAAACTTCTGAATCTACAATATTAAATGTGGTTTTACTACAAAGGGGTGGCAGTGCTGAGTACAGTGAGGCCCCCTTTAAATAGCTGGGGAGAGGGTTCGTTACCAGCAAGTACGCTGTACGTTAGCAAAACCACCCACGTGTGTGGCTGCCTAGCTTCCCTGGCTGTAGCACAGGAGATGAACGTGCTGTCTTCTGGTTATCCAAAAGTTAACATTTCACTGATTTTTAAAAAGCAGGGACGATTTTCTTAATGATATTTCTCAAGATTTAAAAATAATAAGATGGCAATTCCCAGCTGCTATTTCCACTGGTCCCTCCCAAGCCACTCATAAGCTCCCTTGGCCTCCGCGGTGAGCATCCTACTCCATGCCGGGAGGGGCGCGCCCTCACTGACTTCCTCAGACGATCTCGTCGTCCTCTGGCCTCGGGCGGGGCCTGGCCGACACTGGCACCGGTAGAGAGGCGCCGGCTGCCGCGAGCAGGGCTGGGCTGGCTTCTTCACATCCTGCCTTGTTGGGTTGCTCGCGTGGCTTCTGTTCTCCACCAAAGACCACAGAGGGCCTGGGCCCGGGGTCTGCCCATCTTTCCCTCCTGCCCTTTCAGTGTGCGGGGATAGCAGCCGCCATCTAAGTCTGGGGGCGGCAGGGCCTGCTCTCCACTTCCCATGCCTTTGTCAATGGCCCTTAAGCAGACACTTTTTGCTTTGGCTTCCCGCTAGGCCGCTGACACATTTTTTCATCATTTTAATTTGCCATCAAAACTAAAGAACAGCTCTGAAACCTTTTTCACTTTTCCTGATTCCATTGCAAACAAGGCCATTTACCACCACTTGGAAAGGGCAGAAGTGTGCCAAACCATCTTACAAAGAGCGTCTTCCCTCTTCCAGGCCAAGTCTGTAACCTAACTGACCGTCCTCTCTAAGATCTGAAAGAATGCACTGATCACCAAGGCCTTGGGAGGCCCTAGAAGCCAAGGAGAGAGGGGCTGCGAGGTACATGGTGCCAGGGCCCCCTCCGGCCAGGTGAGCAGGCAAAGAGGCCTTGCCAGATCTCAGTCGAGCCTCCCATCCTGTTGTGCAGGCCCATGTCTCGGCCACAGGTCCACAGACATGTAACCCTCTATTGTAAGTCCGTAGTCGTAACTTTCTTCTTGTGGCTTATTCCTGCCCACATTCTACAATGAGAGCATTTGCTGTCTCCTGACTGGGGCGTGTATACAACTTCAATTATGCTTGATGACCATTTCTTTGGGCTTCATCTGAGTCCGCACAGATGGCTAAACCACACTTGGAACACTGAACTGTCATATCTCTGTGCTGCCAGGATGAAGACTACGGTAACAATTCGTCTTTTTCTTCTACCCCAAACTTTTGATGAATGTATTAAAACCCCATCTTGGAATCAACCTAGTATTTTTATGGCTACTTACAGAATAACATCCCTGAAGCGCATGTGTCCATTCACAATGAGGTAGGCACCAAATCGAAAACAACCAGCATAGGAGAAATACATAAACGCTTGTGAGATACTAAAGGTAATCCCGTAGATGTGCGCCTTCCGCACCGAGTTCCTGAAAAGCAGATTCGTACGTCTGTCAGTGTACTCACAGCACCTCTTCAGGATCCCTTAGAGCTATGTGGTAGAGAGTCCTCAGCTTATAAGTTTGGTCAACCTGGGTCTACCTTCTGCCCCCAACTACATTGGTTTGGGTAAGGGATTTGACCTCTTTCAGCATCAGTTTTTTCATCTGTATAATGGAGATGATCACTATAATGCAGAATTGAGAACTAAATTCACTATGATGCAGTTTTGAGAAGTAAATACAGTAAAACAATACAAATACTTAACATCCGGCCAATTGTCTAGCTCACAGCTTTCAAATGAGAGCTGTCATTAATATTACTATTCCATGTTAATACTACAAATTAACATTACACATTCGTATCTGACAATTCAGAGCTCAATCCCTGTGATGCAGCCACGGTTGTGTCAGAAATACCCAGGGGGCTGGTGCTTGGAATGCCCACATCCCTATTCAGTGTCTAGCTCAAGTCCCAGCTACTCCACTTCCAGTACAGCTTCCTGATAATTCACACCCTAGGAGGCATCAGGAGAGATCAAGTAACTAAACCCCTGCCACCCATGAGGCCTGGGTGGAGCTCCAGGCTCCTGCCTTCAGCCTGGCCCAGCCCTGACTGATGTGGGTATTTGGGGAATGAATCACAGGATGGAGTAGCTCTATCATTTTCAAATAAGATGAAAAGAAATTTAAAGAAATAAAAAATCTGTATTTGTTGGACTACATTGAAAAATACCTAGGATGTCAACATTCTAAAGTCTGCATGATTGGAAAATGATTTAATATTATTATTTTGTCTCTTATAACCAGTGACCTCTTACAGAAAAAGTCCAATTTCAGAGTGACAAAGGTTTGGCCATTCAAGTTTACAGACACACTTAAGTCCTTCCCTGAATTAGATCCTGCCAGCATCATATACAATTTGTTTTGCACTATTTCTAATTATACCTCACGCTAAACTTTGTTAGGCCACTACTCCCTCCCAAAGAACCATAATTTATGTGCTCTCAAATTAAGACAAAAAGGATTTGACAAGAAAGGAAATTTGAAGTATTGTTGATTATGATGTTTTAACTTAATGTGCTGTGAATACAGTGTTAAAACACTTAACTTCCTGGAACATTTTACAGTATTACAGAACTGTAAATTAGGACCAAATCAGTAACTAGCTTTCTGTTCTTAACTCTGACATTTAAAACACACCGTAAGGGGGCAGGTGTTAAGATGCCCACATCCCACACTAGGGACCTGAATGTGATTCTTCTGTCTGGTCAATTACAGTTTCTGATTAATGTGGACCCAGGAGGCAACAGGTGACAGCTCGAGTGATCGAATCCTTCCACCCATGGGAAACTGAGATTGAGTTCCTGGCTCCTGGGGTAGCCCCAGCCTGGCCACTGCAGGCATTTGGAGAAGTGAACCAGAGAATGTGAACTATGTCTGTCAAATAAGTAAAAATTTTTTTTAAATATCATAAGGTCATGGGTATTACTGATATATATATATATGACATATATGTCAAACGAACAAAAAAAAGTAGCCACATAGTTTTATTATCAAATGAAGTATATGTAACTGAGGAGATAGAATAAATTGAGAATTTCAAGGATCTTGCTCAAATTTCCAAGCTTTCAAACTATTATTCAGGTCTACAAGTCTCTAAGTTGTGTTCACTTCTGCCAGCATGAAAAGATATTCATTAATAAAACTAGGCTAATCCTCCGCCTTGCAGCGCCGGCACACCAGGTTCTAGTCCCAGTCAGGGAGCCAGATTCTGTCCCGGTTGCCCCTCTTCCAGGCCAGCTCTCTGCTGTGGCCAGGGAGTGCAGTGGAGGATGGCCCAGGTGCTTGGGCCCTGCACCCCATGAGAGACCAGGAGAAGCACCTGGCTCCTGCCATTGGATCAGCGCGGTGCGCCGGCAGCAGCGCGCTGGCCGCGGCGGCCATTGGAGGGTGAACCAAGGGCAAAGGAAGACCTTTCTGTCTTTCTCTCTCACTGTCCACTCTGCCTGTCAAAAAATTTTTTTTAAAATAAATGAGGCCTTGGTGGATACTAGCAAACACTATGCCCCTGGAGTTTCAGGAACCGTTCAAATATGACCATGAAATCAGCTACGTGTCCTCATCCTCACAGCGGGCTGTATCTGGTCCTTCGTCAGAGGACAGACAGGCCGTTCTTCTCCGGGATATGCCGTGTAGTAAGTCTCCTCTTGTGTTCAGTCTGCACTCCCCAGAGGAAATAAAGGTCTGAACAGTTCCTAAAACAATGGTTTTCCTGAACCACCAGATGGTTTATGTGGCCTACATGATGACCAAATATTTCTGCAACCTCCATCCCTTCTAGTTCTTAGAGACCAAATCTTACTGTTTGCACAAAGACTGAGATTTGCGGTTTGGTCACATCAAGGAGTTCAGTGAGTTACTGAAAAAGGTCACCCCTAGAGTCACGTCGCTGTTCTCAGCAGCAGTATTTTTATTTTCTTTTGGGGGCAATAGTGCTGCCTAAGGAACCAGGTTCTCTGTATCAATCACTTGTTCATTACCTGTAAGGCCCACGCAGTTTTTCAACGTACATGGATTCAAATTTTCTTTCCTGGGTCAAGGACACAAGCGTCCTAATATTTTCTATCGCCTCTGTTGCAATCTGTAATGTAGAACAGACTTTCATTACAAGTGGGTGCTTCGATTTCTGAAACAGTAAGGATACATCTTAGCACTCCCGTCTTACAGGGACTGGCTTTCAATTCAGTTAAAAGCAAAGGCAGAACATGTTCTTCAGGACCAGCTCTATGACAGAACAGACACGTCTGGCTATGGCAAGCACAGCTGATAAGTCTTCAAGTCTCCACATGCCTGGGGAGCTGGGGGCAGCAGGAACAGTGCCCTGAGCTCCAGGGGCCTGGCTCCACTCCCAGCCCTGCTCCCACGCAGCTCCGTGACCGGCATTAGTCACCAATGGCTGCTGTCTTCCTAGGGTGAGGTTCCAGAAGGAAGGATGAGAGAGTGATGATCTTTTCCCCACGCACACTCTCCTCAGAGAACCTGTCCACCCACAGTGCGATGAGAGACCAGCTACAAACAGGACGAGCCTGCTTTCCGTATTGGATTAAACCAGTGACACACACCCAGTGGATCTGTGTCCGTCACATTCAGCCTGCAGGACCACGAGGCAGGCACCAACCTGAGTGGCCCCGGGGGTTCAGCAGCCAATGTCGCCCCCTGAGGAGCCACCCAGGCTTGTGCAGGTGGTCAGGATGCACAGGACGAGGAGCAGGACAGGTGGGCCGAGAGCCTCGGCACAACACAGCTGCGGCTTCTGAGAGACTGTGGACAGAAACCTGTGCTTCCCTGTGGCCTTGTGTCAAGTCTCTCTTACCCAAATTAGCCAGAGCCGTTTTCTGGTTCTTACAGCCAAACCACCATTGATGACTGTTAATTGTTGAGGGCTTTAACTATTCTGTCTACATCGGAATTCTGCAGTTGAGTCATCTAACCCATCAGCACTGGGAGCACAGAATCTTACTTCGAGATTGTTTGTTTTATCAGCTTTAAGACACAGGTCAGTCTCTGTGACCAGAAGAAAGCAAGACGTGGGATAACTGAAGCCAAGCAACTCTGTCCTTAATAAGGAATTAGAGAACAGTGATAGCTAGAATATGAATCACCTTGAATGAATGATCTATCCAGTCTCATACCATCCTCCAAGCCAATTATTTCTGTTTCCACTTATGAAGTGACTTGTCTATAGTGCTGTCCTCAGGAAACAGCTGACCAAGGATTCACACCCGGCTATCCGAGGCCAAGGCCACGCTGCAGACCCACGCGCTATTCCTCCCCCACTGCATTGACAACTTCACACTCAGTCCTTGGTTTTCTGGCTGTGGCCACTTTGTGGGTTAGCTTGGTGCTGCAAGCTCCTAATCTCAGCGAGTGGGCAGGGCCTGAGTCTTGATGCTTGTGAGAAACTTAGGCTATTTTTGCTAAGTTGACCAGCCTGTTGATCAGCCAGTCATTAGCAGGCTATGCACAGCTGTATTAACTCCGATGGTAGAATTTTAGATCATCAGTTACAGTCACAAACACGATCCTGTTCAAACTTCTCAGCATGGCACGCCTCTCCCCTTCACTGCCCAGTAACCAACACCTTCATTATCAAGCCCTTTTCTTGAAAATCCGAATGGGAATGTCCTTAATTCCAATGTACCTTAGTCATAATCTGCACCCAGGTAAATTACAGCATTTCTTTTCAGTTATTTGGGAGTTTTTCTAGAATCTTCTAAGTTGGCTGAGTAAACAAAATTGAACTATGTTTGAATTGCTGATAAGTACCAGAGTTCCCAATCTCATACTATATACCCATACTGCAAAAAGTTCACGGGAAATGGAATTAAAAGTTAAGGTTATTTTGGTATCAAACTTTTGAAATCCTATGCATTTTTTCATGTTATTTTAAAACACTATTATGTTAAAGTAGCTACTGCAAAAAAATTAGGTGCAGATGTGGCATAGGGAGCTAAGCCTCTGTCTGTTCACTGGCATCCCCAAAGGGCACCAGTTCATGTCCCAGGTGCTCCTCTTCAGATCCAGCTCTTTGCTTATGGCCTGGGGAAGCAGCGGAAGATGGCCCAAGTGCTTGGGCCCCTGCATCCACATGGGAGACCAGGAAGAAGTTCCAGGCTTCGGATCAGCCAGCCCCGGCCATTTGCGGTGCGGACCAGTGGATGGAAGACCTTTCTCTGCTTCTCAAATAAATAGAATTAAAAAAAAAAAATTAGGGGGCTGGTGCTGTGGTACAGCAGGTAAGTCTGCAGCCTGAGATGCCAGCATCCATGTGGGCAATGGTTTATATCCCAGCTGCTCCTGTCTGCCCAATCCAGGTCCCTGCTAATGCTCTTGAGAAAGAAGCCGAAGACGGCCCAAGTGCTTGTGCCCCTGCCACCCATGAGGGAGATCCAGAACAAACTGCTGGCTTCTGGCTTCAGCCATTTGGGGAATGAACCAATTATTTGGGAGTTTTTCTAGAACCTTCTAAATTGATGAAAAGATCAAAGATCTCTCTTGTCTCTCTGTAACTTTGCCTTTCAAATAAATAAACTTTTTTTTTTTAAATTAGATCTGTTGTTCATGATCTGATTCTTAAAAATAAAGACATGCCTGGTGCAACTTCTCATTTCACACAGGTGGAAAACAAGGGCCAAGAAAGTTGGGGACCTTTGTCAACATCACGCTCCCCAAGTGGCAAGGTCACCAACAACCTGTAATACTGTTCAATTCCATCTGCCTGCTCCTGCAAAAATTCTGACAACTGCCCGTGTTAGCCACTTTTAAAAGAGCTAAAGCCGGCCGGCGCCATGGCTCAGTAGGCTAATCCTCCGCCTTGCGGCACCGGCACACCAGGGTCTAGTCCTGGTTGGGGTGCCAGATTCTGTCCCAGTTGCCCCTCTTCCAGGCCAGCTCTCTGCTGTGGCCAGGGAGTGCAGTGGAGGATGGCCCAAGTCCTTGGGCCCTGTACCCCATGGGAGACCGGGATAAGCACTTGGCTCCTGCCTTTGGATAGGCGCGGTGCGCCAGCCACAGCGGCCATTGGAGGGTGAACCAATGGCAAAAGGAAGACCTTTCTGTCTCTCTCTGTCCACTCTGCCTGTCCAAAAAAAAAAAAAAAAAAAAAAAAAAAGGAGCTAAAGCCATTATCTCAGCTAGGTTCAAGATGTTTTCTTCCAGGTAACTTGTCCAAGAAACATTTATTTTCCAGTCTGACAATTTTCCCTTCCAATATGCGGAGATCGGGGGCGGGGCGGGGGGGGGCAGAACTACAGGTAGTTCTCCAGCAGCTGGCTGGTACACCCAGAAACCAAGGAAATGATGGCCCAAAGCAGCCACAGCAAGGCGAGCTGCGGGCACGCAGGGACGCACAAGCCGGGGAACTGGAGTCCCAGGAGCTGCAACCCAGGGAGGATGCAGGGCAGAGGTGAGACGGAAGCCTTCTGACAAAACCCGGGGTGATGCTGGTGAGGAGACTGGGAGAGGAGCTGGCCGCAGAGAACTGGGCCGTGCAGCTGCATGAGGAGCGCCCGCCTCACCCTGACGCCACACAGCTGGAGAGCGCTGCTGCGCCTGGAGGCGCTCTTCCTTGGAGAGACCCTGTCTGCCCCACTGTGCCAGCGGAGGGAAGCCCAGCTGCGTGACGCTTGCTCCAGTTTACGAAACGTGGTGCTAGACAAAGTGCATGGATGATTTCACCTCCCCTGTGTCAGTGAAGGAATACCGCTTCACAGGACTGAGAAAACGGGTTCACCGCCGCACCTTAAACACTGAAGGGCGTGGGAAGAAAACACCTTGAACCTAGCTGAGGTTTACGTAGATTTAGACACATTTAAACACAGAAAAGCTTTGAAAGCAGACCTGGACTTGAATCCCTGTCACACCTTCAACTTCTGTTTGCCTCTCGGGCTGGATGTTTGCAAACCCGAGGTAACAGCAGCGCCTGCGTCTCTGGAGTACCGAGAGGGAGCAAGGAGTGGGAGCACACACACTGCCCGGTGCAAGGCCCAAGTCAGCCGCGGCCCGAGAGGCAGAGCCACAACGGGGCATCACTGCCCCCTGGTGGCCGCCGTGCCCAGGCATGGAACTCCTGGCCGAGCTGCTCAGGGGAGGGGCTCTCTGGTACTGGCTTGCTCTTCCACAGGCCGCCTCTGCCCTGGGGTCCCCTCATGTGTGACTCAAGGTGACATCTGTCACAACAACGGCACGGCGCACATGAGGTGACAGATGGCGTATCCTCTCAAAACCCAGAGGTCCTGTAAGGTGCTCGGTTAAGTACTTCACGCATCATCCCCTTTCCAAGCTCTAGGCAAGAACACATGGGCGTTGAGAACTGGGACTGGAAGCGACAGGACCTGTGTCCCAGAAGCCACCGACCCGGACCGAAGCCCTGCCCGACCCACCTTTCCAGCCGCTTCCAGCTCTTTTTTATCTCTCTTGGCGTTTCCGGCCAGCATCTTCATTTCAACAATTCCTGACACAGCAATAATCGGAACAACCGACAGCAGCAAAAGGGTCAACTGCCAACCGTAGATAAACGAGATGATAATGCCGGTGCCAAGGTTGGCCGTGTTCTGGGCGATCAAGGCCAGCCTGGTGCCCGTGGCCTGGAAGAGAAGAGCGGGGCGCCGGGCTGAGTTCCCTGGCCCTTCCTGGCCACACCTCCGAACGCTTGCGCCTCTCCTGCCGGGGAGCCACCCTCCCAGAACCGCGGGGTCAAGCAGCCCCACTGCGCCCCGGCCACTCTGAGGACGCTGTGAGAGATCTGACACACAACATCCGCTTCTCCAGAGGGCTCGCATCCCCAGCGACCGTCCGCCTCGGGGCACCCAGCAGCAGGAATCCGCCTTTGTACCTCTCAGGACAGACGACACTGTAGCTGGCTGGAGCCGTCCCCTACTCCCCGCCCCCACCAGCGTCGGGCTGGGGACCGAGCCCCTCAGCGTCAGCCTTCCTTCCCCTGGAGGCAGCGCTTGGCTCAGGGTTGCCCATGTGCCCCAAATTAGCCCTCAGGGAATGGTGCTGGAGGCACACGTGTGGGCCTGTACCCGATCTAACATCTGCAGGTGGCCATCCTGCGGCCAGGGTAGCTGGGGCTGGAGCTCAGAGCCTCACCGCGGAAGGCACCTGACTGCTGAGGCAGTGGCCAGCCAGCCTGAACCCAACCTCCCTGCGTCGGCGCAGCCGGCTGGGCTGGGCACTCTGCTCCTTGGCAGCTGCAGCTATGTGTGTTGCAGAGAACACCAGAAGAGGCAGTCTACCTACTCCTTGGACTTGGGCGGCGTCCGTGGCAAGTCTTGTAGAAAGTGCACCAGTACTGTTTTTATGATCATCAAACCAGCTCATGTCCTGCGGTGCAAAATACATCCTGCGATTAGTTTGCAAGTAGAACAAAACGTGCCAAGTCAGACAAAACCTCCTGTAGCAGCTGTGCTGAAGAAATGTCCACACTTGACAGGGGTACTGAGGTTTGGGGGAGACCTCACATGTACTGGCAAGTCCTGTGCCCTGAACACCCCCACCCCCAGACCACTCTGCAGTGATGGGGAACATCTCAGTTGGGGGCGGGGCAGGGCCCAGGTGGCAGCCGTGCCCCCTGCCAGCTACACCGGAGGTTGGGGCCCATGAGGGCATCCCATCCACCCCATGTTTACAGACACACCCTCTGCCCTCTTTGGTGGTGTCCCCCACAGATGGTGGTGGAGCCATGCAGGACACATTCTGGAAAATTCTAGGCAGGAGAAAAGCAGCCCTGACTTCTTACCACGTTCTTGTTTGTTTCTAAAGTAAGGGTTAAAAGCTTATGTCTGAGTATATTTGAGTTTTAGGTACAAGCTATTCATCCATAGCATTGTTTACTTTCCTAAAAAATAATTTTCCTAGCAAGCGTTTAAGAGATATTGAAAAAAGGTGGCAAACTCAGACTTGCTCAAAATGTTCTGCCAGCTGTGTGCCCTTTTTTGAACAGGAATCGAATGGATTTCCTGCCCACTGGAAGGGTAAGATTCTAGTCCTCGCTCAGGCCTTGCCTAGGAAAACAGACTTAGTGTTTGCACACCTAGACATGTCCTGCACTAGACCAAGAACTTGTCAAGAGTCAGCAATGTCTGAATGCATTACCCAGTGAATTAGTATGAACACACAGCTCAAGTAAGACAGGAACAACATTCAGTCACAAATACTCAGGAAAGCCTATACTTGGTATGACTGTGGTACATGAACTTGAATGCTGCCATGCACTTCTTTAAGTGCATCCTGGGGCCGCAAGGACTCCCAAGACCAGTACAGGATCCAGAGAACAGATACAGGTCCTTGGAAATGAATGTCCACATGTCTGGAGACAGTTCTAGAACAAGCCAAAGGCTACCAAAACGACACCCACCCCCATGAAAACCCTGAGCAGTCTTTGCAAACTGCAGGAGGAGAACAACTGGCAGGAGCCTGACTGAGCCCTGCATGAAACACACACGTAAAACCAGGAAGACGAGAGGGGTCCAGAAACCGGAAGGCATCACCAGTGCGTGCACTTACCTGCCTCAGCATGGCTCTGAAAGCCATCGACCGCAGCCTCATGGTGAGGATCTCGCCAGCTTTCCCAAACGTGAAGCCCTGGTGGGGAACAAAGGCTGTTGTCCCCTTTGATCATCACTAGTATTCCAACAGGTGCATGTGAACCAGCCATTCAAATCACCAAAATCTGAGACCGAATACTAACTCAAAGTTTCAACTTAAGATACCTGCACTGTCTAATCATGAGTGTGTATCTGAGTCATAAGCCTGAAAGTGTCCACTTCGGGCTTCTAAGCCATTCTAGGTGGGTTTAGATTTCAAATCTTTCAAGGACAACAGCTCAGTGACAAAGATACTGTATTCTATTCCAATTTGCAGAATGTTCTTAACACATTGTCAATAAACCAGCTTTAGTAACAAAATCAAGAATACCTTTCAGCTTATGCAATGCCAGGGAGCACGCACTTAATTTATTTTTTAAAGATTTGTTAGAGTTTGTCTTGTGGTGCAGAGGGTCACACTACAGCCTGTCACACCGGCATCCCCTGGGAGTGCTGTTTCCAGTTCTGGCTGCTCCACTTCCAATCCAGCTCCCTGCTAACACTCCTGGGAAGGCAGCGGAAGACAGCCCGAGTATTTGAGCCCCTACCACCTATGTGGGAGACCTGGATAGTGTTCTGGGCTTCTGGCTTCAGCCAAGCCCAGCCCTGGCCATTGGAAAATGAACCAGTGAATGGAAGATCGATTTCTTTCTCTTGCTGCACCTTTCAACTTAATTATTGAAAGCCCAGAGCAACAGAGAGAGAGAGTGATTTTTTTTTTTTTTTGACAGGCAGAGTGGACAGTGAGAGAGACAGAGAGAAAGGTCTTCCTTTGCCGTTGGTTCACCCTCCAATGGCCGCCACGGCTGGCACGCTGCGGCCGGCGCACCGCGCTGATCCGATGGCAGGAGCCAGGTGCTTCTCCTGGTCTCCCATGGGGTGCAGGGCCCAAGCACTTGGGCCATCCTCCACTGCACTCCCTGGCCACAGCAGAGAGCTGGGCTGGAAGAGGGGCAACCGGGACAGAATCCGGAGCCCTGACCGGGACTAGAACCCAGTGTGCCGGCACTGCTAGGTGGAGAATTAGCCTATTGAGCCGCGGCGCCAGTCAATCTTTTTTTTTTTTTTTAAAGTTTATTTATTTATTTGAAAGTTACAGAGAGAGGCAGAGACAGAGAGGTCTTCCATCCGCTAGTTTACTCCCCAAATGGCCACAACAGCCAGAGCTGCACTGATCTGAAGCTTGGAGCCAGGAGCCTCTTCCAGGTCTCCCATGTGGGTGCAGGGGCCCAAGCACGTGTGCCATCTTCCACTGCTTTTTCAGGCCATAGCAGAGAGCTGGATGGGAAGAGGAGCAGCCGGGACTAGAACCGGTGCCCATATGGGATGCAGGTGCTTCAGGCCAAGGCATTAACGCTGCAGCACAGTGCCAGTCCGAGTGATCTTTCATCCATTGGTTCACTCCCCAAATCTAGTAATGGCCAGGGCTGGGACAGGATGAAGCCAGGAGCCTAGAACTCCATCCAGGTCTCCTACATAGGTGGCGGGGCCCAAGTACTTGAGCCATGTTCCACTGCCTTCCCAGGTGCACTAGCAGGAACCTGGATCAGAAGCTGAGCAGCTGGGATGCCCACTGGCACTTATGGAGTAAATACATCTCACGAGGGGCCTGCTTTAGTGTCACACCCTGGAAGAGTTGCCAGTTCCGTTACACAGTCCCTCTGCTCTCAGGCTGGGGGAACAATTAGGCTATTCTTCCTCCCAAGCTCCTTGCCAGACAATTCCCCGCTTCCTAATTACCACGTGCAAACTGGAGAGCAGCCCAGACTTCCAGAGGCGGCTGGCTGATGCTGACCTCTAGCCACACGGGGTGCAGGGGAAGCCACTCCACTGAGCTAACAGGTCGGGCAACCGTGCAGGGGTGAGTCCGCTCCAGGTGTGCCTCGTCCAGGACCGGTGTGTCCTCACCTCCCCCTCTGCAGCAGACTGCTCTGGGCAGCCACGGGCACCCCAGTTCATATGCGAACGCCAGAATCCCTGCAGCCCCTACACTTATCACCCACTCCCTCACACGCTGGGCCTGGAGCTGGGTCAGAGCATTCAGGTGCAACTGGCAAAGTCATGATCTCGAAACACAAAGCTGGTCTTCCTGTTACCATGGGTCCAACAACACTAAGAGAAGCAACCCTGGCACGCCTGGGTGACACGATTTGCCAACTTCATGACTGTATTTTTTTTTGACAGGCAGAATGGACAGTGAGAGAGAGAGAGACAGAGAGAAAGGTCTTCCTTTACCATTGGTTCACCCTCCAGTGGCCACCACGGCTGGAGCACCGCGCTGATCCGATGGCAGGAGCCAGCTACTTCTCCTGGTCTCTCATGGGGTGCAGGGCCCAAGCACCTGGGCCATCCTCCACTGCACTCCCCGGCCACAGCAGAGAGCTGGGCTGGAAGAGGGGCAACCGGGACTGAATCCGGCACCCCGACCGGGACTAGACCCCGGTGTGCCGGTGCCGCTAGGCGGAGGATTAGCCTAGTGAGCTGCGGTGCCGGCCCACATGACTGTATTTTAAAGGTCTGTGTGATGCTCACCAGGTTAAGGAGATCAATGAAATTTGGTAGAAGCCTAACTATGTAGAAAAGTACAGTTAGGGCAAGTTTGGGTAGTTCATCTTGGTCAGGTCTGCAGTACTGGACTGCAAAGCGTATGTTCTTTCCAGGAGTTTATCAGTTAAGCAGCCAAAGGTCAGAGAAGTTACTTGGACCACGTAGAGAACAACAAGGAAGAAATGCTGCTGTGCTGTTTTGCCTGTTTGCAATCTGGCGAGTTGAAGAGGTTCTCACACTCTGTGAACTCGAGTGTCTTTCCCCTAGCAGTGCGTGTTTGCTGAAGACAATCTGAGAACTCAAGGTCACTCAGCACACACCCAGCTGGCCCCCAGCACACCCTGTCCTCTTGGCGAGTCTGACCTCCGAAACAGCCTCTTGCCAGCTGTCTGCCACTCGCTGCAGACGTGGGCTCTGGACGCTCCATTAGGCTGTGGTTGCTCCCGCTGAGCCACAGCCTAGATCAGGAAGGGGCAGCGTGGGTACCCACCTGGAGGAAGAAAGTGAAGAAGGAGAGGATCCCCAGCCCCAGGAACAGCAACGAGAACATGTTGCACTTCCGCTGCTTCACCGCGTCGTCCCCGGGGCCAAAAACCTGCAGAGGAACAAGGGAGACAGCCGCTCGGGGTGCGCCACCAGTCCTCACTGATTCCTCCAGGAGTCCCGGCCTGGACATCCCAGTTTTAAAACTACAGTATGTGATAAAACATACAGAACATACAATTTAGCCTTTTGGCATTTTGAGTGTGTGATGCAGTGGCACCAAATCCATCCCTGCTGTGGTGCAGGTCTCACCACCCTCCGCCTCTAGGATTCCCTCGTCTCCCCAGACTGAAGCTGCACCCGCTCGACAGGGGCTCCCCCTCGCCCATCCTCTCAGCCCCCGGGGCCCTCTGTTCTCCATTCCAGCTCTAGGAGTTTGAGGACAGCCCAGGTATTAGCGTGGGTGGAAGCACTGCGTGCAGACTTGAAGTGGTTGCACATTACAGTGTTTACCCCTCTTCCTATCTCCTTCCTGACCCTGGCCCCAGCCTTCACTCTCTCCTCGGGGCCTCAGCTAGCCCCCCCACCCCGCCCCGATCATTGCACCTCAAGGAGCACTGTATACCGTCTACTCCCCTACCGCCCTATCCTGCTTTCAAGACTCTCATTGTCCCTCGACACCCTACACACTTGGTTCTGCTGGGGTGCTGTGTCTGCCGCAGTAGGTAGTATGTTGTTTTTCCTGTGTACCGTGAATCTCCAGGGCCAGGGATAGTACTTGGCACAAGGGAGAGGCCTAAAATAAACTGCAGGCCACAGCTCTTGAATTGCAAGAGAGCTGGGGACTGCCTTATTTTGAAATTTTAAAAGCCTTGGAGTCCTGATTGTTTATGTTCTTAACTATAGACCAATGTTCAATGTCATAGGTATAAAAAAGTTAACCTGACGGAGATAATCCATGCTTAATCAAGAGGTCTCTCCATAATGTTAGAGGTGGGCTAAGGGGGCTACACAACGTATGTTCTGGGTTTCTGGAGGTAACTGCCAATGAAGATCCCCAGTGAACTGAACTGAATGGGTCAGCGGGAGCTTTCTTCCCCCCTCTCAGATTCCCCAAGTCTTGGAAGGACGACAGAAACAGTGACGGAGTGGCTGTCACTTCTGAGTACCTACCACGAGGCAGACACCCTCAAGTGCTTTCCACACGGTTGCCTCTTAATCCTCAGCCATCCTATGAGCAGCTTATTTTACAGGGGCAGAGACTGAGGTAGAGAGAGGAAGGCATTTTGCCCAGTCTGGCCAGGCAGGGGTACACGGAGCCTGGACTCCCATGAGACCTAGGATTTCCTCCACCCACTCCCCAGCACACTGGGAGATGTGGGCTGGCTCCTCTCCACTAACCAGGGGCCATCACTGCCTGAGCCCAGTTTCCCCAAGGTGTAGAGAACACAATGCCATTCTTCATGGATTTTACATTTTATAATTTCATTAATATCATCTCAGAATGGCTCAAAGGCTGCTTTTCTGTTCTTTGTTCCTCATAGAGGAGTTGCGGACGTTGGCCTGGTTTAATTTCAGTCTGCGTCCGCCCTGATCTCACACCCACCGCGATCATCTCGGAGAATATGACTGAAAAGGCCGGCTGCAGAGCCCCGTTGGCGACGGCACACACTGTTCCCACCACGAAGTAGGGCCACTCGGTCTTGTTCAGTTTCAAGATCTTCAGGAAGGACACCGGTGGCACAGTGGCATCCTAGAAGAAAGATCAGGACATAGGGGTCATGACCCAGCAGTGCCCAGAGCGCCGAGCTGCAGAGGGGACCGGCCAGTTCCTGGAGATCACACAGGTACACACAAAACAACACCAGCAGCCGCAGATGATGCAGCAAGCTAAGTACGACCGTCCACTCAAGAGGCAGTCTCTGTGGTGTGCCCAGCCAGCCTGCATCTTAGCCTCAGCAGGGCGAGAAGTAGCAGGACGGGGGCACAAAACACCCGAGAGTCCAAGTCTCCGCTCGGCACTCACCCAGCTGCGCCAGTGTGCTCAGCACGACGGGGCTCTGAGCGCTGACTGGCTTCCCTAACAGGAATGGTGTCAGATCGGATGACACAGTCCGTGCAGTGGGTGAGAAATGCCTGCAGATCCAGGATGCCACTACTGGCCACAGATCGCGGGCTTGCGCTCCCTGCCCCAGACCCCCGCCCAGTGCTGCCTTTCCCGTGACATGTCCCCAGCTCCAAAAGCAACCACTCAGGCTCCTTTCCACACTGTTTCCTGAGCAAACATCCCCTATTTCAGAGCTTAGCTTGTTTTGTGCCTCTTGTGTCTGGTTTATATGCCTCCTTTTCCAGTGTCAATTATGCTTAGAGGTGCAGACTATGTCTTAAAATTCTTAGGACTCAGTGCCCCATGCTGTGGCACAGCAGGTAAAACCGCTGCCTACATCACTGGCGTCCAACGTGGGTGCCAGTTCGAGTCCTGGCTGCTCCACTTCTGATCCAGCTCTCCGCTAATGCACCTAGGAAAGCAGTAGAAGGTGGCCCAAGTGCTTGGGCCCCTGCATTGATGTGGGAGACCCGAAGAAGCTCCTGGCTTCAGATGCGCCCAGCCCCAGCTGTTGCAGCCATTTGGGGAGTGAACCAACGCATGGAAGATCTTTCTGTGACTCTTGCTCTAATTCTGCCTTTTAAATAAATACATAAATCTTAAAAAAAAATTAACCCAATTCTTGGCACATACCAGAGTCTCAGCAAGTGTTGAACAAAATGCTCAACCATAAATGTTTCAGGTATCATAAAGGAGGACATTCTGGGGTGGGTGCTGCCTTTCAGGGTTAGGGTTAGGATCCTGGCTCTGCTTCCTGACTCCAGCTTCCTGCTAATACAGATATTGAGAGGCAGCAGGTATGGGCTCAGGTGGTTGGGTTCCTGCTACTCAAGAAGGAGATCTAGACTTTCTGGTTCTTGTTTAGGCCTGGGCCAAAACCACCTGTTGCATGCATTTGGGGACTGAATCAGTCCATGGGAAATCTCTCTGCATGTGTATGTGTGTGTCTCAAAAACAAAAAGAAGATACTGACTCTAGAAGCTGGTCAACATTAAACTATAAACAGAGGTAGATACGGCATCTTACAGCCTTCAGGTTATTTCAACAGGTTCTATCTGCGACTATGAAACAGAGAGCAGAGAAGCAGGGTCTACTCAGCCCTGCTTTCAAACTGCCCGTCTCTTCTGTGTTCAATGCATTACATCCTAGCCAGCTGGCACTTTCTCCTAGTCCCTGTCTCCAGTATCAAAAATGAGCCTCGGGGCCGGTTGGGTATCCGGTAAAGCCGCCACCTGCATGCTGGCATCCCATATGGGTAGCCAGTTCAAGTCCTGGCTGCTCCACTTCCGATCCAGCTCTCTGCTATTGCCTGGGGAAGCAGAAGATGGCCCAAGTACTTGGGCCTCTGCACACATGTGGGAGACCTGGAGAGGCTCCTGGCTCCTGTCTTTGGATTGGCGCAACTCCAGCCACTGTGTCCAGTTGGGGAATGAACCAGTGGATGGAAGACCTCTCTCGCTCTCATGCGCTCTCTCTCTCTCTCTCTGCCTCTCCTTCTCTGTGTAACTTGGACTTTCAAATAAATAATCTTAAAAAAAATGCGCCTCTCCTCAGGTTGCTGCTCTTCAACACACACACACAACAGGTCTTTCCAGGCCCCTCTAGGCAAACATCATTTCTTTTTGTAGAGTTCTTTAAATCCCTTTGTGATGGCACTTAGGACGATCTTTTGGGGATGGCATTTTCACCTCCCACTTCTCTGTCTTCAAGAGCAATGCTCCTCTAGCTAGACTCTAGAGCCAGGAGTCTGGCCCAATGGTTAAGTCGCCGTGTCCCACATCAGAGGGCATGGGTTTGATTCCCAGCTCCTGCTCTTGACTCCAGCTTCCTACTCATGCAGACTGTGGGAAGCAGCTGTGATGGCGCAGGTAATTGGGTCCCTGTCACCCACTTGAGCACCTGGACTGTGTCCCTAGTTGCTGGCTCCAGGCCCGGCCCAGCCTTAGCTGTTGCAGGTATTTGGGGAGAAGCAGTGGTTGGGAGCTTCCTCTCTCTCCTGTATCTCTCTGAGCGAATGAATGAATGAATTTTTAACAAATAAAAATATCAGTCTCTAAAGATTTACTAAAAGAACTCTCAAAATAAATGAAAAGTAGGTAATTCCACAGCTAAAAAGGGAAAAATTATTTATCTTACTTAGGATAATGAACCTCCACAACAGCACAACTGCCATTCTTCCCATAGCTATACTTCCTTTAGAGAGAAAAAGAAGATTTATTTATTTGAAAGGCAGAGTTACAGAGAAAGAAAAATAAAGAGATGTCTTCCATCTGCTGGTTCATTTGCCAAATGCCTTCAACAGCTAGGGCTGCACCAGCCTTAAACCAGGAGCCAGGAACTCCCTCTGGGTCTCCCATGTGGACACAGGGGCCCAAACACTTGGGCCACTTTCCACTGCCTTCCCAGCCCATTGGCAGGGAGTTGGATTGGAAGCCGAGCATCCAGGACTCGAACCAGCACTCATACAGGACATTGGCATTGCAGGTAGCAGCTTAACCTGCTGCACCCAACACTGCCCTCCCTCTCCCCCACAATATACTAAGACCCTAAAAGAGCCTTTGTAACCTCTGCAATACATAATAATGCTATCAATTATTGGCTGGATTAGATTCCTCAGGCCAACACAAGAGTAAAAGGAAACTTGGCTTGTATCAACAAATAATACCCAACTGTATCAAAACCATATCTTGAAATAAAATGCCTTTTGTTAGAATGGATTCCCTCTCTATTTTAAAATTACCTAATTTGAATTAACATCCTAAGTGTTCAGGTGAGGAATGTTAAATAAAATTTTGCTATTTCTGGCCATTCCTTCCTTTTTCCTAGACAATTCCAGTCTTAATCCGAGCACCAATATATACAGCAATAAGATTCAGTTTCCCACACTGCTTTGCAGCTAAGTATAGCCATGTGATCCAGTTATGGCCAACGATGTGTAAGTACTGCACAGGACTGCTGGAAACCTTTCGTCCTACTGCCTGGAACTCAGGTGTGACGGCTTAACCTTCAGGGGTCATCTTAGGTTCACCTGAGGCAGACTCCACACCCAGGATAATGAAGGCAAGGATCAGAGGAGCCTGAATCCACAGGGACTCTGGAGCCCTTGGTTTTTTATCTACAATTTTTTTTCTTAAGTGAGAGAGAAATAAAAACTCTTAAATTTGCTAAGATTGATGTTATTCTAGGTTTTCTTTACAGTTAGTCAAACAAGATTCTATGTAACAGCAAATGCAAATATCAAGCCTTTGAATTTTGCATTACCCCTATTACCTCTGGACCTCAAAGATGAATGGAATCTTTAATATCAATATTAAGCAGCCCAATGCTTAGATTACCTTTTTGGATCCATGCTTTTCCCACTGTAAGTCCATTTTAAATTAGAAGTGATTTTAATTCACTATCACATGCATTTCAAATTTCCTTTTTTAAAAAACTGTGTTTCATAGTGGGAATAATCTGAAAACATTTGCAAGACTAAGAATTTCAAGAGCAAAACAATAATTGTTACAAATTTTATTTATTTGAAAGGTAGGCAGAAAGAGATACCTCTCAACACTGGTTCACTTCCTGATGGCCAGGGCTAGGCTGAGGCCACAGCCAGGAGCCAGGAACTCAATCCAGGTCTGCTGTGTAGGTGGCAGGGACCCAAATACTTGAGTCATTACTGCTGCCTCTGAGGGTCTGCATTAGCAGAAGCTAGAGTCCGAACCAGGAATTGAACCCAGATACTCCGAGGTGGAATCCGAGCACCTTAGGCCAAATGCCCTCAAGACTTAATTCAAGTGGAAAACAACTTACAAGTTCACTGTCTTCTGTATCATGGCCATTCTGATGCATTCGTGAATTTCTAATGCTTTTATGGGTGGAATTCCTAACTATTCGAGATTTCCAGCCATTTGGGGCCATAGCAGTGGCAGCCTCTTCACCATTTAGTTCAACTTCATATTCTTCTGACTGAATCTGGCTCCCTGATGTCTGAAATAAAAGAACAGGAAAACATGTGTGTGTGTTGTAGGGCAGGGTCCAGACAGATGTAACCTCCCAAGTTCAGAACCATAGCGCAATTGTGAATTCTACGTGGGTCAAGATGTCTATAACCCCTCGCAGCTTTTCAACCAAAATCAGTGGGAAAACGATAAAAACGTTCATCAATACACAGAAGAAAAAAGGTTAAAAATGACAAGATGGTTAAATTTAATTTGGTCAACAAGAAAATTGAAGTATAAAGAGTACTTTCTAAAAGTTTAAAGACAAGCTCTGCCTAATCCAGCAGTAATGTAGACGTTTCTCTGAGATGGAAAAATCCAGAAAACCAGTTGTGACCACCATGAGAGGGAAAGGAGGGAAGAAGAAAGAACAAAACACTGCCAAGGGCTCAATTAAAGCCACAGACAAGGGAAAAGGAACGAGGGCCTGCTTACTGCCAGACGAAACTGCTCTCCTCCTGGCTCAGCACACTCATCCTCCTTCCTGGCAGTCCTGCACTGACTCTGGCTGGCCTCACCAGAGGGGACCCGAAACCCAGGCCCAGCCTCACTGCCTGCTGTGAGGCCCATTTCCTCGTAAACAGGGTAGGAGTGGCATTTCCAACACTTCTGGCTCAAAGCTGAAGAGGGAACAGCAAGCCACGCTGACCTGGGCATTAGGTCTGTCCCTGTTTGCTGCCTGCGTGTTCTCGTCCACACATTTAGATAAACCTCAAGGGCTGATCCAGGACCTCAGTCGCGGCAGCACTGTCTTGTTCCTGGTCTCCCCGTCAGGTCCTGCCCCAGATCCAGTGTTGTGGCTCGTGTCTCACTGCACACACACACTCTGAAGTGATGTCTGTTTACTGCCTGATCTTCGCTCTCTGGTTGTGCTTTCAAAGCTTGGCAGAACACGAGCGCCGTCCGCGAGTCTACATGTTGCCTTGGACCTTGCTGCTAGGACATGTTCTGCCTAGCAGACTTCTTTACTTGCAGATTCTGAAACCACTTGATAACATTCATAACCAAAACCCAACCTAGGCGAAAGACAGTGTAACTGCTGACCTCCATTCTAACTTCCATCTATGCCCACACCGCTAACAGATCCCGAGAGCAGCTCAAAGACCACCCAGCTGCTGAAGCCTGGAGCCCTCAAAATCTGACTTAGAGAAGTCAAACTGGGCCACCTCTCATGAGCCGCCTCTTACTTTTCCTCCTTTTGTCATCTCCATGCTATCAGGAGATTCATCTCAATGGACAGTTCTTCCAACAAGCAATTCAGATTTTACCTCCCTTCTATTGCCAAAGGAACGTGACCTGTCTGTTTCTCTCATATTTTTCTGTATCTGACTCAAAGACTCATTTAGCTGGTAAGAGAGGCTTTAGCTGAACAGCTCGTAAGCTCAAAAGCCAGGAATGAAAAGGATATACTTGAAGCCAATAGCCCTTATTTCTATGCCTACATATATTTCAGCTGGATCAAAAGTTTAATTGCAAAAAGTAAAACAACCGGGGCCGACGCCGTGGCACAGTAGATTAGTCCTCTGCTTGTGGTACCAGCATCCCATATGGGCATCGGTTCTAGTCTTGGCTGCCCCTCTTCCGATTCAGCTCTCTGCTATGGACTGCGAAAGCAGTAGAAGATGGCCCAACTCCTTGGGCCCCTGCACCCACATGGGAGACCTAGAAGAAGCTCCTGGCTTCAGATTGACGCAGCTCTGGCCGTTGCAGCCATCCAGGGAGTGAACCAGCGGAAGGAAGAACGGTCTCTCTGTCTCTCCCTCTGTAACTCTACCTCTCAAATAAATAAATAAAATCTTAAAAAACAAAACAAAACTAAGACAACCAGGGCCAGTGATGCAGTGTAGCAGGTAAAGCCACCACCTGCAATGCCGGCATCCCATACGGGCACTGGTTCATGCCCTGGCTATTCCACTTCCGACCCAGCTCTCTGCAATGGCCTGGGAAAGCAGTAGAGGATGGCCCAAGTCCTTGGGGCCCTGCACCTGCGTGGGAGACCTGGAAGAAGCTCCTGGCTCCTAGCTTCAGATCAGCACGGCTCCAGCAGTTACGGCCAATTGGGAGTGAACCAGCAGATGGAAGACCTCACTTGCTCGCTCTCTGCCTCTCCTTCTCTCTATGTGTAACTCTGACTTTAAAAGATGCATAGATTGTTAAATGTAATTATCTTATTTTTAACAAACAGAAAAATTAAAATACATTAAAGAAACAATTAAAAGCCAAGAGCTCATGTAACAGAGAAACACTGGTAAGTATTTTTAAGAAACCAAACTAAGATAGAATTAAAACTAGATTAGAGGGGTAGGTGTGGGGAGCAACTCGGACTAGACTAAGTTACTGGAATTAAGACTTACTCTATGCATCTGCTCTCCCACAATATGGCGCTGGGAGAGGAGTAAACAACTTTTACACAGCTGCCTCCAGTTCGACCAATAACCTGCAGGAGCTGATCCTGCTCCTGATTGGAGGAGAGCAGTGTACTCGGCGTGTGGGTAGCAGAGTTGGGATTGGTGGAAGAGAACTATAAAGGAGGAGAGACACAACATGCACCAGGAACATCTAAGGGGAACATCCGGATAACATCTGTGCAGCCCCCAAGAGAGCCGGCCGGCGGTGTGCCGCTCCCCTACGGAAGTGGGGAAAGTGGCAGGGGGAGCCGCCCTTCCACGGAGGTGGAAGGTCGGCAGCCAACCTGGGAAGAACCAGCAGCAAACCCAGGAAGGGCTGAGCAGACAAAAGAACAGCGCAGGGTCCTGTGTCGTTCCTCCATGAAGAGGGGGAGCGACATAATGGATGCATAGAATAAGTCTTAATTCCAGTAACTTAGTCTAGTCCGAGTTGCTCCCCACAGGTAGGCTTTTGGTATAGTGCATAAGATGACACTTGAAACATCAGCAACATGTATCAATGTGTGAATTCAAGTCATGGCTTCATTTCCAATTCTAGCTTCCTGAAGAGGTGCACCCTGGGAGGAGCAGGTGATGGCACACATACTTGGATTCCTGCAACTCTCATGGGAGACCTGGATTAAGTTCTGGGCTCCTGGCTTCAGCCTAGCCCAGCCCCAACTATCTGGGGGGTAACTAGCAGATGGGAAATCAATCAATCTCTGTCTGTCTGTCTGTCTGTCTCTCTCTCTCTCTCACACACACACACACACATATATATGAAAACATATAAATATATGTATTTTTAGGGGCCAGCGATGTGGCATAGCAGGTAAAGCTGCTGCCTGCATAGCTGGCATCCCATGTGGGTGCTGGTTTGAGTCCCGGGTACTCCTCTTCTGATCCAGCTCTCTGCTATGGCCTAGGAAACCAGTAGAAGATGGCCCAAGTCCTTGGGCCCCTGCACCTGCATGGGAAGCCTGGAATAAGCTCCTGGTTCCTGGCTTTGGATCGGCAGAGCTCCTGCCATTGTGGCCATCTGGGGAGTGAACCAGGGGGTAGACGACCTCTCTCTCTCTCTCTCTCTCTCTCTCTAACTCTGCCTTTCAAATAAACAAATAAATCTTTAAAAATAAATAAATATTTTTAAAAATAACACAAAGCCCAAGCTTCATGAATGCCACAGCTGGCAGAAATATCAGAGATCACATGAACAAGTGAGGACAACAAACCCCAATCTGCTTAGAAACCTTCCCACAGTTACTGCCTGGTTGGTGGCAGGCCTTTTCTATCACATCAGGCCACTATTCCAGCTTCAAACATTAAATTTTTCCTAGGAAATAAGGCTCAGGGAATGAGTTTGAAAGGTCAGTGCTGCCCCCATCTGCTTGCTCACATGGGACACAGCAACAGGACCGCCAAGGGAGAAAGCAGGTGCCTCACGTGAAGATCCAACATGGCAACACAGGCAAAATCACAGAGCCTTGGCAACCTCTTGTGATGGGAAACTGAAAGGGATTTAAAGTAACTCTCTAGATACTTGAGCTGATGAGAGGATAAAGACCCCCAAGAGTGACTAGGCCAGGGGAAACAGCTGGCACAGACAGCATGATGACCCCTCCTGCTGGAGAATGCTCTGGCAGAGACAAGCCCGAGTCACACAACTTCCTATCATCGGGCATTCTGACTTTGGGGAGTTTGCACACACTAGTAACTACTGTCTCTCATGCATTTATTTTATATCAAGTCCTTTTTAAAAACATAACCACTTTAGGCAGGGCAGGTCGGCGGCTGGCGCCCACGCGTCCGCATGGCCGCCGAGCCGGAGCCCGGCGAGCCCGGGAAGGGGAAGCCTTTTAAACTCCTAGGAATTTTAGATGTGGAAAACATTCCCTGTGCACGGGACTCAATATTATACGGCTCACTGGGATCTGCTGTGGCTGGCCTAGGACATTTTTTGTTTACTAGTAGAATCAGAAGATCATGCGATGTTGGAGTAGGAGGATTTATCTTGGTGACATTGGGATGCTGGTTCCATTGCAGGTATAATTATGCAAAGCAACGAATCCAGGAAAGGATTGCCAGAGAAGGAATTAAAAACAAGATTTTATATGAAAGTACCCACCTTGATCCTGAAAGAAAAACCAACAGCAGTGGTAGCAATTAAGTCTGAGGTACAGAAAACCAAACACAGCTGCCTCAAGAGTTGGGATCGACCACAGAAACATCTTATGTACAATAAGAAAGCTTTAAGCAAGTAAATAAACTATGTTTTAGTTGTCTTTTTTTTTTTTTTTTTTTTACACTTGCATAAATCTGCCGATGTATTCTGGTCCCGCCTCTATCGCCAGGGTAGCATTCCTGTGTGTAACATACTGTTGTGATCTGCTGTATCCAGACAAAGAATTACAAAACCCAGTGTTTAACAGGCTTGGAAAAGAATTCTTAAAGTAAGCAGTGAATTTAATGATGAAATTTCAAGAAATAAAATACCTACACTTGGATTTTTAATCTTGCCTTAGAAACAAAAATTACCAGGGTGTGGGTGGGAGGGAAGTTATGGGGGCAAAAAGCCATTGTAATCCATAAACTGTACTTTGGAAATTTATATTTAATAAATAAAGTTTAAAAAACAAAAGAAAAAAAAACATAACCACTTTACTGATACATATCAGTATATAAGATGGATTCTAAATAGTGCCAGGATTCTAATTATGTATTCTAAATATTGCCATTGTGGCACTGGACTGATATCATAATAAACAACAACATGGACTGTTTCACATATTTCAGCGACTTTTTTTAGTGCATCCCAGTGTCTGCTCCTAACTCTCCTGGTGGGTTTAATAATGCAAATGTGGACACTGAGGCTCACAGGAGCTAGCCTCCTTGTCAGAAAACAAGATCATTTTTGACTTAAACTCTTGACCCCATGAGCCACAGTTCACTGTTTAGAAGAAATACTGGAAATAAACTAAGTAGCCAACTACAGAGAAATGACTGATGTCACACACTAGTAAAACAGACTGCAAAGCTGTGGATATTTTAATGATGTGTATCTGAAATGTTAAGAACAAAAATAAGTATGCACATAATTTATAATTAATTATATCAAAGCAAATATGCTTTTACAAATCTTTAAGAATCCTATTCAGAAAATATTTTTAGGTTATTTATTCTATAAGAAACAATAAAATATCTTATGTACTAATAAGATAAATTATTATCCATGTAACATGGTTTAGGAACTAAACTAGAATGAATGATTTTTAAGACAACCCAGCTACTCACTTCTTAGGGCCACGAATCTTGCCGTTGTTCTTACTGAAGTAACACCTGGACAGCAGGGACTCCATTTTGGAGCACTTGAGACTCCATCTTGAGAAAGCACCCTCACCCCATGGGTCTCTGGTCTGCAACTAGGACCTACAATGCTCGGACAATAGCAGTCCACTGCAACACACTTGGCAAAGCATAGAAACCCCCTAGCATGATTGCTCAAGCTGAGAGACAGAAAGGCTGCACCTAGGTTAATGATAAAACTGTAATTTGTCTATGTCTCACATATGATTTAGGCCAATACCTGGAATAATGTCAAGATTATAACTGGTATTATTAAGATTATAATTAATAATAGTTTTGTACAGGCTTTAGGTCAGCTTGACCCTAGTAGCCATGTACTCCCCCTGGTCCTAGCAACCATGTATTCTTCCTCTTGTTTTTTGTGGTTTTTGCCTTTATAAGCCCTGTTGCTTTGGGTTTTGGGGTCGAGAGTTCTTTAGGTCATGAGCCCGATCTCCATCACCAGCAATAAAGGAGCATCGAGTTGTTCAGTAAGTGGTGCTCCTTTGTTTGCACTTGCTCAGGTACAACATTATCAGGATCATTACGAGAGAAAGTTTAGGGCACTTGGGCCCTCTCCTACCACTAGCCATCCTAGCACCATCCCTAACCTCAGGCTGGAAGGGCCTGTTACTCTGAACATATTCCACAGGCAATTAAGAAGCTCTGTCCTCTGTCAAACAAAAAAAAGAAAAAGGAGCCCTGTCCTAAGGAATGCATTCATGCCACCTTTTTTTTTTTTATTTTTTGACAGGCAGAGTGGACAGTGAGAGAGAGAGACAGAGAGAAAGGTCTTCCTTTGCCGTTGGTTCACCCTCCAATGGCCGCCGCGGCCAGCGCGCTGCGGCCGGCGCACCGCGCTGATCCGATGGCAGGAGCCAGGAGCCAGGTGCTTCTCCTGGTCTCCCATGGGGTGCAGGGCCCAAGCACTTGGGCCATCCTCCACTGCACTGCCTGGCCACAGCAGAGAGCTGGCCTGGAAGAGGGGCAACCGGGACAGAATCCGGCGCCCCAACCAGGACTAGAACCCGGTGTGCCGGCGCCGCAAGGTGGAGGATTAGCCTAGTGAGCCGCGGCGCCGGCCTCATGCCACCTTTGGCACCTGATTTTCCGCCCCCTTCCCTCTTCCATGGGTTCTGAATTAAAGTCTCCAATTTCGACTCTCGGGCATCTTCCTGAAGTGTCCGTTTCTCAGCCTGGCCCTGGCGGCCTTTATTTTCATCATTTACAGAATGCTGTATCAGGAGGAGACAGAAGACAGGGCCAGGAAGCAGATACCTGCATGGTGACGAGTTTGAAGTACACGCCTTCCTTCTTCATCAGCTCACTGTGGCTTCCTTGTTCCACGACAACGCCATCCTCCAACCCGGCAATGACATCGGCGTTTCGGACGGTAGACAGCCGGTGTGCTATCACAATGGTGGTGCGGCCTTCCCTGGCCTAGAGCGGGGAGGGACACAACCAGGGGGTATCAGGGTTGCGGAACTGGCACACTACCACTTCACACACACAGGGCGCACTTGTGTGCAGGTGGTGCGCGGCTGTTTACACTCCAGCTATTTCTGGGTCTGGAGCAAAGACATCACTCTCTGTGAGGGATGAAAGGCAAACTGGAGTTCTGGACCAGACAGGCAACCAAGGCAACCAGTGTGAGGACAGAATATTCTGGCAGTATATGGTCAATGTTAAGAAAACCAAGGTTTAATTCTTATTATGTCATCAGCAGGGGCTACTCTTTCTGATATTCACTTGTCCTATGAGGCCAAAAGCTCGCATGACAGCAATGTCAGCGTTTATTTATTCCAGAAAAACAAGCAGAGTTTAACCTTTGTAGAGTGTTCACACACGTGTCTGAGGAGCTCTGAGCCACAGGGTACGTTACAGACTGGCAGAAACATCTCAGGAAGCCACTGCCACGTGACAGCCTCCTCCAGAGCCTAAGTGGGCTTCCTCTGGAAGCGCCTCACCCTGGCTGCCATTGTGATGGACTGCATGCAGGCAGGCAGGGTGAACGCACACCTCCAGATCAGCAGCTTTCAAATTACGGCTCCAAAACCCCCTGAACCAGCATCTCTGGAGTGCAGTGGGGCTGGAAACTTTGCTCTTGAAGAAGCACCTCTAGGGGCCGGCATCCCATGTGGGCGCCAGTTTGTGTCCTGGCTGCTCCACTTTTGATCCAGCTCTCTGCTGTGGCCTGGGAAAGCAGTGGAAGATGGCCCAAGTCCTTGGGCCTCTGCACCCCTGTGGGAGACCCAGAGGAAGCTCCTGGCTCCTGGCTTCAGATCGGCACAGCTCCGGCCGTTGTGGCCAATTGGGGAGTGAACCGGCAGATGGAAGACCTCTCTCTCTGCCTATCCTTCTCTTTCTGTGTAACTCTTTGAAATAAATACTCTTAAAAAAAAAAAAAAAACAGCAGCAGCAGTGCATCTGGTGATTTTCATGAATTCCAAAGCTGCAAATCTCCCCTCTGAGGAATTTGGTGGTCTCATGGTGGATGGATGGATTTATGAATGGGCATTTAAACTCTGAATAATGCCCATCAAATTTTGAGTACTATATCATTAACAGAAGGTACTATTTCTGATACTCATTAACCCTATTAGGCCAACAGCATCTTAAGAACAATTCTAATCTAAGATAATAAAATCAAGTCATGGGATGGTTATTCACTTTAGTAGTTAAAACCTAATTAAAAATGAAAGGCTAGATTCATAATAGGTCAAAGAGGAAACAATCCAAATGTGCATCAATTGATGAATAGAAGAACCGAAATGTGGCATAACCACACAATGGAACTCTGTTGGGCCATAAAAATCAATGGGTGTGAAGCATCTTACCACATGCATGATCCTGAAAACATGGTCACAAAGGACCACACATTCCATGCTCCCATTTACAGGAAATGTCTACAATAAGCAAATCTATAGAGACAGAAGCAAATTGGAGGTTTCCAAGGATTGGAGTGAGGGTGGAATGAGGAGTGACTGCTTTCTTCTAGGGTGGCGAAAGTATTCTGAAATTAGATAGGGATGGTAGAACAATCCTGTGACTACACTAAAAATTATTAAATTGTGCATTTTAAAGGATGAATCTTATAGTATGTGATTTATATCTCAATTATCTGAGAAAGAAATTGATGATAGGGCAATATCTCAGCGAGCAAAACAAAACCTGCAACAATTAAGAGAGGGGAAGGTAGTATACGAAGGGGCAATTTGCTCAATGAGGAAAAGAGAACCTACAGACAATAAAACATTTCAGAATTTAGTCCACGATACAGTATTGTTGATCAATAAGGAAAAGACAGATTGTATAATAAATTATACTAAGACAATGTGAAACCACTAAAAAAAAAGTGTTCTTTCCACTTGACCCCTTACACTAAAATAAATCCAGATAAATAAATAATATTTAAGTAAATCAATAAGTAAAATCCTAACAAAAGAAAGAGTAGAACATATTTTTCTTGGAAAACACTTAAGATTATTATTTACTTTTAAAATCTAATATATTGGCCAGCGTCATGGCTCAATAGGCTAATCCTCCACCTGCAGCACCGGCACCCCGGGTTCTAGTCCCGGTTGGGATCCAGATTCTGTCCTGGTTGCTCCTCTTCCAGTCCAGCTCTCTGCTGTGGCCCAGGAGGGCAGTGGACCTGCATTGGACACCAGGAGAAGCACCTGGCTCCTGGCTTTGGATCAGTGCGGTGTGCCAGCCGCAGCGGCCACTGTGGGGTGAACCAATGGAAAAGACCTTTCTCTCTTACTGTCCACTCTGTCAAAAGATAAAATAAAATAAAATAAAAAATAAAATCTAATATATTAGCCCAAAATAAATATTCAGAAGTATTTATTAATATGGAAAATGCACGGCTTAGTCCACATATGATAAGGCCTATAGGAAATAATGTGGTCAATTATATTCATGACACTAATTAGTTGCTAACAGTGACTGCTACCATTCTAATATAGGTTGATGCTATGACAACAGATCAAAGCAGAAGGACTGAAACCAGACTTGTTGGGGCCAGCACTGTGGCACAGTAGGTAAAGCTGCCACCTGCAATGTCACCTCCCTATGGGCACAGGTTTGTGTCCTGGCTGCTCCATTTCCAATCCAGCTCCCGCCTAATGGTCTGGGAAAAGTAGCAGCAGATGGCCCAAGTGCTCGGGTGCCTGCCACCCACATAGGAGACCTGAATGAAGCTCCTGGCTTCTCTTGCCTTAACTACGGCCATTGCAGCCACTTGGGCAGTGAAGCAGTCAGTGGTAGAAGACCTCTCACTCTATTTCTCGCTGTCTGTGACTTTCAAATAAATAAATCTTAAAAAAAAAAAAAAAAAAAAAAAAAACAGAAAGAAGACTTGTGAGTGAATGACTGGTATTCAGAGAAATAAAATATGCTTTTGAATTTAAAAATTAGCAACTGTCATCCATGGCCAAGTAAAGTTAGCCAAAACAGAGCCTGGATACAAAGCACTATTTTTTTTTTCAGAGCTCTTGGATACCCCAGTGATGACAAGATATTGGCCAACAAATATCCTAGACTCAAGGACAACAACTGTTAAGAACTTTCTGTGTGGTTTCCATACCCAAGGATGAAAGGCAGACTTACACAAAGGGAGTATGAACCCATTAGCCTTTCTAGAACTCTGGTGAGACAGCAGAAAAATGAAACCCTCTGTGTCTTTGTGTAAATAACCATGGAAGCCATCTTGTAGTTCCTTTTTAAGACTTTTTTTTTTTTTTTTTTTTTTTTTTTTTTTTTTTTTTGACAGTGAAAGATGCCTGTGACAGCCTGGCCTGGACCAAGCAGCGGTCAGGAGTGAGAACTCCAGCTAGCTCTCCTACTTGAGTGGCAGAATCCCAACTACTTAAGAAATTATCTACTGCCTTCTCAAATGCGTTAGCAGGGAGCTGGATCAGAAGCGGAGTAGCGAGTCCTGGCACCCATATGGATGCAGGTATCCCAAGAGGCTTAACTCACTGAGAAACTATACCTACCCCTTGGTTCTTTTCTTATCCCTGTAGAATGGTAACACTGTGAACATATATGTATGTTGGTATCAATCTTTGAAATTAATGGCTTTCTCTAAAAAGACCAAAATACCAGGGCCGGCGCTGTGGCGCAGGTTAATCCTCCGCCTGTGGCGCCAGCATCCCATATGGGTGCCAATTCTAGTCCTGGCTGATCCTCTTCCCATCCAGCTCTCTGCTGTGGCCTAGGAAACCAGTAGAAGATGGCCCAAGTCCTTGGGCCCCTGCACCCACGTGGGAGACCTGGAAGAACCTCCTGGCTCCGGATCGGCGCAGCTCTAGTCATTGCAGACATTTGGGGAGTGAACCAGCGGATAGAAGACCTTTCTCTCTGTCTCTCCCTCTCACTGTCTGTAACTTTACCTCTCAAATAATTTTTAAAAAAATCTTTAAAAAAAATATCAAAATACCAAATCTCCTACTGATTCTTCTGTAAGATCTTACATGGAACAACTTACTACTCATTTTGAGACAAGCAGCTGCTATCTATTCATCAAAAGCTAATGCAGTAATTAACATTTTTTAAAAGATTAATTTATTTATTTGAAAGGGAGAGTTACAGAGAGGCAGAGGCAGAGAGAGAGATCTTCCATCCTTTGGTTCACTCCCTAAATGGCTGCAATGGCTGAAGCTGTGCTGATCTGAAGCTAGCAGTTTCCTCTGGGTCTGCCACATGGGTACAGGGGCCCAAGGACTTGGGCCGTCTTCCACTGCTTTCCCAGGCACATTAGCAGGAAGCTGGATCAGAAGTAGAGAAGCCTGGACTTGAAATGGCGCCCATATGGGATGTCAGCACTGCAGGTGGTAGCTTTACCCACTATGCCACAGCATCAGTCCCTTAAATTTTTAAAACATACATGCACTCCTATTTTCTCAATGAGTAAGACATCGTATTCAATTCAGTGAGTATTTATTTAGCCTTTACTATGTGCAAGGCACTAAGTGTTACAGAGATACAAGTATGAACCATTATGAATTTTGCCTCTTAGTGGGTTTACTCTTTCTAGAAAAGAGAAGGTAGCCATAAGCAACTCCAGCCACGGTAGGAAGCCACCTTGAACTTTCCAGACAGGCTGCCCATAAGCTGAAGAGAAGCCAAGCAAAACCAATAGGTGGACTACCCTGACAACCCACAGGTTATGAGAAATACACACTGTGTTCTGAATCACTTTCATCTTAGAACAACAATGCAAATCAGTCATCAGACTGCGCTGCCACTTTAACAAAAACCTAAAATGTGTGACACTGCTGTAGGCAATGGCTGTCGGCTACTGCTGGAAAGGAGGTGAGGACATTCTGAGTGGAAACTGGAAGGACAGTCAGGAACTTTGAGAGGCTGCTAGCACAGATGAGCTGTACTGTGTAACTTTGGGGAAATGGGTGTGTTATCTGAAGAATGTGTGCAATTGGAGAGGCGATCCCCGACATCTGTGCCCAGAAGTGTTTTAATGCCTTATTAGCCCAGCAAGGACACAATCACCTTAAATACGTCAGAAAGTTAAATATAAGCTGCATAATGATGATACCATACATATAGACTTCCAGGGTTATTGAATTTCAAACTCATACTATTTTGTTTTTCCCCTTTAATACCTGATATGCTACAAAACCTGAAATTGTGGGGAAGGCATTTGGCTTAGCAACCCTGACATTCTTGGGATAGCTGTATCCCACAGTAGACTGCCTGAGTGTGAGTCCTGGCTCCCACTCCAATTCTAGCTTCCTGCTAATGTGCACCCTGGGAGGCAGAGGATGACAGATGGCTCGAGTACTTGTGTTCCTGTCACCCACGTGGGAGACCTGAGTAGTTTCTGGCTCCTGGCTTCCCTTGGCCCAGCCCCTGAGGGCATCTGGGGAGTCAAGCAGCAGACAGAAGATTCTCTCTGCCTCTGAAATAAAATGGAAAGAAATTTTTAAAAATATAAAAGCCCAAACCTGAAACTTAAAAGCCACACTGCCACATCCAGGTGTGACAGGCTGGACCCAGCCAAAGATGCAGAATAGTTTAAACCTTTTTTGAAGTTTTAATTTTTGTTTGTTTGTTTTACTTGAGTTTAGGTGTGGTCCCCCATGCTTCTGACAAACCCCTGAGAAACCAGAATTTTACATGTCAAGAATAAAAGGGTATGTTTGCCAAGAAAAAAAATGCAAGAGTGAAACTGGAAAAATAAAAGGAATAAGATACAATGATCAAAGAAAATGTACAAACGCACAACTCTCAAAACCCAGCTGCCTCCAGCACACTCTCTGAACCTTCTCAAACAAACACTGGCCCCTGACAGAAATAGCTTTAGAGCTCTGTGCCCAGATTATGGGTCACAGGTTGTAGAAACCACTTACAAGCCACAGGGAGGTTCTAGAAGCAGTTTACAGTCGCAAGGATCCAGACACTGAGTCACAAGAAAATGCTATATGCCACGTACAGGTCACAGGAATGTTCTAGAAGCCACGTACAGATCACAGGAAGATTCTAGAAACATACAGTCCACACACATCCACTTGCTGCCAAGTCCCTCAGAACCACGTCTATGCCACAGTCCTCACGGCCCAGACCATGGTCCTCTTCCCCATCCAGCTTGCATAAAACCTCTTAAGTCCCTGCTTGGAGCCCTGGGAAAGCTGCAGCAAAGGCAAGCACAGTGGTGACCTGGGCCTCAGAGGGCTGAGAGACCTGCAGCCACCGCTCCAGAGACAGGCAGGCCCGGGGAACAGCAGAGGGCAAGGCCCCGATGGCATCTTGGTGGGAAGCAGCCAGCTTTGAACAGTGCTGGGTCGGTTCTGAGGGGAAAGACTATGTCCAGAACATAAAGCGCCTCTTCCAAGGATGACTGTGCTGCTACAGGGCCTGGACACGGGGCCAGGAGACACCTCCCAAAAGACATTCAAGATTAAGACCATGGAAGCCACCACCTGCTTGTAGGGGTGCAGCCCCACACCTAGGACCCCCACATACACGAACAACGAAGGCCTCCCTCCCCCAAGTGACGCAGCAAAGACAGACTCTGGGCCCAGGAATCCTCCTGACCTTCTTGCAACTCCTGGCCTCCAAGGACAACAAGATGGCCACATGGGGAGGTGGTGCTGAGGTGGCCATACCTCCCTCAGCCCATACCAGCTGCCAGGTTCCTCCCGCCAGACCCCCGGGGTCCAATTAGAGAGCCCAGGTTCATCCTGGGAACAACTGGGTGAATAACCCCAACCATTCCCCACAGAGAGATGAAAATCCAGGGCTAGCAAAGCCTTCAACAGCCCCTGTCCCACATCTGGCTCTTCTCAGGGATGGTGGCAAAGAGCACAGGAAAGGTCCCCAAACCTCACCTGGGGGTTCACTTAGGAGTGCCTGGCCCCGCTGCTGCTGGGGAAATGAATCGCAGCTCACTGGCAGGGATGCCAATGAGGATGCCCACCTTCCCCTGACATGGGGGCAGAAGGTCTTATAGAGCTGTGGGTGTGGCCACAGAACTGGGGGACCTCAGCTGGACTAAGATTTTTAGCTAAAATCCCTGAGAGGTTCCTGGCAGAGCCTCGTAGGCAGTCCCAGCTAGAGACTGGCTAGAGAGAGAAGGTAGCTTCAACTGGAGTTGAAGTAGAGGGGCCTGGCCTGAAGAACACTAAGGGTGTAGCTCTTAGGCCCCAGAAACAAACTCAGTCTTCAAGGAGTCGCTCAGCTTGCGCTAACGACACGGAAAAAATTCAAAATGAGAAGGGCCCTGTATTTCTACAGGCACAACGCCTGCTGAGTTACTCAGTGGCAACACGGCCAAGTCTTCCAGAAAAGGAAAGACCTCTGAAGAAAGGTAAAAGCCAAAAGAGGGAAGACCTTGACCAAAGAGAACCATGAGACTTTTCATCAACTTACTTGTTTGGTAACTCTCTCTTGTCCTACCTGATTTTACTCTAAAAGGTCTAAAATGAGGGGCATGTGTTTGGCCAGTTGGGATGCCATATCCCTCATTGGAGTGCTGGGTTGTGTCCTAGCTCCACATCCAAGTCCAGCTTCTCGCTAATTGGCACCCTGGGAGGTGGCACACGGTAGCTCGTAGCTGCACCAGGGTTAGGGTTAGTATTAGGCCTAAAAGTATACTAAGGTAGGTTCGTCTTATGAAGCTTCTGCTTAGTAGAGATGCTAGTGAGAAATTTAGAAATATCTGGGGCAGGCACATGAGCTCAGTGTCCTTAAAGTGTGTTGTTGAATGAGCTTTTAGTCTAGAAGTTAGTGTGCCCATGTCCAACACTTGGAGGGCCTGGGTTTGCTTCCTAACTCTGACTCCTGACTCCTGTTTCCTAATAATGCAGACCCTGAAAGGCAGAGACAATGGCTCAAGCAGCTAGGCCCCTACCATCCGTTGGAAGACCTGCCTTGCTTCCAGCTCCCGGCTCTGGCCCCTGCCCTACCGTTACAAGCATCTGGAGAGTGAACAAGCGGATGGCAGAGCTAGCTCGCTCACTCGCTTGCAGTCTCCCCATCTCTATTTCTCAAATGAGAAAAGAAAAATGAGTTGTTTGCATGCTTAAACACACACACAAGTCGAACCCTATTCCCAAAAAAGAATTCACTTTCATGAAAAAAAAAAAAAAGTTTCCCAAACTGCTTTTTAGTTGAACCAGTATCTAGATATCCAGAGTTTTCTTTGTATATTTCAACAACCACTTTTGACCAAAGCAACTGTTCACATGCAAGAAAAAAAAACCTAAATGGCTGCTGCACAGGCCTGGATCCAGGCTCACTGCACCATGGACAGAGCAAGCCATTTACCCATCTCTGCAGACAACCCAGCCTGAGAGGAAGAAGAAACTGGAAGAGCTGGACGAGAGAGCTTCACGTGCCCTTGTGTTTCTGATTCTCAATCCCAACTCCCGAAGCACTGGCCAGCATTTCCAACCAAGTTTCCAGTTGCCAGCCCTTCAGGTGCAGAGAGCACACACCTTGTCCAGAGCCGCCTGCACCTCTGCTTCACTTTCTGTGTCCAAGGCTGAGGTGGCCTCGTCCAACAGAAGGATCTTGGGGTTGCGAACCAGGGCACGGGCAATGGCGATCCTCTGTTTCTGCCCACCGCTCAGCTGGGCCCCCTCTCTCTCCAACCAGAGTGTCGAATTTCTACAACACAAAACACGAAAGAGCACGTGAGGTAGTTTATGAAAACAGGACTAGGGAGCATGTATAAATGAGCGAAGACAAGACATCTTCATTTTGACTCTTGATTAGAAATTGTAAAGAAACGAACACTAAGTTATAAAGAACTACTGACACGTACTCTGTGTAAAGTTATATATTATTCAGATAGCAGGCTACTACTCCCTACACCCCTAGCTGAATGCTTACAGGGACTTACTTGGCAACCTTGGATGACCTCGTACTTCAGAACTCTGAAGAATTAATTCAGTCCCAGGAGGGTGAATTCTATTTTTGAAGACAAGCATATTAACAGAGCCTTTACCTGCGGCAATTTCATGATGAATTCATAGGCGTTGGCTTCTTTGACAGCTTGCTTGATCTCATCCATGGTGACATTCCCACGGCCGTAACGAATATTTTCAGCAATCGTGGTAGAAAAATAGCACTGGCTCCTGACTCACCACTCCAATAATTTCCCTCAGATACCTCACGTTTAAGGTCCTAATATCCTGCCCATCGATGTTAATCTGAAAGAAATATTTCCCATTAAACACTTAAACCACCTGATATCTAATTTGTCATTAAAAAAAAAGGGCCTTAGCTAGCATTTCAGCAGTTAGGAATAACAATCAGAAATAAACAGCAACATGCAAGAATAAAAAAAAGTTTATGTTCTCTTCTCAAATGTTTATTTTCCTAGGCAAAATTTTTTCATAGATAGTTTTTTCTCTATAAGCTATTTTGAGTGATACAAGGATACTTCAAAAAGTGCATGGAAAATGGAATTAAGATAAATTTATTTTAGTGCAAAAAATTTTGAAATCCATGCAGCTTTCTCATAATGTGAATTTTCCATGAACTTTTTGAACACCTTGCAACTTTTTGAAGATCCCTCAAATACCTGGGTTTTAAACATTTTTGCACCAAAATAAATATTATTTAACTCCATTTTCCATGAAATTTTTGAAGTACCTCATATGTTTTTAACAGGCCATTATTTTTAATTACCAGTATTAAATTTGAATAAAAGGATATACTTGTCTACCTAGTCTATCATTTTGATGGCATTACAGTGTTTTGTTATTTAATATACAATTAGGCATTTCCCATGTCTTAGATATTTGGCTTGAATCATAAGTCATTATAAAAGTAGAGAATTACCAAACTGAAGTACGTAATTTATTTTATCTCCTTTGATACCAATTGCTTAACTGTAAAATGACTGGTGTTTGCTAGCCATTTATTGCTTGTTGAATAAAGATTGAATACACAACTCTTTAAAAATATTTTAGTAATTTGGGGCTGGTGTCGTGGTGCAGTGGGTTAAGCTGCTACCTATGATGCCGGCATCCCATATGAGCTGGTTCAAGTCCCAGCTGCTCCATTTCCAGTCCAGTTCCCAGCTAATAAACCTGTAAAAGCAATGAAGTAGGCCCAAGTGCTTGGGCCACTGACACCCACATGGGAGACTTGGATCAAGTTCCATGCCCCTGGCTTTGGCCTGGCACAACCTCCTACTGTTGTGGTCATTTGGGGAATCAACCAATGGATCGAAGTTCTCTCCCTCTCTCTCCGTGGCTCTGACTTCGAACAAATAAATAAATCTTTAAAAAAAATTTTTTTAGCAATTTAAAATGCTGTTAGGTATATGTAAGTTATCTGGTTCATTGCCACTTTCTTTTAATTTTTAATTTTTATTTATTTATTTTTATTTTTATTTATTTATTTTTTTGACAGGCAGAGTGGACAGTGAGAGAGAGAGACAGAGAGAAAGGTCCTTTGCCGTTGGTTCACCCTCCAATGGCCGCCGCGGCCAGCGCGCTGCGGCCGGCGCACCGTGCTGATCCGATGGCAGGAGCAGGAGCCAGGTGCTTTTCCTGGTCTCCCATGGGGTGCAGGACCCAAGCACCTGGGCCATCCTCCACTGCACTCCCTGGCCACAGCAGAGAGCTGGCCTGGAAGAGGGGCAACCTGGACAGAATCCGGCGCCCCGACCAGGACTAGAACCCGGTGTGCCGGCGCCGCAAGGTGGAGGATTAGCCTAGTGAGCCGCGGCGCCGGCCACATTGCCACTTTCTAGTACCGGATTTAATCATTTTAATTGTTTTAATTATATTATCCATCTGTAGTAAGTGTGAAGTGACAGTTTCTATCTGCTTTCATTTGCATATGTTAATAAGTGAAGCCCTATTTTCTTGAAACCTTCTACAAAGCTGCAGCTTCTCCAGTTTTTGGTCTGTGCTATTGATGTTCAGCTTAGGTTTTGTAACTGACTTCATGATAGTGAACAGACAAAGGACCCAACTTGGAGTCCCCTAAAAGGAGGGTAACAAAAATAACATCAGATTTTCCCAAGATTTCTTATTAATTTTATCAAACTAACAAAGCATTTAATATATCCTAGAAAACTTTGTATTCTTTCACACTTTTGGAACAATTTGTTTTATCCCAATGCCTTTTTTTTTTTATGTTTTTGGCTTTCTTTTCTTTATAATCTCTTTTCCCAATTGTTGGGTTACAAACCATTTTTACATCAGGATAACTCAGTACGCTGAAGTCAGGACAACTGAAGAAATTCTGAATACAGACTGCTGGACTAGTGCTGCATTAATGTCAAATGTACTGATTTTGATCACTGTTTTGTGGTGCAGTAAGGAAGTGGCGTTCTCAGAAAATAATGCTGGGGTCAAGGTGTGTAGGTCATTAAGAAACAGGGTAATAATGCAAGGGGTCAAAATGTAAACCAACAGCAAATTCAAGTGAAGGTAAATGTGTGTTCCCTGCCTGCAATTTTCTGAAAGTCCAAATTTACAAGGAAATTTTTAAAAAGCCAAAACACAAAATATACCTGAAGCTATTAGGACTGTCCCCCAGGTCTCCCGAAGTTTCTTGAGACTATCTCACTTTGTCTTTGATGTATATAATTGCTGTTCTAAGATATCTGATGACCCTGATTATCAGGATGTCAGCCATTGCTACACATGATGTTTGACCGAACCCAGTAACTCATGGGAAGCAGTCTCCTTGGTGGTCTGGATGGCTGTTTTCCAAGAATTCAGTGAGTGATGAAAACCTTGCTTGTAACAGAACACTGGCTACCTCCTGGGGTTTTGACTGCCCACATTTGTGAAACCAGCCCAGGGGAACAGGCATCATCCAGAGACGTGGCAATTCTGTAGCCCTTTTGGCCAAAACTGGATTCATATGAGAAACCTATTTCAAAACACCAATCTGTACCCACTTCTCACTGTGGAGCCCTGCGTTCTCCCCACTTACCGTACCCTCTGTGGGGTCATAGAGCCTCTGCATCAGCTGGACGGTCGTGCTCTTCCCACAGCCGCTGCTCCCCACCAGGGCCACCGTCTGCCCGCTCCGCACCTTCAGGTTGAGGCCCTTCAAGATCTGCAAAGAAGGAGAAAAGCACTCTTATAAAAAGGGAGAGCAAATCTACTCAAGTTGAAATTTGTAAAATCAAGTAAGAGAACATAATCCACAGCGGAAAAAGCACATAAATATCAAAATAATAGCAACTTCATTCTTTAAGGTGATTAATCAATCAACCAGAATTAGGAATTTCTCTAAATATCACAGTACCTTGACATTAGCTCGAGAAGGATAAGAAAAATGAACATCATTGAACTCCAAATTCCCTTTGATGCTGTCTGGTTTGTGTCCTCTCTCTGAAAAACTGTCAATTTTAGGATTCTAAATAAAACAAAATGCAATGACTATTTCATCATAGAATAAAACAACTGCATTTTTAAGGAATATGATTCATCAAATTCCAAAAACAAGATTTGGAACAGCCCAATCTCCCTCACAGAAGACTGAACCCAAGACTGAACGTGCATGTGTGTATTAAGGAAACATTACTTTTCAGAAAACAGTCTTTTCCTGGAAAGTACATAGGGAATATTCATTTCATTTCATACAGTATTTCATTGTAAGCCTTTGGTGTAACCTCATAAGCTTTCCAAATAGTCAAGTACACATATTTATACAACTACGATAATTATAGAAATATGCTGTAATTGATACAGCCAAGTATTTCAGCATTTACTGAATATCCTAAACAATAGATATAAGAGATTGGCTGGAGAAGACTGACTAAATGACTGGTTACAGCAAATTATTTAGAAACAATGTAAACTTTCAACATACTGGGAAGCTGAGCAATTTTTTCATGACTTGGTCAATGAAACACGAAAATTAAATTGAAAATTATTCAGGTATCTTTCATTTCATCAGCATAGTCACTGTAAAATGCTTTAGTATGTCTAAACTATTTTTTTTCCCCTATAGCCAGTTCAATTTATCACATCAAACATACAGGGATAACTTGGGGAGGGGACAAACCACAGCAAACACACTGCCAATTGGGTCCCACCAATAGTGTAATGGACCTCCCACCCATGCTATATAGTGTAATGGACCTCCCACCCATGCTATATAGTGTAATGGACCTCCCACACATGCTATATAGGAAGCATAATATTCTCAGCTTGGCTGCAACATGAGAGAGAAAACCTAGGAAAAGAAACATCTTTGCTCTAGATAATAATAATAGTAAAATAAAATACCAGAGTAATAAAAAATACAGTAGACCAGTTGTCTTTCTACAAAATGCTATCAATGTTATTATATTATCTAAAGATAAACTTTCAGAAAATTAAGATGTGTTTTGTTTCACTCATTACCAAGAGGTCATTTATTTCACATAATTAAATTTCATAGTATTCAATGTATTTTACTGAATATATAATATTATATATATTATTGAATATAGTTGACTCAAAACTATGTCACCTAAAGCCAGGTTTAATTATCCAAGTCTCAAAGACCTTCCCAGCATGAAAATCAGAAGTGACTTACGCTGTCAATAATACTGAAGATCGCATATGCTGCTCCTCTCGCATTGGCAAAAGCATCGATACACGGGGCAGCCTGACCAACACTAAAAGCTCCAATTAGGATTGAAAAAAAGACCTGAGCAAAACAACATGAGAACAAGTTGTAGGTTACTTTCTGGCATTCATTATTATCTAAAACATGATTCGTGTGAAACACACTATACAAAGGCTTATCCTTTAAAAAATTTAATAAAAAGGCAAATTTTACAAAAGTTAATGTAACATTTCATTGCCTGAATGAGTTTTTCCAAACTCACAAATAAGGTTTTTGTCTCATTTGCCAACTACCTGCTGTTCTTCTCCTGAACATATAAAGTCGGAAAACTTTGGAGATTATTTGGCTGACTCTGAAGCTGATGTCACCAGATAGAAACACCTGCCATCAGTGTTATTCATTCCCATGTGACTTACTCTATCCACGCATGGAATTGTACAGAATGCTCACCGTGAATTATACACAGCATTCAACAGGCTCTACAGAACAGTCCTTAGAATAGCTGTACTTTCCATGTTCATACACACAACATTTTACAGCTCACAAGCGTAACGTAAGTGAAAAATACACAAGAAGACAAACACTTTTGTGTAGCAAATTTTTAGATAGTTACACTTTTGTACTTAGAATCCATATATTAAATATCTACCCATTATTCATAACAGAGATAATAATCTCCACCGAAGTAGAAGTTATGAAGTCAACACAACCGAGTCCCCAGTCTCCATGCACAGGGCTCTGCATGGGCTCCCTTCTCTGTGGACACCACTCTGGGCCTACGTAACCCACAGCATTATTGTCCACCTTCTATCCATGAGGAACCAAGAGGGCAAACTCATCCCAAAAGGCTAACGGCTACGCCAGTACTCAACCTCCCTTCCTCACACAACAAAAACCTGTAACCAAGGCTTGAGCTTTGAAAAGGAGGGATATAAAAAACCCAGAAGGTAGATGAAGACATCATATTTCAGATTCTTCATAAACAGTAGGAAAGATACTCACTGTCATTGCATTTCCAATGGTGTATTCTTTGGATATAACTAGAGTAGATCCATACCAGAAGGCTAGTGCGTATGAGGCATAGATCAACAGGAGGCAATGCCCATAGGAAATGTTTGCTGAAATGGCTTTCTTAATTCCAATCTTTTTGGCATTTTCCAAATGTTTCTGATACCTACCAGAAAAAGAGGGGGGTTATGTCATAGTGAGTGACAATCCCCGATCTGAGCCACAGTCGCCCCCATACAGCTGGAGGTTGAAGGAACAGAGTCATCAAGATGACATCCTGGAGAGACCCAGCTTCCCAGGAACTGACCCAGTTCAGGATCAACCAGGACAAGAACAGATCTGAGCCTCGCTTCCTGGCCTGGACTCATTTCCCCTCATCCCCACCAAGCCCACCAATGTCCCTGTGGCTGTTCCAGAACTGTCTCACCTCTGGGACATGAACGAACTTTTTTGTCACCTTCCTAGCCAGCATCACAAGTCAGGGTTAAGGTGGAAGAGAGAACCTAAACCAACCAAGATGTGAACACTACTCCAGACTCTTAAGCAGGTTCTCAATGAGATCCATTTCTCTTCTCTAAAGCAAAGAGAATCCTCCCTCTATTGCCCCACTGGGCAAGGGAAAGAAATGTTTCTTGCTCTTGTAATAAATCTGGGCTTCTCTCTTTGAAACATATATATATATGTATATATATCTTCTGAGATATTTACATATATAATATATACAGTATATATTTTATCTTTAATATACATTTTATAATATTAAATATTTTCATAACATACATTAATTAGGCTGATCTTCAACTGTCAAGCTAGGTACAAAGTGATAAAGTGGTCAGTGTATGGAATATGGGTTCTTACTCAAGTTTTCTAGATTCTGTTTTCATGATCTCCAAAATGAAGTTAACAGCACTCATTCTGCAAGATAGCTATGAGGCTGATAGGTTATTTCCAGGGTGGAAAACATGAAAATCCCAATTCCGATTATTACTATTTATAATTGTGTTCAGATTTCATCTCTTCCTGAATTTTGCTCATTTTATGGCTATCATATTTTTAATAGTAATTCAAATTCATACCACTGGCATCTAAGATTTGATATAAAGGTACAAATGTCTAGAATGGCTCTGTAAAATTATAGTGTTTTACATCAAATTAAAGTAACCTGCTTCTCCATTCTAGTTCCACAGAGTGTGGAAAGTTTCATTTTGGCTTCCTGAAACCAGGGGAAAAAATACTCCATTGGATATATAATGAAGCTCTGGAGAAAAATACCACAAATGAGGGTGCTTCTCTTTTTAACAACAAAAACCCCACTGTTTTGGTTCAGCAAAATGAGATGTGAGAATTTACTAGTTTTTAGAAAAATGTATACTGTGACCAGAAAGTCTTTCCAATTACTTAAAGCACCCAACTCTTCTATTTTTTATTTTTTTGACAGGCAGAGTGGACAGTGAGAGTGAGAGAGTGAGAGTGTGAGAGTGTGAGAGAGTGAGAAAGAGAGAGAGAAAGGTCTTCCTTTTGCTGTTGGTTTCACCCTCCAATGGCTGCCGCGGCCAGTGCGCTGTGGCTGTGGCACCGCGCTGATCTCCTATGGGGTGCAGGGCCCAAGCACTTGGGCCATCCTCCACTGCACTCCCTGGCCACAGCAGAGAGCTGGCCTGGAAGAGGGGCAACTGGGACAGAATCTGGTGCCCCGACCGGGACTAGAACCCGGTGTGGCCGGCGCCGCAAGGTGGAGGATTAGCCTAGTGAGCCGCGGCACCGGCCAAAGCACCCCAACTCTTAAGAGAACTTCCCTGCTCCTGGGTGCAATGTTCCGTCAGCAGGGCTGTGACCCTGGGGAGACAGCCAGCACACCACGCCCAGCACGGGTGCCTCCTGGAGCATGTGAGATTTCTGTCTGCCCCGCGGTGACCCATGGCTCCGGTGACAGCAGTGGACATGCCGTAATTACCTTCTCCCGGGCGGCTCGCTCACCGCAGCTAACGGGGCACTGGTAGCACTGACATCCTGGGGTCCAAGTGAGGGTTAGTGGGCCCTGTGGGGATTACTGTACACAGGAAGCAGTGCGAGAGAGGAAAAAAGGAAGAGGTTAGAAAACCAGACACACGGTTTTGAAAAAGGATTAAGGAAGTGAAGAGGAGAAAAGGAAACAGAGGGGATTCAGGAACACTGGAGATTCTGGGAGAATTTTTATTTCAAGGAGTTGTGGGTATCAGAGGTCCCACAGAATGGTATAAGAAATAGTTCACCTGGAATCATACTTCAGCTATCTTGGGGAAATAAACTAAAGAAAATATTAAATCATTATTTACATTCAAGTTAGGGGTACACATATCGTATCCCCAAACTCTCTGTGATGGTCACACTGAGACCACTTTTGTATGTCAGTCATACTCAGGAATGTGTTTGCTTGTCTTTAAGGCAACTGTTCAGGCTCTCAAGCCCAAGGCCACACAGCAGAGCCAGCAAGTGTGGTAGCCTGGACTTGACCGTGAGAGCTGAAAGCCAGGGCAGGAAGCCCTGTCCTATGGAGAATTCTGGCCTGTGACTGGGAGGCCCAATCTGCTCAGGTTTGTCTTCTACATCCCTCTTCAGGGTCATTACGGGAGATAAAATGGCAGTAAAATAAAATATTTTGAGAATCATACTTCTACATCATTGGTTTACCTGATAACCCTGCAGGTTTTGTCTTATGCATTTAAAAAACAGTCCCTCCAAGAAGGGAGCTCCTAGCCTCATCAGCCTTCCAAGGAGGTCCCAGAACAGTTAAGTGGAGGAAAGCCGGCCGTCACACTCTAGTCATCAGTCCCGGGAGGTGCTAAGAGTCTGTGGAGGAGGAGTTAGTACGAGGGGAGGGGAGGGGACTAAGCAGACACTCCAAAGAATGAGCCACGAGACGCAGAAGCTGTACACACGGAACCTTCCTGACCTTTCCAGCTCTTTGTTCTGGCCCCCGAAAGCTATCACGGTCCTGATGGCGCCCAGAGCCTCCTCTGCCACGGCACCTGCTTTTGCATAGGCAGCTAGTTCTTTGTCACTGAAGGCTGACAGTATCTGCAAAGGAGACAAACAGCTGTGACGTCGGTGTGGGGAGAAGGTCAAACAGCACTCCGGTCTGTTCTTTAACCTGCATTTTTCTTCCCAAAGCCCACCCTTTATCAAAACGTCAACATCATGCAGCAAATGACACCCGGAACCGGATCCAAGGGCTGCTTCCACCTGCTACAAGGGTCGGACCTGGTCCACCTAGTAACAGGCTCCCCAGAGCAGAAAGAAAGAGGAAATCCATGCATAGTTCTCTGACTGGGGTTTTGGGGAATAGTGTCAAGTTTCATACCTACGTTCTTCTCTGTTAATTGTAAGGTAAAATACAACAAAACCTTACTGCTGTGAAAGACTTCACCATCTTGCCCTTTACTATGTCATGATTTATAAACACCAAGAAAATAACACTCTCAGACCTATTCATGGCATCCAACTGAGTAACAGGAAGGCTAAACAAGATGTTTCAGGAGAACAGTAAAAGAAGAATCCAAACAAAAGAGATGCAAGCAGTTCAGGAAGTAAATCATCAACCCCAGAATGAGAAAAAAAGCGATGCCAGTAAAATTTCTCAACTCTGAAACGTTGACTAAGTAGAGCAGGATTACGCGTATTTCATTGCAAGGCATAACTGGCAGAATGCCCCTTACCTGTCATAACTGACAATTAATAATAAATAAAACAATCCAAACTACATTTGAAAGTTTTATATGCATGTAATAGCTTGGAGCAATGTTCTATTTTAAAAGTGTTTCCTTAAACAAGGACATAATCGTGTCAGTATAGGACACTTAAACTACTATGTCAGAAGATTTACTCAAAGAAATGATGTAACAGTGCAAAAAATTGTAACTGAAGTCAGAACTGTGAAATTGAGTCACATTAAAAATTAATCTTATTAAAACTCCATAGTAGGCTGGCGCCGCAGCTCACTAGGCTAATCCTCTGCCTTGCGGCGCCGGCACACCAGGTTCTAGTCCTGGTCAGGGCGCCGGATTCTGTCCCGGTTGCCCCTCTTCCAGGCCAGCCCTCTGCTGTGGCCAGGGAGTGCAGTGGAGGATGGCCCAAGTGCTTGGGCCCTGCATCCCATGGGAGACCAGGAGAAGCACCTGGCTCCTGCCATCGGATCAGCACGGTGCACTGGCCGCAGCACGCTGGCCGCGGCGGCCATTGGAGGGTGAACCACCGGCAAAAAGGAAGACCTTTCTCTCTGTCTCTCTCTCTCACTGTGCACTCTGCCTGTCAAAAAAAAAAAAAAAAAACTCCATAGTAACAACCTTTTTCTGGATGTGGTTTCAACTGACATTTAACACAGATTTGCACAACTGTAAGTACCAGAACCCCAGATATAAAGATTAACCCTGTCAGTGTGGGTCAACACATATGACAATGCCCACCACGCACACACCTTTGCCCAAACAGCTGCAGAGAGCCCCAGGATGGGGCTGATGGCCATTATCACAAGGGTGAGCTTCCAGCCTCTGATGAAGCCCACTATGAATCCTGCAAAAAACGTGGCTACTGCTTGAAAGAACATTCCAACCTTGTCACCAATTCCTTCACTGATTCTGGAGATGTCACTAAAAAAGATCACACCTAGGTGGTTACAGGCAGGAGGTCTTCAGTTAGGAAGGGGACGCAGACATTTCACAAACACATAGGTCAAACATTTCCACACTACTGCAAGCCTCTTTCAGAGTCTTAGCCTCTTCAACGACATTTGCCCCATCTGAATACTGTACAGAGGGAGAAATTCAGGATTAGTTCAGGCTTCTGAGAAGTTAGTGGCGTTAAAGCTGACACTATACAGTGAGTCAATTCTATTAGAGAAGTCGTCACTTTTTTTTTTTTTTTTTTTTTTTTTTTTTTTTTTTTTTTGTGACAGGCAGAGTGGACAGTGAGAGAGAGAGAGACAGAGAGAAAGGTCTTCCTTTGCCGTTGGTTCACCCTCCAATGGCCGCCGCGGCTGGCGCACTGCGGCCGGCGCACCGCGCTGATCCGATGGCAGGAGCCAGGAGCCAGGTGCTTTTCCTGGTCTCCCATGGGGTGCAGGGCCCAAGCACCTGGGCCATCCTCCACTGCACTCCCGGGCCACAGCAGAGGGCTGGCCTGGAAGAGGGGCAACCGGGACTAGAACCCGGTGTGCCGGCGCCGCTAGGCGGAGGATTAGCCTAGTGAGCCGCAGCGCCGGCAAAGTCGTCACATTTTGAACACAGGTGTCTATCTGTTCAAAAGCAGGAGTTAGGAAGGCTGTTCAATAGTGTGAGGGAACAGTTACAGGAAAGTATTATTTCCCGTTAAAGCTTAAGCATCCCTTATCTGAAAATCCAATCTCAAGTGCTCCGAAGTCAGAACGTTTTGAGTGTGGATAGGATGCTCAAAAGCATCAGATTTTAAGGCATCTTGGAATTTAGATTTTCAGACTAAGGATGCTCAACCATTAAAATCCATGAAAATATTCCAAAAAAAAAAAAAAAAAAAAAAAACACAAACCCACACACACTCCAAAATCTGAAACCCTTCTGGTCCCAACATTTCCAACAAGGGATACTCAAACCACATAAGGTGCTTGCTTCCACCCTTGCTCCTATTCTCAACCCAGAGCAGGTGGTTCTTTGAAAATCAAAGTCTGGCCATGCTGCGCCTCAGTTCAAACCCTTCCAACGGTTGCTGCTTCACCAAGGGTGACACTCTTAGCTAAGAATGCCTTGATCTTCCCTCCTCTCCTGACCTCATCTGCTCACTGAGCTCTTGCCAGTGCTGCCATCATGAAAGACTGACCTCCTAACCCCCTCCTGGGACATCAGCACCAAAGGGACAAAGACCTTTGCTTGTTCATGGACACATCACAAATACCTAGAATGGTGCTTGGCAACCCATAGGTCCTCAAATATTTGTTGAATGAGAGGAGACTCAACACTTAGTAAAGCAAGTCTCTCTGTGAATTAACTAATTCATCATTTATTCACTCACTCAACTGCCTTTACTGAGGGCCTAGCCCTTGCCAGGCTTACAGAAAGCTCCAGGAGAAGTAAGCAAGAACGAGGACGTGTGCTCTGTCCTCAGATGCACCGCCTACACCATGGGGGAGGAGGTGCTAAAAGTTATGCAAAGTATGCCTCACAGGCTATATATACAGCAGGATACAGCCATCACAAGGGCCGGTCCCAGCACAGGGCAAATGCTCACCTAGACATATTTATCATTAACAAACATTCCTGACAAACTTTCACAGTCAGTGGAAAATCCTTTATGAAAGTGAACATCACCAACACACTACTCTGTTAGCCGTGTGTTGAGTTCAGTGGTGTCATTGCATGTCAAACCAGCCTATTTCCTGTCGTAGAATAGCATGAAAAAATTTTTGCCGAATTTTTTTTAATCTGTCGGCCAGCTGCCAAAGTCCAAAACGAAACTTGTATATAGGCAGCGAGGAGAACTCCGGCACCTAATCCTGAGTAGTAATACGCATATCTGGAAAATAATCAGAAAGACTCTTTTAAATATTTTATTCAATTCTTTTAAGAAAGACTATAAAGGATATTATAACAAACACACATTAAAGTTTTGCCTCTTTTCTTAAATTATGAGATGATCATGAACTCCATGATGGCAAGTCTACCTGCTTGAAATATCAGCCAAAGAAAACAGCTAAGTGTTTACACTTAACTGTAAAAACAATCTTGTTAATGATCCATTTTTCACTGATACTGACAATTTATAGATACAATTTAACTTGTCTTTCCTCACAGTGTTATATGCATGCATATTCTGTTGTAGTGGAAAAGCTCACTTCTACATACATATTGCAAATACAGGAATAAACAGACTGAGTATGTGACAGGGCTCTTAGAGTTTCTCCATATTGTTTATAAAAGAACCAAAAACATCTATTTGACAGAAGCTGAAAATATTTTAAGTGATAAAATGTCATGAATTCTAATTTGGAGGGAAAAACTTAGCTAAATCAGTAAGAATATATTTTAAAATAACAAAGGCAGTTTCAACACTTCCAAATGGATTTTTTATCTAATTTCACAAGCTCTGTCTAGACAGAAACCTCCAGCATAGAGACGGCAATCACTTCAGTCAGCAACAGTAACCAATACACACCATACAATCATTATGTTACAGGGTTTGGAGATTTCTGCTGAGAAGACTGAAGGGAGAGAATGCATAAACACCACAACTGGATCAACTAACAAAATTAAATTCAGATGGTAGATCAGGTAAACGTCTTATCAATATTAAAGATATAGAATTTGGTAACGCAATATAGATACGTAAGAAAATACACTTATCCTTAGGAAACTACGCTGAAAAAAAAAAAAAAGGGCCATGTTTTATGCAACCGACTTCAAACTGGAGGGAGGGGCAGACACGATAGCAATAGGTGAACACCTGGGAGAGGAGCCCAGGAGTCTCCTGTGCATTTTTACAACTCTGCAGTCTGAAAGCATTTTCAAACGAAACATTAAAAAAGTACACCAACAAATGCGTACATAAATTACCTAGTCATTTCTTCTTCCAGAATTCTGCCTGGATTTAGCAGCGACAATGAAAAATTCACTAAATAAAATAAAACAGAAAGTATTTTTAAAGGGGTGTACTATTAATAGGCATTGCCAGATGCTTAAAATCTAACAAGAATGTAAGCACGTAAAATATACAGAAAGGCAGATGTCTAGCCTAGTGGTTAAGATGCCCCACATCAGAGTGCTGGTTCCAGTACTACCTGCTCCGCTTCAGATTCAGCTCCAGTTGTGCCTGGCAGAGCAGTGACTGATGGCCCAAGTACTTGGGCACCTGTCTCCCACATGGGAGACCTGGATGGAGTTTCAGCCTCCTGGTTTCAGGTTGGCAGGCATTTGGGGAGTCGATCAGTGGACAAGAGATGCCTCTTCCCCGCTCTTCTCTTTCCCTATAACTGTTCCTTTCAATACACACACATGTACAAACAAAAATCTTTTCATAAAAAATGCCTGCACCTCCTATCAGAGCGTCTGGGTTGTTTTCCAGGCTCTGGCTCCTGACTGCAACTTCCCGTTCACGCAGACCTTGGAAGGTAGTTGTGATGGCTCACGTAACTGGGTACTTGCCACCCACAAAGGAGACTTGGATTATATTTCCCAGTTCCTGGTTTCAGCATTTGGAGACTAAATTGATGGATAGAAGCTCTGTGTCTGTCCATCTATATCTCTGCCTCTCAAATCAAAGAAATGTAAAAATAAATGCCTATCAAAGGTGCTGTAGCTAAGAAATCACTCTTCATACTCTGATGGACCCTCTACTTGACTCAGGTAAAGAGCTCAGGGGCTTGGGTATGGGACCCACAGCCCCAGACGGTGCAGCTGAGCCCTCCCAGGCTCTTCCCCACCTGGCAGTCTCAGGACCTTCAGCGGGGCAGGTTCCGAGGACACACAGATGTACAGAGCCTGGCCAGGGGCACAAAGCACACAGGAGGCAGAAGAGACAAAAACACGATTCACATGGGCTACACAGGGCTTCGGCGGCACTCTGTTTCTGGGTGGCTCAAAGAACTTTCAGCCACCTGATTCTATAAATTCTGTTTTTGCATCTGTGTTTTCGTCTAACCTGTGTCCTAAGGATGTATAAGGACAAAAGCTGAATTACATCTGCCGCGAAGGAGGAAAACCAGAGAGAGGGAAGACGGGTCGGTGGGCACCGGCAATTACTGCACATGCTGCTGATGGGGATTCTCAAAGCACTGTCCTTGGAGGGAAATACACTGCCCTTGAACGTGCCACACGCCAGGCACTGCTCTGAGCACTCTGTGTGTATCAATTCACTTGCTTTTCCTAACATAATGAAGTAGGTCTATTATGTTTTAAAGGTTTACATTTTTTTATTTGAAAGGCAGACAGAGAATGGAGCAGGAATCTCATCCAAGTCTCCCACATGGGTGGCAGGGACCCAAGGAGCTGAGCCATCACCTACCTGCTGCTGCCCAGGATACACATCAGCAGGAAGCTGGACTGGCAATGGAGCAGCCAGGACCCGAGCCAGGCACACTGACACGGGATGTGGACGTTGTATTGGTGACTTCAGCCGCTGCACCAGACACCTGCCCCTGGACTGGTTTGTATACACCCCCATTATACAGAAGAGGAAAATGAGGCACAAGGTCACACAGCCAGCAAGTGGCAGAGTGAAAAGTGAGCCCAGGTGTTCTGGCCATGCTCTACAGAATGACTGGTGCGGAAATGATTTGATTTCACTTTATTTAAAAAAAAGTGACAAAATAAAAAGGAAACAACCTGTATCTACTGCATTCACAAAATAACAGCAGCACAGCAGTTGCTACACTCAGCCAGGACACAAGCCCATCTCTTTGTTCCTTTATCATGTGTAAACAGCACAGGGGTCATGTTCTCTGGGCCTGTGTATCCTCCTTATCTTTTTCCAAAGGGAGATAAGGTTCCCATTTCTTCCAAACTTGAACTACCATCAGCGGTAATGACCCAGACTGTGACTTAATTTGGCCGTCTGGATCGTAACTCCCAGGGATGCTCATGGTGGCGGTTTTCTGGTTCTGAATCCAGCTCTTCCTCAGCTCTGGGGCCCTGGAGCAAATCACACCCTATGCTGCTTCTCTTCATCAGTTCAGTCCTGTATGCTCACTTCCTTCTTTCAAGAAAGCAGAAACTCTGCTGAACACACAAAGAAGCTCAGGTTCCACACGCCACTGCCTCGACAATTGCAGGGAGTCCCAGGTCCAGGAAACTGGAACTGTGTTGGAACCAGAGGCAGACAAGCAGTTCTAAACTGTGCTCTCTGGAGAAACCACTGTGGACTCTTTCTCCCCTGAACTTGGAAATCAGGTGAAATCTCACCTAAGTCTTCCTCTTCTTGAGCATTTCCCTCAAACTTCTACTTCTCTTGCTAAGAATCCATAATTCAAACTCTCTCCCTCCTAGGAAACAGCACCCCAGATTTGACCTGTCCTTCTCAGGGTCCCAGGCCAAGAACACAAGAACAGCCATTTAATTCTGGGTGGTAATCAAAAGTCCCCCAGGAGATCCAGAGTTCCTGCAATGTGGAGACAACGGAGGTCAATGTGGCTGGTGCACCCCCAGAAGAGACCTGGGGATCTGGCCTTGTCCAGTATTGGCAATTCTCAACACCTACACTCTGTTATAATCACATGGACCTTGAGAAAACACCCCAGTCGCTTCTAACTGACCAAGCTGGAAACTCCCACTCCATCCCCAGAACGCCTCCCACAACAAGGAAACAGGTAACTCTCGAAGCTGCCTATTTCAGAAACCTCCATATAGCCCATCCATCCTACGGATGGAGAAACAGAATCATGGAGGGGTAGTTTAACTTCCAAGTTCTCAGTTTTCCCCAGTATTTACTGATCACTGACTATGATCCAGACACTTTACTTAAATTCTCTCTTAATCTATCAGTGAATCTATGATTATCTTCTATCAAAGATGAGAAAACAAGGAGTGCAAGACTAAGTGACTTGCCAGTGGTCAATGAAGGATCTGAGTAATAATGTTTACATGGAGGACGATGGGGAAATGTCACTTCTGTGTCGCAACTCAATGTCCGCCTTTCTTGATTCTTCCAGGTACTTCTTTCACCATACAGAACTATTCAGTGCGGAACAAAGAGTTGGGGTTTTCCCACACAGCTCAGGCAAAAAGGGCAGTCAACTGCACTTACTCAGGACTCAAAAATGCCTTTTCCCCTCAACCCCAAGCAAATGCAAGTGTTTGCATTTCCTAGATTATTGTAATCACATAGGGCAGGCATCAAAGATATTAAGTTCTTAATATGCTACAGAAAACTGTCCTTAAGGTTTTGAATGTGAAATGTTCAGTGCACAGTTTGTGTACAACGGAATCATTGTCAGGAATCACCCTGTCAAGAAGTAGCTTCATTGTGTTGACAGGATGGGGCTCTGTTCACAGTCAGTCATTGTCAGATCCTCTTGTAATTGAGACCTTTTATCCTTCTAATGTTCTCTTTTCATTTGGCTCCCATGAAATCTAGCTGCCAAAAACCCAACAATTCTAAAGAATAGACTCTAAACAAGCAACACTCTATGAGACGACCCAGGACCTCAGCTAAGTGCCTATCTGCTCCCAACTCCCATGATTCTGCTAGACTCTACAACTCTAAACATATCCCTGACACCGAGGTATCCTTTAAAAGTTCCTTTTCTCCAAAGGTATGAAAATATTATTTTTACAAACTTTCAAGGGCAGGCAATGGAGAGTCCTAACATCTGAGGAACCTCCCCTTCCAAATCTCCAAACAGCTAATAGCACTAATAACAAATGTGGCTACAGAGGGCCAAGGGTCATAAAGAGGAGTGCTTATAATTTGGAGACTACTGAGGCAGGGTTGGCAGCTCCCCTGAGTTTAACACTCCAGCAATCACAGATCTGTAAGTCAATCG